AACACCGCATGTTGTGCGAAGGCCATGCTGGGGTCCCAGGATGGAAACACCCCTGCCCCCCCCACCCACCTCAGGCCTGCCTGCTGACCGATGGGAGCTGCCCGCCTTTCCACTCGTCCAGGATGCAGAGAAGAGGCCAATTTTTGCCTTAGATTTTTGTCTCAGATTCGTTTTATTGGCTCCAAGAAGCGTCGGACAACTGCTTCACGGGGGTCCGGCTGGCGGCGTCTCCCCTGGGACTCACTGCAGCGCCTGCATTTCACACATCCACCTAAAGCGGAAGTGACAATCGGTTTTGTCCCACAGCCTGCCGCGGTAGGTCACGGTGCAGTATCGGTGAAAATCCGTTTCGTATGACAACCAGTCTCTGGAAGGTCAAAGCAAAAGAGGGGGGGTCAACCCAGGGGTGGGAGGAAGACCCCCTTCTCTCTGGAAGTGGACGTTGCAGCTAGGCTCAGCGAGATTTGGAAGGATCCCTGAGGTCATCTAGTCCAGCCCCCGTCCCGCAGCAGCCATCCAATTTTCCCCTGACTAGGGTGAGGGGAGCGGAGGGGGGGTCACAAAGGAGGTGGCGTTTCGTAGCCTGGGGAAATTGTGCAAATTGGCTTGTTTGTGCCGCAGGGGATGCCAATCTGGGTCAGTTGAGGAAACTTGGTTAGTGAACTCTGGGGTATAACAGCTGTAATGTTAGGAAGTTGAGCAGTGAACGTATTGTGAGAATTCAGATAATGACTGGCCTGGGTTCCGTCTCTGGCAAACAAGCCCGCATCAGCAGGGCAGGGGAACAGGAGAAAGAGCACCACTCGGAGATCAAGACTTGACTGATGGAAAGAAGGACTCGCAGGAGTGTTGTGCAACAGGACGGCCCTCCTCCAGGTGAAAATGTCCACAGGGATGTTGGGGAGAAGAGGGGGAACCGCCTACAGTATGCCCTAATGGGATGCTGGCTGAGGAATTCTGGGAGTTGAAGTCTAGAGCTCTTATAGGGAATTCTGGGAGTTGAAGTCCAGATATCTTAAATAAGAGAATTCTGGGAACTGAAGTTCTGACATTTTAAAGAGAATTCTGGGAGTTGAAGTCTGTCTCTCTTAAAGTGACTGAGGTTGAGAAACATTGCTGGAAGAGAGTATCCAGAGCCCATGGGGCACAGCTGCCTTCTCCTACCAGGATCCCACCACGTGCTTCCTGCATGTTTGGCAGGATCCCACCAAGGATATGGGGCCGGCTGCATGCTCCCCACATCGCTGCTTTGAATGCCTGGAGGGCTTATCCCGTGACCCCCGTGCCCTCAGGGTGCCAGGGGCCTTGCGCTGTGCAATGAAGCCCCCTGAGTGTCTGTTTCCAGGAGTCCATTAGCGCAAGGGGGTTTCAGCATGTGAAGACCACCCACCCACCCCCAGGAGGACAAGCGTGTAAGTGTGCAAACACAAAGCCCACAGTTGGGAGGGGGACCTACTAGGTGCCAATGCTGCCCCCCAAAACAGAAGCCCAACACAGGGGAGGGAGGAGAGAGGCGAATGGGGAGACTCACGTCCTGCTCATGATGTAGGGTGTCCAGTCCACCCAAGACCACATGTGGCCGGTGAACTCCAGCCCGATCCAAACGCTGTTTGGTTTGGTGAGCCGGAACACAAATTGCTACGCGAGAGAAAAAGGCAGAGCAGGCATCAGCCGGACCCCAAGGGTCTCGGCCCTCTGCCGGTCCGGCAGCCTTGGCCCCCCTCCCTGCGATGGATGGGGAAGTGGAGACACTGACCTTCTCTAGGTAGCTGGTGATGATCGCCAGGTGGGCTAGCTTCTCTTCACAATCTTGCTTGGCTTCAGGCCAGCTCTTCTCGGCAGAGGAGAGCCAGTAGCAGCTCTGCTGAAAGAGATGCCAGCCCCGGGGGCAGCAGCCCCTCTCCAGCCCTGGGGGAGGGGTTGGAGTAGGGAGGGGGAGGGGAGAGAAGAGGGGGGGCACCGTTATAGCTGGGGTGGGGGACAGGGACACAGTGGGCAGCAGTGCCGGTGATACACTACCCAGCTGGAATTATCAACTGGACTTTGACTGAACTGGAAAACCTAGACTGGAAAACGCGTAAACTTTTGACTATGCACCACGCTCTACATCCACGAAGGGACACCGACAGGTTATACCTGCCAAGAAAAATAGGGGGCAGAGGGCTATTGCAAATCCACCAAACTATAGAAGAAGAAAAACGAAGTTTGAATGACTATGTGCATCAAAGTACAGAAAAACTGCCGCAGGCTGTGAAAACCGAGCGCTAAAAAAATATAACAGAAGCAGAGGCAGAATATAAGGAGAAACAGCTGGATGGCAGATTAAAGGGGTGGAAAACCACAGCTGGACATGGGCATGGCTTAAAACGGAAGGCTTAATACCAGCTGCTCAAGAACCAGCACTACAAACTAACGCCATGAAAGCGAGGAGACAAAAACAATCCACTGACAATCCAAATTGCCGACTTTGCAACGGCAACGTTTCCCATCTGATCGGTGAGTGCAGCAAAATCGCGCAAACTGACGACCAAGCTAGACGTGACCGAGTTGCTGAATTAATCCACTGGGCCTTGTGTAAAAAAATACGACTCGCCTGTCTCCGAAAAGTCGTGGGAACCGAGGGTGGAAAAAGTTGTCGGGAATGAGAGGGTGAAGATCTTGTGGGACTTTCAAATAGAGCAGTGGTTCTCAACCTGTGGGTCAGAACCCCATTTGGGGTCAAACGACCATTTCACGGGGGTCGCCAAACAACGCAGTCCGCCATTTTTTCCCCCTTTTCCTTAGCTGTGCTCCTCCCTTTTATTCTATTGGCTTTTGAAAGCCAATAGAATAGACTCTCTTGAATAGAGTCTCATTCTATTGGCTTTCAAAAGCCAGTAGGAATTGTCCAGGCTGTCTCTGCCCTGCTGAGCCCGCCAAAAGTCCCATTCTGCAAATGGTGCTGTGCCAGTTGAGTAGTCCTCGACTTACGACCGGTTGAATAGTCCTCTACTTACGACCGGTTGGGGGTCGCGGCATTAAAAAGGTTGAGAACCACTGGAATAGAGAGATTGCCGTTTGGAATACAACATGCCGGATATTGCAGTTGTAGAGAACCCAAGCATACAGCTGATTGATATCGCTGTACCAGGAGACCCCCCCCCTGTGCAATCCAGAGATCTGGAGGGCGCTGGGCTGGGAAGGTGCCCCTTGCCCCTGCCCCGGTCACCTGTCCCCTTGTGTTTTCTGTCCACCAAATCGCACTTCAGCCGCTGCAGAGTCGCTTGAAGTTTCTTGATCTGGTTCTTGAACTGGGATTTCACTGGAGGTGGAAAAGGGGAGCGTCACTCCTTGGTGTTATGTCTGGGTGAGGGAGGGTCTCTCCCGAATGCGGGGGGGGGGGAGCAAAGGGGGACTTTTCAACGCCTCCCTTACTCCCCAATTTACCTTCCTTTCCTTCTCTGGTGAGGTTTTTCACCATCTGCTCGACTTTTTGCCGAGTTTTCACGTTGTTGGTCTCTGGCAAAGAGGTAAACAAATCGGAGCAGTGTTGCTCAACCTTGTCTGCTGGAAGGTGGGTGGACTTCAACTCCCAGAATTCCCCAGCCAGCCTGGCTAGTGGGGAATTCTGGGAGTTGAAGTCCACCCACCTTCCAGCAGACAAGGTTGAGAAACGCTGGGTTAGAGCAGGTTTGAGCGTCAAACAGTCATGGAAGAACAGAAGCCAGGAAGGAGAGAGAGAGGGGGGGTGGTGGTCTTCCAAAGGTGCCTCCATCTTGGTTCCTGCCAAGCCCACAGCAATGCACCTCGACCCCCACAGAACTGCCCTAAAGAAAATCCAGAGATTGGCAGGTCCTTTTTCACCCCCCAAACCTGGGATTTCGTGACTTTACCATTTTGTTGCAGAGCAACTAATTCGATGGCGATTGTGCGGCTGATGGCCTTCAGATCTTCCTGCATCTTCCACAAGGTGGTGGAGTATTTGCGCCCTGTGGAGATGGAGGAGGAGGAATAAGAGGAGTCTGCCTTCATGCCTTGAACCCATGTCCATGCTTCTGTGTACCACCCTCTTTTCCTGGCCTTGCTATCCTTCCTACGTTCTGGGGTCACTTTGCAAATTATGGACCTCAGCCCATAGCGGCCCCTTTAAATCATTCTTTTGTTCGTGGTTGTGAGTAATTGTGTGCTATACAGTGTGTTTGGGGGTAATTGACTGGAAGAACACAGCCCTCTGTTTGCTGCTAGAATATATTATCAACAATAAAAAGATTTTTTCCTTCTAGGAAGTTTACCTACAAGCAACAGAGATTATTATTTCTGGGTCTCTTGTAACGTTAATTGGTAGCTTCTCCTTAGCAATTTACAGATTGCCACAACTCAGGTGTCGTCCCTCTGAACTCTGTTACTTCACACCAACTGGTGGGGGGGGGACTAATAAATCGTCTCCCTTTGCTGCTTTTTCAAGCCTCCACGGTGTAAAAAAGAAATATTTTAAGAAGAGGAAAACAACAGGTGATCACAGGGAGGCTGTAAGTGTGAAAAACAGTCATAAGTCACTATTTTCCGTTTCTTTGCAACTTTGAACGGTCGCTAAACAAATGGCTGTAAGTCGAAGACCACTTGTAGGCCCTCCCAGACCTGCCCAACCACCTCAAGCCCCCCTTCTTCCCCCAACCAGAGGGAGGGATACCCACCCACAAAGCCGAAGATGGTGATGGAGAGGGTCACCATGGCCAGCAGCCCCATCAGGACGAGGGTCACCCGCCGGGCAGAGCAGACACGCTGGCGGCAGGAGGAGTCCTGGGGGGCAAACCCCGCCATGGCTGGAGGGGACACAGAACACAAGGTTCGCTGTTGCATCGTGGCCAACAGCTTCAAAGAATATAGCACAGGTAAGATAAGATAAGATAACCTTATCACAAGGTTAATGCTGTATGGAATGAAACTATGGCTGAATCTGGATGTTCTGCCACGGATACCACGGAGCCCCCTCCTCCCAAGAGGTAACAAGGAAAACAGGTCGTGAAGAGGGTGTGTAGCGTCCCAGATAATCTTACGGACCCTGTTCAAGCAGCGCTTCTGTGCTATGTCCTGGATGGGAGGGAGGGATCTGCCAATGATCTTTTCTGCTGTCCTCACCACTCTCTGCACCGCCTTCCTGTCCGAAGCAGGGATGCTTCCAAACCAGACTGTGATGCTGTACGACAGGATGCTCTCAATCGTCCCCCTGTAGAAAGTGGTCAGGACAGGGGAAGGAAGATGTGTGTAAGGACCCACCCCACTTTGCATCTTAAGAAGACAGAAGGTTTATAATTTTTTTTCATATATATTTTATTTTTAATTATCGTATAATTTTGTTAATTTCTTTTAATTAAGCCTGTATTCTGCTCTGGGAAGCTCTGGGGGGGAGGGAGGGGGTGGTTTGGGAGGGGTTGGGGGAGGGTTGTATTGTTATGTTTTCTTTTTTGTTGTTGTTATTGTTTTTTTTGTTTTTGTAAAAGTTTTTAAAAATTTTTCAATAAAAAAAAAAAAAGACGACAGAACTCTTGGAATAATTCTTCCAACAGGAATCCTTTATTAAGAGAAAATGGATGCAGGCGTTCTAGACAGGACTTGGGGTTCAAGCTCTCCCATTTGAGGTTTTAAGGGGTACCCCAGTAGTCCCACCCAATCACCCCCCCTCTTCCAGTGACAGTTTCAGGCATCACAATCCCACCCCTTTTTTCCTTTCTGCTGGCTGGATGGAATGGAGACTTCATATAAACTACATGAAAGGTAAATAGCATCCTTTGTTATGATGAGGCCTTTTGGTGCTATCCAGATTCAAACCCTTTGAAGTTGTACCGAAGGAGGTGAGGGCCATAAAGCCCCTTTGTTCACCCCCTTCTCTTTCTTTATGACAGAATCCAGAGAGGGCAGAAATGGGGTTTTCTATAATTGATAACTGGAGATGAAGTATAATTGGATTCTGACAATGTGCTTTCCTCATGCGACGCAGAAAATGCAGGCACTGCTGTGCCCGCTTCGTCCGTTTCTCACTGTTGAGCGACCAAGTCAGCCTATTCGTTAGCTGCACACCCAGAAATTTGACGCTGGTAACCACCTCCACAGCTGAATCACAGCTAGTGTTAATACCACTTTACAAGGCCTTGGTAAGGCCACCCTTGCAATAGAGCACCCAGTTTGGATCGCCACGATATAAAAAAGATGTTGAGAGTTTGGAAAAAGTGCAGAGAAGAGCAACAAAGAGGATCCAAGGCCTGGAGACTAAAACATACGAAGAACGGCTGCAGGACTTGGGTCTGGCTAGTCTAGAGAAAAGAAGAAACAGGGGGGGGGGCATGATAGCAGTAGTCTAGGATCTGAGGGGCTGCCCCCAAGAGGAGGGGGTCACGTTATTCTCCAAAGTACCAGAGGGAAGGATGAGAAACAATGAATGAATCAAGGAGAGAACCTATCTAGAACTAAGGAGAAATTTCCTGACCGTGGGAACAATTAACCAGTGGAACTGCTTGCCACCAGAAGTTATGGGTGCTCCAACACTGGAGGTTTTCAAGAAGAGACTGGACAGCCCCTTGTCTGCAATAGGAAAGGATCTCCTGCCTTGAGTAGGGGGCTGGACCAGAACACCTTCTCAGATCATCCCCTCTGACTAAGTTTGCCCCCGTGGTCAAGATTATTTCATTTTATTTATTAAGTGTTCGTGGTGCCTTTCTCCCCATCTGGTGACTCTAGGTGGCTTAAAGACAACAATATAAAACAGGAAAATAGTAACACAATAAATGTCAACGTTGAAATTAACCACGATGGCTAAGGAAAGAGGCGGGGATGCAAACAGGATAGAGGTGGAAATTTCTCTCGTGCCATTATGGTTTTTTTTGGGGGGGGACGCATGCAAAATAAATGAAAAATGTGGCTTAATTGCCTCTTTTTACCTTCTTTTGTAGGATTTCCGAGCTGGAGCTGTGGGTGAACCGTCTCTCCCGCCGCCACTGTCACCAGACGCCCCACGCCGGTGATCTTTGGACTGTCCACACCGTCCCTCTGCCAAATTTTAGGGTTTTCCAAAGCTGCAGCAGCTGCCTGAGTCAGACCCCCCCCCCAGTAGTGACTGAAAGCTTTAACTTGAACTTAATGTTGTTTCAGAATACGGGTGTATTATTCGTAATCTGCTGAGCTTTGTGCAATCTAAAATTGCAAAGTAGGTAGTTTTCTCTCTATATATATATTTGGAACATAAGAATTGTAAGTGTAGGAAAAGAGGAAGGATAGAGGTTTCAGATGTACACGGATGTATGCGGAAACTGTTGGCCAGCATGAAAGAGCAAGGAACTGCTTTTGCAAAATAAGGATTATGTGCGTGGGTGGTCCTTAGAAGAAAAGTATGAAAATGTTAGTTTAAGTCCAGCTCCGGGCCATTGGCCTCTAGCCTGTCCTTTGGAATTTGCTATGCCAGTGGATAATACCACTCTTCAATGCCTTGGTAAGGACACACTTGGAATACGGCATCCAGTTTTGGTCACCACGATGTAAAAAAGACGTTGAGACTCTAGAAAGAGTAAAGAGAAGAGCAACAACGATGATCAGGGGACTGGAGGCTAAAACATATAAGGAACGGTTGCGAGAATTGGGTATGTCTAGTTTAACGAAGAGAAGGACAAGGGGGGACAGGATAGCAGTATTCCAGTATCTCAGGGGCTGCCATAAAGAAGAGGGAATTAAGCTATTTTCCAAAGCACCTGAAGGCAGGACAAGAAGCAACGGAGGGAAACTCATCAAGGGGAGAAGCAACCTAGAACTAAGGAGAAACTTCCTGACAGTGAGAACAATTAATCAGTGGAACAACCTGCCTCCAGAAGCAGAAAATGCTCCAACACTGGAAGTTTTTAAGAAGAGACTGGACAGCCATTTGTCCGAAATGGTGCAGGGTTTCCTGCCTGAGCAGGGGGTTGGACTAGATGACCTCCAAGGTCCCTTCCAACTTTACTACTATTACTATTACTGCAATGGGTTGTTACTGTAAGTGACGTTATGTTATTATGCTATGTTCCAAATTGTGAGCAAAATAAACCTCTGAATCTTACAGTAGGAATTATTGTTTTGTGTTGCTGTCTTTTGTCTTTTTCGTTGGGTTTTTCCACCAGGGTTTTTGGTGCCTTGACCGGGAAGAGACAATTGCTGGAAGAGACGTGCTGTCCAACCGGGATTTGGGCCACAGGTAACCAGCCCGCTCTCTTCGAGCACTCACAGTCTGCTTTGGATCAGAGGTAAGGCCCCCTCCCTTTTGGAGACCCCCAGCGCTATGGGGCAGTTTCCTTCCAAGCTGGACCTCGGCTGCAGTTTTGGAAAACCCCTGACATTTTTTAACCTGGCAGAGGGACGGTGTGGACAGTCCAAAAATCACCGGCATGGGGCGTCCGGTGACAATGGTGGCAGGAGAGGTGGTTGACCCACAGCTCGGCTCAGAAATCCTAATAAAGAAGGTTAAAAAAAAAGGCAATCAAGCCACATTTTTTCATTTATTTTGCATGCGTCCCCCCCCAAAAAAAACCCTCATAATGGCACGTGAGAAATTTCCACCTCTATCCTGTTTGCATCCCCGCCTCTTTCCTTAGCCATTGTGGTTAATTTCAGTGTTGCTGCTTATTGTGTTACTATTTTATATTGTTGTCTTTAAGCCACCTAGAGTCACCTGATGGGGAGAACCAGTTCCACGGGTTAATTGTTCTCACTGTCAGGAAATTTCTCCTTCGTTCTAGATAGGTTCTCTCCTTGAAGCATCCATTGTTTTTTGTCCTTCCCTCTGGTGCTTTGGAAAATAGTTTGACCCCCCCCCCTTTTTTCTTTGGAGCAGCCCCTCAGATACTGGAACGCTGCTGCTATCATGTCTCCCCTATTTCTTCTTTTCTCTAGACTAGTCAGACCCAAGTCCCGCAGCCGTTCTTCGTATGCTTTAGTCTCCAGGTCTTAGATCATCTTCGTTGCTCTTCTCTGCACTTTTTCCAAACTCTCAACATTGTTTTTTATATCGTGGCGACCAAAACTGGTTGCCCCATTGCAAGTGTGGCCTTACCAAGGCCTTGTAAAGCGGTGTTGACACCCCTGGAGTAGATGACCTCCAAGGTCCCTTCCAACATTATTATTATTATTATTATTATTATAAGCCATTGGCCATGATGCAACAGAGAGCTTTTTGTTCTGTGTCCCCTCCAGCCATGGCAGGGTTTGCCCCCCAGGACTCCTGGCGCCAGCGTGTCTGCTCTGCCCGGCAGGTGACCCTCGTCCTGATGGGGCTGCTGGCCGTGGTGACCCTCTCCATCACTGTCTTCGGCTTTGTGGGTGGGTATCCCTCCGGAGTCTGGTTGGGGGGAGGAGGGGGGCTTGAGGTGGTTGGGCAGGTCTGGGAAGGCCTATAAGTGGTCCTCAACTTACAGCCATTCGTTTAGCGACCGTTCAACGTTACAAAGGCACGGAAAACGACGTACGATCTTTTTTCACACCTACGACCGTTGCAGCCTCCCTGTGATCACCTGTTGTTTTCCTTAAAATATTTCTTTTTTACATCCATGGAGGCTTGAAAAAGCAGCAAAGGGAGATGATTTATGAGTCCCCCCCCCAGTTAGTGGGGAGTAACAGAGTTCAGAGGGTCGACACCTGAGTTGTGGCGATCTGTAAATTGCTAAGGAGAAGCTACTAATTAACGTTACAAGAGACCCAGAAATAATAATCTCTGTTGCTTGTAGGTAAACTTCCTAGAAGGAGAAAATGTTTTTAGGAACACCGTTGTTGATAATATATTCTAGCAGCAAACAGAGGGCTGTGTTCTTCCAGTCAATTAACCTAAAACACACTGTATAACACACAATTAATCACAACCACGCACAAAAGATTGATTTAAAGGGGCCGCAATGGGCTGAGGTCCATAATCTGCAAAGTGACCCCAGAATGTAGGAAGGATAGCAAAGCCAGGAAAAAAGGGAGGTATATGGAGGAGGCAGGGACATGGGTTCAAGGCAGACAGGCAGGCAGGCAGGCAGCCCCCCCCCTCCTCCTCCTCTTCCTCCTTCTCCTTCTTCTTCATCTCTGTCTCCACAGGGCGCAAATACTCCACCACCTTGTGGAAGATGCAGGAAGATCTGAAGGCCATCAACCGCACAATTGCCGCCGAATTAGCTGCTCTGCAACAAAATGGTAAAGTCACGAAATCCCAGGTTTGGGGGGTGAAAAAGGACCTGCCAATCTCTGGGTTTTCTTTAGGGCAGTTCTGTGGGGGTGGGGGTGCATTGCTGTGGGCTTGGCACGGTCCAAGATGGAGGCACCTTTGGAAGACCACCGTCTCTCTCTCTCTCTCTCTCTCTCTCTCTCTCTCTCTCTCTCTCTCTCCCTCTCTCTTTCTCTCCTTCCTGGCTTCTGTTCTTCCATGAATGTTTGACGCTCAAATCCAGGGCTCTCCAGAGGGGGCCACTTTTAGCCTCGTGGCCTTCAACTCCCAGAATTCCCTGCCAGCCATCGAAGTTGGAGTCCACAAGGCTTAAAGTGAGAAGTAACTTTGGAGATTCCCTGCTCTAACGCAACGTTTCTCAACCTCGTCTGCTGGAAGGCGGGTGGACTTCAACTCCCAGAATTCCCCACTAGCCAGGCTGGCTAGTGGGGAATTCTGGGAGTTGAAGTCCACCCATCTTCCCGCAGACAAGGTTGAGCAACATTGCCCTGATTTGTTTACATCTTTCCCAGAGACCAACAACGAGAAAACTTTGGAAAAGATCAACCAGTTGGAGATACAGGTCACCAAAGAAAAAAGGAAAGGTAAATTTGGGAGTAAGGGAGGCGTTGAAAAGTCCCCCTTTGACCCCCCCCACAGTCGGGAGAGACCCTCCCTCACCCAGACACAACACCAAGGAGTGACCCTCCCTTTTTCCACCTCCAGTGATGCCCCAGTTCCAGGACCGGATCAAGAAACTTCAAAGGACTCTGCAGCGGCTGACTTACGAGGTGGAGAACACAGAACAGAAGTGGACAGGTGACCCAGATTGGGGGGGAGGACAGGGTGGGGGGACCTTTCTAGCCCAGTGCCCTCCAGATCTCTGAATTGCACAGGAGGTCCTCGCCTTACGACCTCAATGGGGACCCAAATTCCCACTACTGCTCACCGTGTCCCTGTCCCCTGTCCCAGCTATAACAATGCCCCCCTCTTCTCCCCCCACCCTCCTCCAACCGACCCCCTCCCCACAGGTCCAGAGACTGGCTGTTGCCCCCAGGGCTGGCATCTCTTTCAGCAGAGCTGCTACTGGCTCTCCTCTGTGCGGAAGAGTTGGCCCGAAGCCAAGCAGGATTGCGAAGGGAAAGAAGCCCACCTGTTGATCATCACCAGCTACGAAGAGAGGGTCAGTGTCTCCACTTCCCCATCCATCGCAGGGAGGGGGGCCAAGGCTGCTGGACCGGCAGAGGGCTGAGACCCTCGGGGTCCGGCTGATGCCTGCTCTGCCTTTGTCTCTCGTGTAGCAATTTGTGTTCCAGCTCACCAAACGGTACAGCGTTTGGATCGGGCTGAAGAACAATGGCCGGACGTGGAAGTGGGTGGATGGAACCCCCTACACGGTGCGCTGGAGGTGAGTCTGCCCACTCGCCTCTCTCCTCCCTCCCCATGGCTTCTGTTTTGGGGGGCAGCATTGGCACCTAGCAGGTCCCCTTCCAGACTGTAGGCTTTGTGTTTGCATACTTGTACACTTGTCCTCCTGGGGGGGGGGGGTCTTCAGATGCTGAAACCCCCTTGCGCTAATGGACTCCTGGAAACAGACACTGGGGTGGCTTCATTGCACAGTGCAAGCCCCCTGGCACCCTGAGGGCACGGGGGTCACGGGATAAGCCCTGGAAGTATGCAAAGCAGCGATGTGGGGATCATGCAGCCGGCCCCATATCCTTGGTGGGATCCTGCCAAACATGCAGGAAGCACCTGGTGGGATTCTGGGGCCCACACTGCCCTGGAGAAGGCAGCTGTGCCCCATGGGTTCTGGATACTCTCTTCCAGCAATGTTTCTCAACCTCAGCCACTTTAAGAGAGGCAGACTTCAGCTCCCAGAATTCCCTTTAAAATGTCAGAGGTTCAGTTCCCAGAATTCTCTTATTTAAGATCCCTGGACTTCCCAGAATTCTCTTTAAGAGATCTGGCTTCAAACCCCAGAATCCCTAAGCCAGCATGCCATTAGGGCGTAGGCGGTGCCCCCTCTTCTCCCCAACACCCCTGTGGACATTTTCACCTGGAGGAGGGCCGTCCTGTTGCACAACGCTCCTGTGAGTGCTTTTTTCCGTCAGTCAAGTCTTGATCTCCGAGTGGTGCTCTTTCTCCAGTTCACTTGCCCTGCTGATGCGGGCTTGTTTGCCAGAGACGGAATTGAAGCCAGTCTCACAATATGTTCACTGCTCAACAGGCCTTCCTAACATTATAGCTGTTATAACCAGAGTTCACTAACCAGGTTTCCTCAACTGACCCAGATTGGCATCCCCTGCAGCACAAACAAGCCAATTTGCACAATTCCCTCAGACTACGAAATGCCACCTCCCTTGTGACCCTCCCCCACTCCCATCACCTTAGTCAGGGGAAAATTGGATGGTTTCTGAGGGCCGTGGTTGGACTAGATGACCTCAGGGATCCTTCCAAATCTCGCCTGGCCTAGCTGCCTCTTCCACACAGACAGAAGGGGGTCTTCCTCCCACCCCTGGGTTGACCCCCCCCCTTTTCTGCTTTGCCCTTCCAGCGACTGGCTACCCAACCATCCAGCGTATTCTGACAACTTCTGCACCGAAACCTACTATGACGGGCTGTGGGCCCATGTCTTCTGCCACTTAAACTCATGGTGGTTGTGCGAGATGCAGGCGCTGCAGTGCGTCCCAGGGGAGACGCTGCCAGCCGGACCCCCATGAAGCAGCTGTCCGACGCCTCTTGGAGCCAATAAAACGAACCTGGGACAAAAATCCAAGGCAAAAATTGACCTCTTCTCTGCATCCTGGACGAGTGGAAAGGCGGGCAGCTCCCATCGGTCAGCAGGCAGGCCTGAGCTGGGTGGGGGGGCAGGGGGGGTTTCCAGCCTGGGACCCCAGCATGGTCTTCACACAACACGCTGAGCCGGCGGTATTCTGTCTTTGGGGGTTTTGTGGCTTATCCTGTTTTATTGATTGATTGATTAAGAAAACATATGTGGGCACCAAACTTACCGTTGGTGACTCTGGACGGCATCCATTCAGCCACCTATTGTCTGTCTGTCTCTAGCTCTATCATATTTATATTTCTATTTCTGTCTGCCTGCTATCTATCTATCTATCTATCTATCTATCTATCTATCTATCTATCTATCTATCTATCTATCTATCTATCTATCTATCCATGCAACCATCCATTCTTCTCATCTATCATCTCTCTCTCTAGCTCTATCATCTGCTTGTCTATCATCTCTCTAACTCTATTTTTCTTTCGCTATCTTCTCTATCAATTTTATCGTCCATCCAGTCCGTCCATCCATTTTATCATCTTATCTATTCATTCTATTTACCTGTCAATCTTTCTGGTCTCTATCCCTATCAATCTATCTTTATCTCTCCCTCTCTATCCATCTATCTATCACTATCACCTGTCTGTTGCTATCTGTCTGCCTGCCTGCCTGTCTGTCTGTCTGTCTGTCTATATCTATCTATCTATCTATCTATCTATCTATCTATCTATCTATCTATCTATCTATCTATCCCTCTCTCTCTCTCATCACCCCAGTGAATCCCAAGGCATTTCTTAGAAATTCAGATTTATTGCCAGCTTGGTACACCCTGAGTCAACCTGGGCAGCGTCTCAGGGGCTGGAAGAGACCCCCGCCCAGCAGGGCTCAAGGACCCCAGCCCGGCCCCTCTGCCCGCCTCGCCCAGGGCCAGCCGCTGCAGGGCCTCTGCCTCGAAGCGGAAGGAGTGCCAGCCCTCGGAGGCCGTCAGGTCCACGGCCCCTCGCCGGGAGTAGAAGTCGAATGCCAAGCGGTTCCAGTCCAGCACCCCCAGCCTCATTTGGGTGCAGCCTTTCTCCAAGGCGATCTGGGGGGCAGAGCGGAGAGGCTTAGCGCCAGGGGAGGGGATCCCTGGGAGGAGATGAGATCTGGGGGGGGGGGAGAAATTGGGTGGGTGGGCAAATGAGTTTGGGCCAATTGTGATGTTCTTGGGATATAGTGATGTGTGTCTTGACTGGTTAATGCAGAGCTCACAAACCTGCCCCTTTAAGACTTGTGGACTTCAACTCCCAGAATTCCTCAGCCAGCTGACACGGCTGAAGTCCACAAGCCTTAAAGGGGCCAGGCTTAGAGACCCCCCTAGTCTAATGATTCCAACTTCGAGGGGACAAGGAATGGGGGCTTGAAATCCACAAGTCTTAAAGGGGCAGGTGCCACAAATGGAATGTGGTTTGCATTGTCTCCTTTCGGGGGGGGGGAGGAGAGGGGGAAGGGTTACGGGGGTGGGTGGGAGGGGAGTGCGGCCGAACCTACCGGAATGTGATCCCCTGGTGGTCTCCCGTCCACGTTTAAATCTGGCCTCGTCCTCCTGCGTTTTCCCCAGATCTTCCTAGGTCAGCTGAGGGATGGGGGGACGGGGGGGGGGGAGGAACCGCCCTGCAGGAAAACTACAGGAGAGACCCCCCCACCCCAGGGGTGCAACCTCTAGGCCTCGACCCATCGGCTGGTGGGGAAGCCGACCGTAGCAAAGAGGTGGACCCCCCCCAAGTGGAAGACGAAGAGGCAGCCGGTTTAAAAGAAGCTTTATTGCTTTTAAAAAGACATCGGATCCGGGCGCTTTGCTTTCAACCCTCCCCGTGTGTTTTAACAGCTTGGAAGCCCCCCCCCCTCTGCGTCCTGGGTGCGAGAGGCGCGGTCGCAAGCCGGATCGGCCCAAGGCGTTGCCGGACGGCTTTCAGGTTGGCTCCGGCCCGCCTCGCAGGGAGGTCGCACGAGCCTCCCAAGGACAGGGGCTGGCTCTCAGGCCACCGATGGTCAACTTGCCTCAGGCACACACACACACACACACACACGCACAGAGTCCGGCCCAGTGAGATGGGACGGTGTTCAGATGCCCAGGTCCATCTCACAGACCCAGGTGAAGCTGCGGGAGCAGTGGTTGTCGTTCCACTGGCCGCCCCGCGTCATGTGGGCGCAGTCCTCTCCCCCCCCAAGGCCGTGGCCGTACCAGTGGTCTGGCTGGCCGATGGCCCAGTCCCTGGAAAGGAAAAAGGACGAAAAATTAAAAGGGAGGGAGGGAGGGGTGGGAGGGAGGAGGGAGGGAGGGGGGAGGGAGGAAGGAAGGAAAAGAAAGGGAGGGAGGGGGCATGGAGGGAGAGAGGAAGGGAGGGAAGAAAGGAAGGAAAAGAAAGGAGGGATGGAGGAAGTAAAAGAAAGGGAGGGAGGGGGCAGAGAGGAAGGGAAGGAAGTAAAAGAAAGGGAATGAAGGAGGAAGGAAGGAGGAAGGAAGCAAAGGTAAGAAGGAGAAGAAAAGGAGGGAGGGAGGAAGGAAGGAAGGAAGGAAAAGAAAAAGGAGGGAGGGAGGGGGAAAGGAAAAGGGAGGAGGAAGGAAAAGACAGGGAGGGAGGGGGCATGGAGGGAGAGAGGAAGGGAAGGAAGGAAGGAAGGAAGGAAAAGAGGGATGGAGGAAGGAAAAGAAAGGGAATGAAGGAGGAAGGAAAGAGGAAGGAAGCAAAGGAAGGAAGGAAAAGTAAAGGAGGGAGGAAGGAAGGAAGGAAGGAAGGAAGGAAGGAAGGAAGGAAGAAAAAGTGAAGGAGGAGGGAGGGAGGAAGGAAGGAAAAGAAAGGGAAGGAAGGAGGAAGGAAGGAAAGGTAAGAAGGAGAAGAAAAGGAGGGAGGAAGGAAGGAAAAGAAAAAGGAGGGAGGGAGGGGGAAGGAAAAGACAGGGAGGGAGGGGGCATGGAGGGAGAGAGGAAGGGAAGGAAGGAAGGAAGGAAGGAAAAGAGGGATGGAGGAAGGAAAAGAAAGGGAAGGAAGGAGGAAGGAAAGAGGAAGGAAGCAAAGGAAGGAAGGAAAAGGAGAGGGAGGGAGGGAGGAAGGAAGAAAAAGAAAAGTGAATCAGATTGAGTGTCTCCCGGCACCTCAAAGCAACTGTCTCCAAGCTGATCCCCCCCACCCACCCCCTCGAGCTGGACTACAACTCCCATCGCCCCCAGCCAGCCGGGGCCTTCCGCTGCTGCTTCTCCCTCTGCCTGAACTGGATTTTCCCAAGCGGTGTCAGGAGGCCAGCCGGCCTATGGATGCTCGGAGTGCCCCCCCCCCAGTGAAGGCAGGCGGAGGCCGTCCAGGGGATGCTAGCAGCCCCCATCCAGGAGGGAATAAAGATGATAGCGCTGACCCCCCTCCCACTTTATTCCCCCCCCTCCCCGTGAAAACAGCCTCTCTCGTTCTATCCATGGCATACAACTTTCTGCTGGCAGAAAGTGAGGGGTGGGGGGCCTTTCAGCCCCCTTGGGGGGGGGTAGAGGGCCAACGGTCAAGCGGGACTCACTTTGGGTCAATCGTGTACGAGGACCCGTCCACCCATATCCAGGAGCCACTCTCGTCGGTCAAGCCGATCCAGGTGTCGTCTCCCCGCCTGTTGTTCTTCACAAAGGCCTGGCGGGAGAAAACAGGCATGCATTCACACCCCGGGCGTCTCCCCCCAAAATGGATTTCCAACATTCCTGGATGGACAAACCCGCCACCTCCGGGCGGAGCAAGGGAGCGTGGCGGGAAGCCCGTGCGGGAGAAGTACAGGGTAGGTCCTCGCCTTAGGACGGCAGCCGAGCCCTGAATTTCCGTCGCTAAGCGAGACGGGGGGTTAAGTGAGCTTTGCCCCGTTCGAGTGGATCCCTGGTGTCCTTAAGCGAGTAACACGGTCGTTAAGCGAATCCGTGCGTCCCCACGGACGTTGCTTAGTCGCAAAAGGGGACCGATCGCGTGACGTCACAGACGCTGCGGCCATCATAACTACAAGGCAGTTGCCAAGCGTCCGAGTTTTGATCGCGTGACCACAAGGTCTCAGTCACTGGTCTGAGATGGTATAGGTCCTCCTGCTTGAGCGGGGGGGCTGGACTAGAAGACCTCCAAGGTCCCTTTCAGCTTTATTCTATTCTATTCTATTCTATTCTATCCATTTTTTCTATTCTATTCTATTCCTTATTTTTATTCTATTCTATTCTATTCTATTCCTTATTTCTATTCTATTCTATTTCTTATTTCTATTCTATTACTTATTTCTATTCTAATCCTATTCTATTCTGTTCTTTCTCTCCTCTATTCTATTCTATTCTATTCTATTCTATTCTATTCTATTCTATTCTATTCTATTATTCCTTATTTCTATTCTATTCTTTCTATTTCTATTATTCTCTTCTCTTCTCTTCCATATTCTATTCTACTCTATTCTATTCTACTATTTTATTCCTTATTTCTATTCTTTCTATTTCTATTATTCTCTTCTCTTCTATTCTATATTCTATTCTATTCTAATCTATTCTATTCTACTATTTTATTCCTTATTTCAATTCTATTCTATTCTTTCTATTTCTATTTCTATTATTCTCTTCTCTTCTCTTCTATTCCTTATTTTTATTCTATTCTATTCTATTCCTTATTTCTATTCTATTCTATTCCTATTCTATTCTATTCTACTATTTTATTCCTTATTTCTATTCTATTCTATTCTTTCTATTTCTATTATTCTCTTCTCTTCTATTCCATATTCTATTCTATTCTATATTCTCTTCTCTTCTATTCTATTCTGTTCCTTATTTCTATTCTATTCTCTCTGATTGATTTATTGATTCATTGATTAATTGAAATGGTATGGGTCCTCCTGTTTGAGCAGGGGGCTGGACTAGAAGACCTCCAAGGTCCCTTCCAGCTTCTATTCTATTCTAAGGATGCTGCAACGGTCGTAAGTGTGAAAAACGGCGGTTAAGTCCCTTTTGTCTTCAAGCAGTTGTAACTTCGGTCACTAAACAAACCGTTGCAAGTCCAAGGACTGACTCTCAGGGCCGAGAGTTGCAAAGGCCGGGCAGAGAATGGCGGGGAGCCCATGAGGAGCAAGGGCGGCCCCCCTGCCCTCTCTCCTGCCCCCTGCTGGAGACCCAGGGCACCGCCCAGCCCAGCCCACCTACTTTCTCCTCCGCGGAATTGATGATCACCAGGTGGGATTTCTTCTCCTCGCAGTCTTTTTTGGCCCCCTGCCAGCTGGTCCTCGACTGGGTTGTCCAGTAGCAGCTGGAGTGAAAGGTCAGCCAGCCTCGGGGACAGCAGCCGCTCTTGCTCCCTGTCGGCGGAGAGGGAAAAACCAGAGCCAAAAAAAAAAAAAAGAGGTTGAGACTTGGGGGAAAAGTGCAGAGAAGAGCAACGGAGAAGATTGAAAGAGCTGAGGTGGCACAGCAGTTAGGGTGCAGTACTGCAGGCCACTTTAGCTGACTGTGTTCAGCAGGTCAGCAGTTCAAATCTCACCGGCTCAAGGTTGACTCAGCCTTCCATCCTTCCGGGGTAGGCAAAATGAGGACCCAGATTGTTGGGGGCAATGTAAAATATATATACATTGCTTACTGGTCTACACCGCTTAGAGAGTGCTTGCACTTAAAGCGGTATATAAGTCTCATAAATAAAATAAATAATAATAAATAATAAAGGCCTGGAAGCTAAAAGGTACGAAGAAGAACAGCTGTAGGACTTGGGAACGTCCCGTCTAGAGAAAAGAAGGACCAGGGGGGGACAGGATAGCAGCCTTCCAGCATTTGAGGGGCTGCCCCAAAGAAGAGGGGAGGGGGGGTCCCCCTATTCCCCAAAGCCCCTGAAGGGCAGGAGAAGAAGCGACGGGTGGAAACCCATCAAGGAGAGAAGCAAGCTGGAACTAAGGAGAAATTTCCCAACAGGGAGGACAATTAACCAGTGGAACAACTTGTAATAGTAATAGGAATAGTAGTAAAGTTGGAAGGGACCTTGGAGGTCATCTAGTCCAACCCCCTGCTCAGGCAGCCGGGAGTTTTTAAGAAGAGACTGGACAGCCGTTTGTCTGAAATGGTATAGGGCTTCCGGCCTGCGCAGGGGGTTGGACTAGATAGGAGACCTCCGTGGTCCTTTCCAAGTATTCTGTATTCTATAGAAGTAAGTAGAAGAAGAAATGAGAGAAGAGAAGAGAAGAGAAGAGAAGAGAAAAGAGGAGGGAAGGGGAGGAGAGGGAAGGGGAGAGAAGAGGGGAGGGGTGAGAAGAGAAGAGAAGAGAGGAGAGGGAAGGGAAGGGGAGAGGAGAGGAGAGGAGAGAAGAGAAGAGAAGAGAAGAGAAGAGAAGAGAAGAGAAGAGAAAGGAGAGGGGAGGGAGGGGTGAGAAGAGGAGAGGAGAGAAGAAAAAGAGAAGAGAGAGGAGAGAGAAGAGGGAAGTGGAGAGAAGAGAAGAGAGAAAGGGGAGGGAAGGGAAGGGGAGAGGAGAGGAGAGAAGAGAAGAGAAGAGAAGAGAAGAGAAGAGAAGAGAAGAGAAAGGAGAGGGGAGGGGAGGGGAGGGGAGGGAGGGGTGAGAAGAGGAGAGGAGAGAAGAAAAAGAGAAGAGAGAGGAGAGAGAAGAGGGAAGTGGAGAGAAGAGAAGAGAGAAAGGGGAGGGGTGAGAAGAGAGGAGAGGGGAGGAGAGGAGAGGAGAGAAGAGAAGAGAGAGAAAGGAGAGGGGAGGGGAGGGGTGAGAAGAGAGGAGAGGAGAGAAGAAAAAGAGGAGAGAGGAGAGGGAAGTGGAGAGAAGAGAAGAGAGAAAAGGGAGGGGTGAGAGGAGAGGAGAGGAGAATATAATATAATATAATGTAATGTAATGTAATGTAAAGTAATGTAATGTAATATAATATAATATAATATAATATAATATAATATAATATAATATAATATAATATAATATAATATAATATAATATAATAAACCGGTTTTTACCATTGCTCTTCATTTCAATAATTTCACAGTTCAAAGTTCTGGAATTCTGCTCTACGGTTTCCAGCTGGGTCTGGGTCAGTTTCAACACTGGAAGACGAGTAGAAAGAAGCTTTGCACAGATACACACAGACACATAAACACACACACACACACACACACACACACACACACACACACACACACACAGCAGGATCCCAAGAGAAAAACTGAATCCCATCCCTGTCCATGGAAAACCCCTATCCTTGCCCTGATGCCACCCTGTCTCAGACTGCACAAAAGCACTTTTATGGTGGCAGATGTTGAGTTTAGTCCATCTTCTTTAGTCCACTGGAAGATGGACTTCAACTCCCAGAATTCCCCAGCAAGCACAGCTGGCTGGTGAATTCTGGGGCTTGAAGTCCACCCATCTTCCAGTTGCCGAGTTTGAAAAACAACGTATTAATCAATGGTGCCAAAAAACCACTAAGACATTTAATTCGGAGGCGGCTGCCTTCATAAGCAGCAGTAGCTCTTTTCATCAATGCATGCTGGCTGGGGAATTCTGGGAGAATTCTGGGGGAATTCTGGGACTTGAAGTCCACCCATCTTCCAGTTGGCAAGTTTGAAAAACACCGTGTTAATTGATGGTGCCCCCCCCAAAAAACCCAAGGTATTTCATTCAGAGGCAGTTGCTTTCATAAGCACCAGCAGCTCCTTTCATCGGTGCATGCTGGCTGGGGAATTCTGGGAAAATTCTGGGTGAAATCTGGGAGTGGAAGTCCACCCCAGTTTAAGTTGCCAGGTTTGGAAAACATGTCAATCAACGGTGGCAAAAAAAAAACCCACTAAGCCATTTGATTCCGAAGCGGGTGCTTTCATGAGAAGCTGCAACTGCATCAGCTCCCTTCATGGATGCATGGAGAGGCTGAGCTGATTGGGGGGGGGGTTGTTAAATTGGGATGGGGGAAAGGGGGGGGAGACAGGTTGGCTGGGCAGCTGCAGATGCCAGGTGAGCTGAGCTCATGAAAGCAGCTGCCTTTTAGTAAAAACCGCTCAAATTCTTTCCCAGACACCCCCCGACATTTACAGCAGCCGTTGTGTCCCCTTTCTCTCGCCAGGGATTTTGAGATGGGAGAAAGGCAACAATGAGCATCCCTTATTCCTCTGTGGAGACCGCCCCAGGTCCCCCCCCCAACTGCAGCCAGCTGGAAAAAAGGCTTTTTCCGGGGGGTGAAAAACGCTGACCGTTCAACCATTTATCCTCCTCCTGTTGCAAAATTTTCTGCAGCGCAGCCAGTTTCGAGGTGGTGTTTTGGCCTAAAGGGGACAAAAACGAGGGCCCTGTCAGAGCGGGGCCAATGGCCACGGGCCCCAAAGAGTCCTTGATTCGAGGACGGTGGGGAAAGGAGGACCCCTTCCTTGGCAGGAATTGCACCAGCAGCCTATGACACCCCAAGAGACATGTCGCTCCCCGTTCTCCAGTAAGATAGGCACCCCAGCGGATGCCTATCTCACCTGGGAAATTGGGGCTGGGGGTGGAAGAGGGGGTGGGGGGCTTGCACGCTGCTTCTCGCCCCCCTCTGGCTCCTTACTTTTGCCCTTGAGCTGGGTGACCCCCTGCTGGATCGTCTGGCTCACATTTTGCACGCCCTTCTGGGTCTCCTGCAGGGTTTTGGTGAACCAAAGGCCTGGAACAGAGAGAGGGAGGGAGGGAGGAAGCAGAGCCGAGGGAGGGGGCAACCCATAACCTTATCCCCGGGCTGTAGAAGCTGACCCTCTCCTCCTTTGACACAGGGTGGGCTCCCTTTTCCACACATGCCAAAGCTCCGTTATTCTCGTACGCTCTCTAGTTTGGGCCCATTCCTACAACGCCCGAAACCCAGGTTAAAAAAAACCCAAAGCCACAGCAGTCGCCTGGATTGATTGCCGCCAGACATAGGAGGTCTCTGCAAGTTTGGGCTTCGCCACGTGGACCCACCCACTTTTCCCTTCTTCCTTCGCTTCCCATTTTCAGTTCCGACTGAAGCTGCGGGCTCCATTACGGCTGTAAATCGGACACCAGCTGTAGCCGGGGTTGGACTAGACGGCGTGCAAGAGCCCTCTAGCTTTGGCCAGTTCCTACAGCGCCCGAAACCCAGGTTTAAAAAACAAAGGAGCGCAGGGTCTTCCCGCATTTCCATCACTTAGATCGCAGGTCAGGGATGACTCTTTGGCAGCTACAGAGCCTGAATCTTTTTCAAGGACGCCAGAACAGGTGTGAATTTGAAGCAGACGGTTCCCATAACAAAGTGAGCTTGTTGATATGGACGACGTAAGACGGGGGGGGGGGTGTTGTCTGGGGAAATTATTGTTTAAGTCTATGAACTGGTGTGAGAACCTCAGAGTTAGTTTTGCTTCGACACACCCATGCTGTGTATTCAATAAACAGTAAGATTTTCGGAGACGGAATGAGCCCGGAGTTTTATTTGGATTCTCTTGCTGGATGTTGACACCCCAGCGGTTTTGGGTTCCTCATGGACCAATCCACGTTTCTCTTATTTTTTCCCTTCCCATCTTGCACGCTCACTCTCCAACTCCAGGTCTGCCCCCACGCTTCCTCCCCCCCTGTGGGCATGCATCCCCACGTCCCAGCTCGTTTGTGTGACACACTCACCTTGCATGCCCAGGATGCTGACCAAGAGGATCAGAACGGCACAGAACACCGTCAACACCAGACGGAGACGGTTGGTGGGACAGACGCGCCGGGAAAAAGACTTCGACAACGGGAAGTCTGTGTGAAGAGAAGGATGTCCTGAAGACCCTCACCCACTCGCCTTTCAAGGACCAGAAGTGGACATTCGCAGGGTGGGGGGCTTTCCCCGGAAAAACAAGTGCAAGAATCTCTGAGACACCCATCAAAGGGGGGTACTTTCTGGACTTGCAGCCCTGACTAGACCTCGGGACCATAACATGGCTCCCCCAATGGAGGAGATTGAATTGGAATTGGAATTACAAATAGAATTTTAAGAAAAAATTAGAATTATTAGAATTAGAATTATTAGAATTAGAATTTTAGAATTAGAATTATTAGAATTAAAATTATTGGACTTAGAATTATTAGAATTAGAATTATTAGAATTAGAACTAGAATTAGAATTATTAGAATTAGAATTATTAGAATTAGAACTAGAATTAGAATTATTAGAATTAGAATTTTAGAATTTTAGAATTAGAACTTTAGAATTAGAATAGAATTAGAATTAGAGTTAGAGTTAATTAGTTAGAATTATTAGAATTAGAATTATTAGAATTAGAATTATTAAAATTAGAGTTAGAATTATTAGAATTAGAATTATTAGAATTAGAATTTTAGAGTTAGAATTAGAATTATTAGAATTAGAATTTTAGAGTTAGAATTAGAATTATTAGAATTAGAATTTTAGAGTTAGAATTAGAATTATTAGAATTAGAATTATTAGAATTAGAATTATTAGAATTAGAATAGAATTATTAGAATTATTAGAATTAATAAGGTCCCTTCCAACTTTACTATTATTATTATTATTATTAATTTTAGAACTTCAGAATTAGAATTTTAGAATTAGAATTAGAATTATTAGAATTATTAGAATTAGAATCAGAAATAAACTGGAAGGAACCTTGGAGGTCTTCTAGTCCAGTCCCCTGCTCAAGATCTCCAGGTTTCCACCCTATCAATCCACCTTCCCCCCCCACACACACCAATACCCACACCCAGCGCCTGTACGTGATTTGAATCCGCTTCCGGGTACCTTTTTCAAAGTGTTTTTCATACTCTTCCTCCTCTTTTCCAGGCGGGAAGTCCTCGTACGTCTCGGCCGTAGTGGGGGGCTCCGAAGCTTCCATGCTGGGGAGAAAGGGGCAGAGGTGGGTGGGTGGGTGGGTGGGAGGGAGATACTGGAGGGGAGGGGGAGGCAATGGGGAAGGGGCCATCATGGGGCACATGGGGGGGGTCTGGAGATAGGGACCAAGTCTCTGCGGACCAGAATCTTTCAACCTTGGCCACTGGAAGATGGGTGGGCTTCAACTCCCAGAATTCCCCAGCCAGCGCATGCTGGCTGGGGAATTCTGGGAGTTGAAATCCACCCATCTTCCAGTGGCCAAGGTTGAGGATGCTGATTTGCAGAGATAGCTTCTCCTCTCAAAAGAAGCAACCTGACTCTCCCCCCCTTAACACAAGGTCTCTTCTTTAGCTGTAACTTGCTAAGAGTCATTTTACTAGTCCTCAGTTTACAACGATTCATTTAGTGACCGGCGCCGGAAAAAGGGACTCGTGGCTGTTTTGCAGGCTGACAACCATTGCAGCAGTCCCACCCCACCCCCCAGTGGCCACGTCATCCAAATTTGGCCAATGACTCCGCTTTACGACGATGTGCCCAGGGGGGGTGTCCCGTGATCCCCTTTGGCGACCGTCCGACTAAGCAAAGTCAATGGGGGGGGAGCAGGATTCGTTTAACGACCGTGTTTCACTTAAAAACTCGTCAAGGAGAGAAGCAAGCTGGAACTAAGGAGAGACTTCCTGACAGCGGGGAGAATTGATCCGTGGAACCGCTGGCCACTAGATGTCTTGACTTTCTCCAACAATGCAGGTTTTGAAGAAGAGATTGGACAAGCGTTTGTCTGAGATGTAATATGGGGGGGGGTTGAGCAGGAGGAAGGAAGGAAGGAAGGAAGGAAGGAAGGAAGGAAGGAAGGAAGGAAGGAAGGAAGGAAGGAAGGAAGGAAGGAAGGAGAAAAAGAGGGAGGGAGGAAGTAAGAGGCAGAAGGAAGGAAGGAAGGAAGGAAGGAAGGAAGGAAGGAAGGAAGGAAGGAAGGAGAAAAAGAGGGAGGGAGGAAGTAAGAGGCAGAAGGAAGGAAGGAAGGAAGGAAGGAAGGAAGGAAGGAAGGAAGGAAGGAAGAAAAGGGAAGGAAGGAAGGAGATGGAAACAGAGGGAGGGAGGGAAGGAAGGAAAGAAAGAAGGAATGAGAAGAAGAGGGAGGGAGGGGAGGAAGGAAGGAAAGAAAGAAGGATGGAATGAGAAGAGCGAGGTAGAAAGTAAGACAGGCAGAAGGAAGGAAGGAAGAAAAGGGAAGAAGGAAGGAAGGAAGGAAGGAAGGAAGGAAGGAAGGAAGGGAGTAGGAGGAAGAGGAAGGAAGGGAGGGAGGGAAGGAAACAAAGAAGGAGATGGAAAGGGAGGGAGGGAGGGAAAGAAGGAAAGAAAGGAGGGAATGAGAAGAAGAGGGAGGGAGGGAAGGAAGGAAGGAGAAGAAAAGGGAAGGAGGAAGGAAAGAAAGAAGGAGATGGAAAGGGAGGGAGGGAAGGAAGGAAAGAAAGAAGGAGGGAATGAGAAGAAGAGGGAGGGAGGGAGGGAGGAAGGGAGAGGGAAGGAAGGAAGGAAGGAAGGAAGGGAGTAGGAGGAAGGAGGAAGGAATGGAGGAAGGGAAGGAAAGAAAGGAGATGGAAAGGGAGGGAGGGAAGGAAGGAAGGAAAGAAAGAAGGAGGGAATGAGAAGAAGAGGGAGGGAAGGAAGGAAGGAAGGAAGGAAGGAAGGAAGGAAAGGAAGAAGGAGGGAATGAGAAGAAGAGGGAGGGAGGGAGGGAGGGAGGGAAGGAAGGAAGGAAGGAAGGAAGGAAGGAAGGAAGGAAAGGAAGAAGGAGGGAATGAGAAGAAGAGGGAGGGAGGGAGGGAGGGAGGGAGGGAAGGAAGGAAGGAAGGAAGGAAGGAAGGAAGGAAGGAAGACTGCCTGGTTGAGACTGAGACCACCCTGAAAACCCACTCTCTACCATGTGAAGACTTCCTGCTTCAGTATACTACGCAAACAAAGGCCCTGAGCTTGGTCCTAACTGAGCAGGGGGTTGGACTAGATGACCTCCAAGGTCTCTTCCAGCTTTATTATTATTATTACTATTACTATTATTCTAGAAGACCTCCAAGGTCCCTTCCAGGTCTTTCATTCTGTCAGTCCCCCCGAGGCCACTCTCCCTTGGGGACCGGGTGGAGGAAGGTGCTGACCACCCCTTTGGCTACTCACTTGACCACTGACGTCGCCATGCTGCCCTTCTGCCCCCGTCTCTTCCTTTGCGGGACCTTGCAGGCCGGGGTCAGCCAGAACTCTCCGCTCTCCCAGCCTGGGTGAGGACGCAGCCCTGGGCAAAGTTTGGCCACAGCGAAGGTCCGTGGCCCAATTTCATCCCCCGCCCACCTGCCTGGCGGCTACGAAAGCGGGGCCGGCCGGAGGAGGCCGGACCAGGTTGTGGAGTGGGCAATGGGATCCTTTGGGTCCTCCCCCCCATCCCTCCCCAGGGGACCTTTGCTCCGTCAATATTATCTCTGCCCAGAGCGGTGGAGTGCACCGTTCGCTGGATAAACGCTCCGCAAACTGGCGATGGGCCAGCGTTGCTCCACCTTGGAGGTGGGTGGACTTCATTTCCCAGAATTCCCCCAGCCAGCAAAAGGATTCTGGGAATTGACATCCACCCGTCTTCAAGTTGGCGAGGTTGAAAAACATCCCTGCAGAAGTGGACCTTAAGGAAGGTGGGATGGGATGGGATGGGATGGGATGGGATGGGAAGGAAGGAAGGAAGGAAGAGAAAGGAAGGGAGGGAGGGAGGAAGCAAGCAAGGAAAGAAAGAAAGAAAGAAAGGGAAGGAGTAAGGATGGAAGGAAAGAAGGAAGGAGATGAAAAGGGAGGGAGGAGGGAGGAAAGGAAGGAAGGAAAGAAAGAAAGAAAGAAAGAAAGAAAGAAAGAAGGAGGCAATGAAAGAAGATGGAGGGAGGAAAGAAGACAGGCAGGAGGAAGGAAGGAAGGAGATGGAAAGGGAAGGAGGGAGGGAGGAAGGAAGGAAGCAAGGAAGGAAGGAAGGAAGGAATGAAAGAAAGGGAAGGAGGAAGGATGGAAGGAAGGAAACAAGGAAGGAGATGAAAAGGGAGGAAGGAGGGAGGAAAGGAAGGAAGGAAAGAAAGAAAGAAGGAGGCAATGAAAGAAGATGAAGGGAGGAAGGAAGGAGATGGAAAGGGAGGGAGGAAGGAAGCAAGCAAGGAAGGAAGGAAGGAAAGAAAGGGAAGGAGGAAGGATGGAAGGAAGGAAACAAGGAAGGAGATGAAAAGGGAGAGAGGAGGGAGGAAAGGAAGGAAGGAAAGAAAGAAAGAAAGAAGGAGGCAATGAAAGAAGATGGAGGGAGGAAGGAAGACAGGCAGGAGGAAGGAAGGAAGGATGGAAAGGGAGGGAGGGAGGGAGGAAGGAAGGAAGGAAGGAAGGAAGGAAGGAAGGAAGGAAGGAAGGAAGGAAGGAAGGAAGGAAGGAAGGAAGGAAGATTGCCTGGTTGAGACTGAGCCTACCCTGGAAGCCCACTCTCTACCATGTGAAGACTTCCTGCTGCAGTATACTGCGCAAACAAGGGCCCTGAGGTTGGTTCAGCCAACCACGGTCTGATCAAACCAGGGTTCCACCCCCTCCCCCCCCAGCGAAGAGTTCCCTCTAGCTTAGCCTCTTTCCCTCTCTCTCCCCATCCTCTGCCCCAGCATCCTCTCGCTTGCCCTGTTGATTTTCAGCCTGCCACCTCTTGCTGAGTGGGCGGGGCCAGGGCTCATTGGGGAGTGGCTGGCCCCAAACAGCCTCCACCTGCCATCCTTTCCCTGGCTGGGCTGAGTCTCTGGGACCAGCCATGGCTGCCTGCTTCTTTCTCCCCTTGTTGGCTCTCTTCCTGCGGGGGTGCCCTGCCCGGCTGCCCACTGATGCCCACCCCCCGGTGCAGGTGGAGTGTGGGCCCCACCGGATGGTGGTGACCGTCCACCGGGACCTCTTTGGGCTGGGGAAGCTGGTGGAGCCCACGGAGCTGGCTTTGGGGGCTGCTGCCTGCCCTCCATCCAGGCTGGAGGCTGCGGCAGGGACGGTGGTCTTCCAGGTGGGACTCCACGAATGCGGCAGCGTGGTGCAGGTACGCCCGTCGAGGGGAGGGGGGCTCTGGGAGGAAGAAAAGGGGAGGATGGTGGGGTCTGGAGAGCTGCTACCAACTCTGGGGGACACCCTTACACCAGGCTTTCCCAACCGTGACCCACTTGGAGATGCCTGGACGTCAACTCCCAGAATCCCCCAGCCAGCTTTGCAAAGCTGGCTGGGGGATTCTGGGAGTTGACGTCCAGGCATCTTCAAGTGGTCACGGTTGGATTAAAGCAGGGGTCTTCAAACTGGGCCCTTTGATGACTTGTGGACTTCAACTCCCAGAATTCCTCAGCCGGCGTGAGGGAACTAGGACCCTTTGGTGACTTGGGGACTTCAACTCCCAGAATTCCTCAGCCGGCATGAGGGAACTATGCCCCCCTTTAGGACTTGTGGACTTCAACTCCCAGAATTCCTCAGCCAGCATGAGGGAACTAGGACCCCTTGATGACTTGTGGACTTCAACTCCCAGAATTCCTCAGCCAGCGTGAGGGAACTAGGACCCTTTTATGACTTGTGGACTTCAACTCCCAGAATTCCTCAGCCAGCGTGAGGGAATTAGGACCCTTTGATGACTTGGGGACTTCAACTCCCAGAATCCCTCAACCAGCGTGAGTGAACTATATCCCTTTTATGACTGGTGGACTTCAACTCCCAGAATTCCTCAGCCGGCGTGAGGGAACTAGGGCCCTTTGATGACTTGGGGACTTCAATTCCTAGAATTCCTCAGCTAGGCACTTCCTGGGTGAGGAATTCTGGGACTTGAAGTCCACAAGTGATCAAAGGGCCCAGTTTGAAGACCCCTGGTTTAAAGAAAGTTTCTCCCTGGAAACCACTTCTGGACTTTTTGTCTTTGAGGTGGGAAAAAAATAAATAATGAAACTTTGATTTGGGGTTTTGCTGATTAGGAAGGCCTAGTGTTCTAGACTAGAAATGGCTAGTATATATGATGATATTTATATATTTATATTTCTATTATATACAAGTAAAAAGCTGAGGTTTTATGTTGTTGTGACCTTATTCTACTGCCCCCAAAGCAGCCAATGCTTTTCTTTCTCTTTTATCCTATACTGTTTTCTCTTCCCCTTTTCCCATCTTCCCTTCCCCTGGTTTTCACTTTATTATTTTGATACGCTAATAAAATATTTGAAACCAGGAGAAACCCAGTCCTGACCCAACCGCTCACACAGTTTTCCTGGTCGCCCCGTTTTCCAGAGAGTTGGCACCCGCGCCTTGTGGGTCGGCGGGTGCCGCCTGCACTCGCCCCACGGCCAAACCGACCTGGCTCCCCTCTTTTCAGATGACCCCCGACTTCCTGGTCTACCAGACGCAGCTCTTCTACAAGCCCTCGCTGGCTAGCCACCCGGTCATTGCCCGAAGCCGCGGGGCCACCATCGGTCTGGAGTGCCATTATCCCAGGTGACGGTCAGCCCTGGCTAGGCCAGGTTGGGGGGGGCGGGAATGGCAGGTGGGGGAGTGGCCTCTACCCATTGGGGTCTTGCTCCTTGCGGCAGTTGCGGAAGGCTGGAGCTGCTCTAGAGAGGTTGACTCAAAGGGCTGGTTAAAGGAGGGAGGGAGGGAGGGAGGGAGAAGAGGAAAGAAAAAGGGAGGGAAGGAGGGAGGGAGGAAGACAGGTGGAAGGAAGGAAGGAGATGGGAATAGGAAGGAAGGAAAGAAGGAAGGAAGGAGATGGGAATGAGAAGAAGAGGGAGGGAGGAAGGGAGGAAGGAAGATGGGAATGAGGAGGGAGGAAGACGAGGGAGGAAGGAAGACAGGCAGAAGGAAGGAGGTGGGAATCGGAAGGAAGGAAAGGAAGGAAGGAAGGAAGGAAGGAAGGAAGGAAGGAAGGAAGGAAGGAAGGAGATGGGAATGAGAAGAAGAGGGAGGGAGGAAGGGAGGAAGGGAGGAAGGAAGATGGGAATGAGGAGGGAGGAAGACGAGGGAGGAAGGAAGACAGGCAGAAGTAAGGAGGTGGGAATAGGAAGGACGGAAGGAAGGAAAGGAAGGAAGGAAGGAAGGAAGGAAGGAAGGAAAGAAGGAAGGAAGGAAGGAAGGAAGGAAGGAAGGAGATGGGAATGAGAAGAAGAGAGGGAGGGAGGAAGATGAGGGAGGGAGGGAGGGAGGGAGGAAGATGAGGGAGGAAGGAGATGGGAATAGTTCCCTCACGCTGGCTGAGGAATTCTGGGAGTTGAAGTCCACCAGTCATCAAAGGGCCCAGCTGGAAGATCCCTGGATTATCCGAAGCACAAGGTTGCTGTGACATGTGAGGCCATCATGAATCAAGAGAGCTGGGTGGGAGGGGAGATAAACTGGACCCCCCCCCTTTGTTCCTTGTCTCTGTTCCTTGCAGGAAAGACAATGTGAGCAGCCAAGGCCTCCGTCCCACCTGGGTCCCCTTCGAATCCACGGCGTCGAGGGAAGCAAAGTTGGCGTTCTCCTTGAGGCTGATGAACGGTAAGGCAGCCCGGAGAGGACCAAAGGCTGGAGGGGTTCACCTGGGGAATTCTGGGAGGGGAAGTCCAGAGCCCTGAAAGTCGCCAAGGTGGAGGAGCGCTGAGGAGAGTTGCCCCCCCCCTTGTTTGAAACTTCCCCGTTGGCCAACCCAACCGGCCAACCTGAGCTTGGTTGACCATCTAGGGTGGACCTCTGCTGAGATCTCCTGGGGCTGCTCTCCATTGGGGGGGTACGCTTCCATGCCAACTGAACCCCCCCCCTCCCGTACTGTTGGCGCAGTGGTTCTCCACCTGTGGGTCGGGACCCCACTTGGGGTCGAACGACCATTTCACGGGGGTCGCCAAACGCAGTCCGCCATTTTTTCCCCCCCTTTTCCTTAGCTGTGCTCCTCCCTTTTATTCTATTGGCTTTTGAAAGCCAATCGAAGAGACTCTCTTGAATAGAGTCTAATTCTATTGGCTTTCGAAAGCCAATAGGAATTGTCCAGGCTGTCTCTGCCCTGCTGAGCCCGCCAAAAGTCCCCTTCTGCAAACGGTGCTGCACCAGTTGAGTAGTCCTCGACTTACGACCGGTGGAGTAGTCCTCAACTTACGACTGGTTGGGGGTCGCGGCATTCAAAAGGTGGAGAACCACTGTGTTGGTGTGTTGGTAGCCATGGTAACCGAAGGTGGCCCACTCAACCGCAGCTTTGTGCCTTTCTTGGCTCAGATGATTGGACGGCCGAAAGAGCTTCGGACCGCTTCCTGCTAGGGGAGCCCTTGCACCTCCAGGCCGATGTCCAGGCGGAGGAGCACCTGCCCCTGAGGCTCTGGGTGGAGAGCTGCAGAGCCGGCTTGAGCCCCAGGCCCACCTCCGGGCCCCAGTATGACGTCCTGGGGGCCAGCGGGTAAGAGACGCGGCGTGGGAAAGGCTCCCCTCCGGAGACTGTGGGTGCTCCACAATGGAGGTTTGTGAGAAGAGACTGGACAGCCATTTGGGCAGGATGGTATAAGATCTCCTGCCTCGGACAGGGGGTTGGACTAGATGACCTCCGAGGTCCCTTCCAACCCTAGGATTCTATGATCTCTCCCTCTCCCTTTCTCCATCCATATCTATCTATCTATCTATCTATCTATCTATCTATCTATCTATCTATCTATCTATCTATCTATCCATCCATCCATCCATCCATATCTCTATCTATCACTTTGTCCCTCTCCATCTATCTGTATCTATCCATCTATCTATCCTTTTCCATCCATCCATCCATCTGTATCTCTCTCTTTTTCCATCCATCCAGCCATATCTATCATCTATCTGTCTCTCTGTCTGTCTGTCTATCCATCTATCTATCCTTCCATCCATCCATCCATCCATCCATCCATCCATCCATATCTCTATCTATCACTTTGTCCCTCTCCATCCATCTGTATCTATCCATCTATCTATCCCTTTCCATCCATCCATTTGTATCTCTCTTTTTTATCCATCCATCCATATCTATCATCTATCTATCTATCTATCTACCTATCTGTCTGTCTGTCTATCCATCTATCCTTCCATCCATCCATCTGTATCTCTCTCTCTCTTTTTATCTATCCCTTTTCCCTCTCCATCTATCTGTATCTATCCATCTATCTATCCCTTTCCATCCATCCATCTGTATCTCTCTTTTTTCATCCATCCATCCATATCTATCATCTATCTATCTATCTATCTACCTATCTGTCTGTCTGTCTATCCATCTATCCTTCCATCCATCCATCTGTATCTCTCTCTCTCTCTTTATCTATCCCTTTTCCCTCTCCATCTATCTGTATCTATCCATCTATCTATCCCTTTCCATCCATCCATCTGTATCTCTCTTTTTTCATCCATCCATCCATATCTATCATCTATCTATCTATCTATCTATCTATCTATCTATCTATCTATCTATCTATCTACCTGTCTGTCTATCTATCCATCTATCCTTCCATCCATCCATCCATCTGTATCTCTCTCTCTCTCTCTTAATCTATCTATCCCTTTTCCATCTATCTGTATCTATCCATCTATCTATCCCTTTCCATCCATCCATCTGTATCTCTTTTTCCATCCATCCATCCATCCATCCATCCATACATCCATACATCCATCCATCCCTATCTATCTATCTATCTATCTATCTATCTATCTATCTATCTATCCATCCATCCATCTATCTAATCTATCTATATCCCTATCTCTCTTAATCTAAAAATCGATCATCCATCATCTATCTCTATCTATCTATCTCAATCTATCATCTATATATCTTTATATCTAGGTCTCTATATCTACCCATTTTTCCTGGATGGTATAAGGCCTCGGGGCCCTGGGGGTTGGACTAGAAGACCTCCATGGTCCCTTCCAAGGGCTCTCACCTTGCAAGGCTTGAAGCCACCTGAATCTCCCTCTGGGTTAGTAGGGACCACAATTCCCAGAGTTCCACTGTAGCTGGGAATTCTGGGAGTCGTATCTTTAATTGGGAAGAAATGGCGGCTGGTTCTTCCTGCCAAACCGCAAGGGGGAGTCCTGGACTTAGGACCACAATTGAGCCCCAAATTTCCGTTGCTAAGCGAGACAGTTGTTAAGTGAGCCTTGCCCCAATTTACGACCTTTCCTGCCATGGTCGTTAAGCGAATCCCTGCGGTTAATTGAGAAACACGGTCGTTAAGCGAATCTGCCAAAGGGGATCGCGTGACCCCTCTGGGACGCTGCGACCATCGTAAACATGAGTCAGTGGCCAGGCAGATGAATTCTGATCACGTGACCGTGGTGGACGCTACGACGGTCAAGTGTGAAAAACAGCCCTAAATCCCTTTTTCCAGAGCCATTGTAACTTCGAACGGTCACTAAATGAACCGCTGTTAAGTCGAGGACCGTCTCTACTCTGGGTGGGAGGAACTGGGGGGTCTTGCTAGCAGCTGATACCCCCCCTCTCCCGCAGATGCCTGCTTGACGGGCGGATAGACGGGGTCTCGTCCGCCTTCCTCGCCCCGCGGCTACGCCCGGAGACCCTGAGGTTCACGGTGGATGCCTTCCGATTCACTGAAGAGGCCCAAAAACTGGTCTGTCCTGCTGTGGAGGATGGGTTGGGGGGTGGTGGGCAGAGGGCTCCTGTGCCTGGATGGATTCTGCTCATTCACACACACACACACACACACACACACACACACACACACACACACACACCAGGAATTGCAACACTTGGGGGCTTTTTAGAAAGCTCCAACCCAATTCCCACCCTTTCTCTCTTCCCTGAAGATCCGAAGTCCACCGTAACGGCCCACTTTCTAGGACGTATTAAGCCATGATTCCCAGGCTAAGCCAGTGTTTCTGAAAATTAACAACTTTAAGATGAGTGGACTTCAATTCCCAGGATTCCCCAGTCAGCAAGATTTACCTGCATTCAGCAGGGACAGAGCAAGAACAAACATGGCTAGACTATCCATGTTTTTTGCGAGGGGGGTTGATAACTTTCTTAATAGATAGTGGGAATGCAGGAGACATATCTTGACTTCCGCAAAGTGGGAAAAAAATAGTTGGCTGGGAAATTCTGGGAGTTGAAGTCCCCACGTCTTAAAGTGGCCGAGTCTGAGTAACGCTATGTGAAGCCAAACCCAGATCAACTAAATTATAGTATAGGGCAGGGGTAGGCAACCTTGGCTCTTTTATGACTCATGGATTTCAACTCCCAGGCTGGCTCAAGAATTCTGGGAGTTGAAGTCCACGAGTCCTAAAGGGGGCCATAGTTCCCCCAGGCTGGCTCAGGAATTTTGGGAGCTGAAGTCCATGAGTCCTAAAAGGGACATAGTTCCTCCATGTTGGCTCAGGAATTCTGGGAGTTGAAGTCCACGAGTCATGAAGGGAGCCATAGTTCCCCCAGGCTGGCTCAGGAATTCTGGGAGTTGAAGTCCACGAGTCCTAAAAGGGCCATAGTTCCCCCATGCTGGCTCAGGAATTCTGGGAGTTGAAGTCCACGAGTCATGAAGGGGCCATAGTTCCCCCATGCTGGCTCAGGAATTCTGGGAATTGAAGTCCATGAGTCCTAAAAGGGTCATAGTTCCCTTATGCTGGCTCAGGAATTCTGGGAGTTGAAGTCCAGGAGTCATCAAGGGAGCCATAGTTCCCCCATGCTGGCTCAGGAATTCTGGGAGTTGAAGTCCACGAGTCCTAAAAGAGCCAAGGTTGCCTACCCCTGGCCTAGCGGGTATCTCATTTGCCTGGCACACGAACCCCGTTATAAAAATTGAGCCCTTCAGTTTGTTTGTCACTCTGGATTTTCCTTGAACAATGACGCTCAGCTGGCCGGGGAATTCTGGGAGTTGAAGTCCACCCCCCTTCAAATGACAAAGGTTGAGAGATACGCCTTTATGGCGAGGGAGGAAAATGTGGATTTTAAAAATTCCCTTTTTTTTCCAGATCTACATCACCTGCCGCCTGAAAGTCACCCCAGGAGAGCAACCTCCGGATGCCTTGAACAAAGCCTGTTCGTTCGATGCAGCCAGCCATTCGTGAGTGCGCCCTGGCCCAACACGCGTCGTCTTCTACTTACGACCCCATTTCCATCGCTAAGCGAGACGGTCCTTCAAGTGAACTTTGCCTCGTTTTACGGACTTTTTGCCACCGTGCTTGTGAAGTTAGGAATGCGGGGGTAAAGGGAGCCTGGCTGCCTGATTGCTTGCCAGTCGGTCGCCAAAGGGGGCATCCCCTGACCCCCCCGGGGGAACGCGGCGACCGTCGTAAATCCGAGTCGGTTGCCCAGTGTTGAATGTTGATCGCGTGACCCTGGTGATTGCTGCCACGGTCGTTAAACGTGAGAAACGGTCATAAGTCACTTATTTCTGGGCCGGTGTCGCTCTGAGCCGTCACTAAAGGAATCGGTGGACTGCCCATATTAGCCCAGTTCAAGGGGGCCTGGTCTGTCCCGCAGTTCTGTAAGGGCGCTGTGGGAGTTGTAGCGCGGCACCTGTAAAGAGCAGTGGGTTGCGGGGTGGCTGGGAGACCCCTGGGAATCTTAGCCTCCCGCCTTGCAAGGTCTATCACCTTCCCTTCTCCGGGGTACTCACCGGTTGAGGGACTGGAGCAAGGGTTCCCAACCCCCTGGGGGTGCGAGACGATATTCCAGGGGGTGCGAAAATTATAGTGTAGAGGCCTAATTCGTTGCTGCTATTTTGCATTTTGGCAAGGGGTGGGAGAATGAGGACCCAGATTGTTGGGGGCAATGTAAATATATATATACATTGCTTACAGGTGTACACCGCTTAGAGAGTGCTCGCACTTAAAGCGGTATATAAGTCTCATAAATAAATAAATAAATAAATATGTCCGAAGCATTGGGGAGCCCTGGAATAGAGGCTGGGTCTTCTTCTACAGCCAGCTGTTTTTCCTTCCCCCCCCCCGGCAGGTGGGTCCCTGTGGAAGGACCCAGTGCCATCTGCAGCTGTTGCGAGACCCAGAGCTGCAGTGGGGCAGTGGAGGGGCCGGACCCCCAAGGCTCTGAGAACGGAGAGATCCCCTGGCAACGGAGCTTGACAGGTAAAAATCCGACGGGATGGTTTCCGGCTTCTGCATTTGAAGTGAGAACAGAATACAGCTGGAAGGGACCTTGGAGGTCTTCTAGTCCAGCCCCCTGCTGGAGCAGGAGACCCTAGCTAGACCATTTCAATCAATCAGAATAGAGCTGGAAGGGATCTTGGAGGTCTTCTAGTCCAGCCCCCTGCTGGAGCAGGAGATCCTAAACCATTTCATTCATCAATCAATCAATCAATCAATCATTCAATCAATCAATCAATCAGAATAGAGCTGGAAGGGACTTTTCCAGCGTTGGCAACTTTTAAGATGGGTGGACTTCAACTCCCAGAATCTGCTGGCTGGGGAATTCTGGGAATTCTGAGAATTGAAGTCCACCCATCTTAAAAGTGGATAAGTTCCTCCTTCTGTTATGTAGTCAAGATGGATGGTGATAAGTATTTACACGTTACTTATATGTAAAGGTGGTAGGTCTATACATAGGTTGTGTAGCGCATGCTTACATGTGTGTTATGTATGTGTACACTTGGAGAGCAAGCAACTAAATTTCATTTTTAAATGTGTGCCGTTGTGCGTACAGTAAAAAATGACAATAAGGATAATCTAGCTATAACAGGGGTCTTCAAACGTGGTCCTTTGATGACTTGTGGACTTCAACTCCCAGAATTCCTCAGCCAGGCAGTGCCTGCCTGAGGAATTCTGGGAGTTGAAGTCCACAAGTCATCAAAGGACCACGTTTGAAGACCCCTGATCTATAAGCTTGAGAAACAGTGCAGTTGAGGGCAGCAAATTTTACACCAGGGGTCTTCAAACTTGGCCACTTTAAGACTTGTGGACTTCAACTCCCAGAATTCCTCAGCCAGCATGCCTGGCTGATGAATTCTGGGAGTTGAAATCCACTCATCTTAAAGTTTCCAGCTTTTTTTTTTTTTTTTTTTAAAGGTTTAGACCAGGAGTCTTCAAAGTCGGCCATTTGATGACCTGTGGACTTCAACTCCCAGAATTCCTCAGCCAGCGTGCCTGCCTAAGGAATTCTGGGAGTTGAAGTCCACAGGTCATCAAAAGGCCAAGTTTGAAGACCCCCGTTTTACACAATTTTCTTTGCTGCTGCCCTCTGGTGGCCATTTGTGGTTCTGCAGCCCTTTTCTAAGCACTTAAACAGCCAATGTTTGCTGGTTTCCGCCCCCCACATCCCACCCCACCCCACCCCAAAAAAAACCCATTGTACAAAACACTCCTTCTCTAAAGGAACCAGAAGAATGGAATAACAGAATTGGAAGGGACCTTTGGAGGTCTTCTAGTCCAACCCCCAAACTGGGTTTCCAGTTTCCAAAGTGGAGCATGCTAAGCCAGATCAAACCCAAGGTCGGGATGGTTGAACGGAGAACGCTTGCAGGAATTGGGTACAGCTAATCCAGAGAAAAGAAGGATCGGGGGTGACATGATAGCAGCGTCCCAATTTGTAAGGGGTTGCCCCCCCAAAGAAGAGGAGGTGGGGTCCCCCTATTTCCCCAAAGCCCCTGAAGGCCGGACAAGAAACAACGGATGGAAACTCATCAAGGAGGGAAGCAACTTGGAATTAAGGAGAAACTTCCTGACATTAGTCGACGGAACTGCTTGCCACCAGAAGGTGTGGCTGCCCCAACCCTGAAGAGAATGGACAATCATTTGTCTGAAATGGTCTAGGGTCTCCTGTTTGACGGGGGGTTGGACTAGATGACCTCCAAGGTCCCTTCCAGGCCTGTTATTCTGTTATTCCTTCCTTCCTTCCTTCCTCCCTCCCTCCCTCCCTCCCTCCTTTCTCCAACACTGGAAGTTTTTAAGAAGAGACTGGACAGCCCTTTGTCTGAAATGGTGTAGGGTCTCCTGCCTGAGCAGGGGGTTGGACTAGATGACCTCCAAGGTCCCTTCCGAGTCTCTTATTCTATTATTCCTTCCGTCCTTCCTTCCTTCCTTCCTTCCTCCCTCCCTCCCTCTCTTCTCCAACACTGGAAGTTTTTGAGACTGGACAGCCATTTGTCTGAAATGGAATAGGGTCTCCTGCTTGAGTTGGCGGTTGGACTAGATGACCTCCAAGGTCTCTTCCGAGTCTCTTATTCTGTTATTCTTTCCTTCCCTCCTCCAACACTGGAAGTTTTTAAGAAGAGACTGGACAGTCATTTGTCTGAAATGGTGTAGGGTCTCCTGCCTGAGCAGTGGGTTGGACTAGATGACCTCCAAGGTCCCTTCCAGGCCTGTCATTCTGTTAAATCTCCATTTCGTGGTGCTCTCTCCACAAAAACCTGCTTTGGCTGCAGTTGGGTTCCTTTCAGCCGGCTAGGCTGAAATTCAAATGGGGAAGCCTGGGGGGCAAGGGGGGGGGATAGCTCTCCCCGTTCTTGCCAGGGGTCAGGGCTGAGAGTCCAGAAGGGAACCGAGGTAGGGCTCAGCTCAGGCTCACCTTGTTGTGTCCGCAGTGGAGATGGCCGGTCCCGAGGTTGCTCTGGCCGTGGGACCCCTCTTTGTCTTGGACCCTCAGCGAGGAAATGGCGCTCAGTCTCCTGGAGAGCCGGCCGAAGAGGAGATGGCGATGGAAGGTGAGGGGGTTCCTCTCCTTATGAGCACTTGGGGCTTTCAGGAGGGTCCCGTGACACAAAAGGCGTTTCCTGACCACGGGGTGTGGGGAAGAGAACTTGCCGGACAGTTTCACTTCTCCGTGGATTCTCGGAGATCCGCATCAATCACTTTTTCTGGAACTCTATTTCTGACTCAGCGCTGGTTCCTCTGAAAGCACTTTCTTCTACCCGTTTGGGGACATAATAATAATACTGATGATGATGATGATGATCATGATGATGATGATGATGATGATGCATTGGAAGATCTGCAAAAAATATCATTTGCCTGTAAGCAAAAACTGGTGAGATCATAAAATAGAGAAAGTCATAGAAAATGATAAAGTTAAACTGCTCTGGGACTTCAGAATTCAAACAGACAAGCACCTGCAACATAACACCCCAGACTTAACAATTGTCGATAAGAAAGACAAAAAAGTCTGGATAGTGGATGTGGCAGTGCCTGGAGACAGCAGAATAGACGAGAAAGAACTGGAGAAGATAACAAAATACAAAGACCTACAAATAGAAATAGAAAGACTGTGGCAAAAGCAAGCAAGGGTAGTACCAATAGTCATAGGCTCCTTGGGTGCAATCCCAAAACAACTGGAGCACCACTTGAACACCATTGGCATTGACAAATTCGCTATTAGTCAATTGCAAAAGGCGGCCTTATTAGGAACTGCTTCCATCCTGCGACGATACCTGTAATACCATCAAACATCCACATCTGCCTATACCAGGTCCTGGGTAAGGACTCGATGGGTAGACAAAATGCCAAATCCAGTCTGGACATCTGGCTGACTATGCGATGATCCATAATAATAATAATAATAATAATAATAATAAATAAATAATAATAATAATAATGATAAAATTAAACTGCTCTGGGACTTCAGAATTCAAACAGACAAGCACCTGCAACATAACACCCCAGACTTAACAATTGTCGATAAGAAAGACAAAAAAGTCTGGATAGTGGACGTGGCAGTGCCTGGAGATAGCAGAATAGAAGAGAAAGAACTGGAGAAGAATAACAAAATACAAAGACCTACAAATAGAAATAGAAAGACTGTGGCAAAAGCAAGCAAGGGTAGTACCAATAGTCATAGGCTCCTTGGGTGCAATTCCAAAACAACTGGAGCACCACTTGAACACCATTGGCATTGACAAATTCGCTATTAGTCAATTGCAAAAGGCAGCCTTATTAGGAACTGCTTCCATCCTGCGACGATATCTGTAATACCATCAAACATCCACATCTGCCTATCCCAGGTCCTGGGTAAGGACTCGATAGGTAGACAAAATGCCAAATCCAGTCTGAACATCTGGCTGACTGTGCGATGATCGATAATAATAATAATAATAATGAGGAGGAGGAGGAGGAGGAGGAGGAGGAGGAGGAGAAGGAGAAGGAGAAGAAGGAGAAGAGGAGGAGGAGGCATGACAGAGTAGTAACAATGATGCATTGGAAGATCTGCAAGAAATATCATTTGCCTGCCAGCCAGAACTGGTGGGATCATAAAATAGAGAAAGTCTATTTAAAGTCAGCTTTAACAGCTGGGGAGGAACTCTGCACAAGGCCGAAACATTTGGAGGAAGCACATGCCCAATAACGCCAAGGCAGCATTTTAACCGTTGGGGTGGCTGAGTGCACAGGGAGGGTTGTCGATGTCGGGAAAATGTCACACGGCGTCGGTTACCGGCAGCCAAAGCTTTGCATTCCGATTCCTGAAAAGCTGGAACAAAACGATAGCTGCGATGGCACTGAAAAAAGGGACTTTAGAACTTTTTTTCTCTTACGACCGTCACGTGATCGAAACGCAAGACGCTTGACCACTGACTCATATTTATGACGGTTGCAGCGTCCCGGGGTCACGCAGTCCGCTTTTGCGACCTTCTGACAAGGCGAGTCAGTCGTCACTCATTTCTTCCGGTGCCATTGTTAACGCCAAGCGTTGTTAAGTTGAGGACTGACTGGTACTGTAAAGTGATTTGTGTACATCTAACCGTTGCTCCTTCCTCTCCTGGTAGAATTGATCCCAGCCGTGTCAAAGATAACCCACCCCCCCTTCAGAGAACAGTGGGGGTCTTCCAAGGTCCCAGGGGATCCGAAAGACCACTTGGGGCTCTCTCTGGAAGGTAAGTGGCTGATAAGCCCGGGGGGGGTCTCTTCCCTTGGCCCACTTTACGACTTATAGACTTCAACTCCCAGGATTCCCCAGCCGAGCACATCCGTTCCGTGCGGGTTATTTTTTCACTTTATAACAGGGGTCCTCAAACTTGGCCACTTTTAAGACCGGTGGACCTCAACTCCCAGAATTCCCCAGCCAGCCCCTTTCTTGGAGGAGGGAGCTGGGGCAGGGGAGGACGTGCAATAGGGCAGGGGTCTCCAATCTTGGCAACTTTAAGACTGGTGGACCTCAACTCCAAGAATTACCCCGCCAGCATACTCCTTGTGGCCCTGCTTACTCTCTTAGAATCCCTTCCTCTCCAATCTCTCTGCTTTAAGGGATAGGTGAAAAAAAAGCAGGCATGGCTGTCTCAGGAATTCTGGGAGTTGAAGTCCACAAGTCTTAAAGGGGCCAAGGAGGGAGACCCCTGGGATAAGGAATCCTAGCCATACTGGCCCTCTGTTTTCTTCCAATGGGCGCCTTCCAGTCGTTGGATCACAAAGCCAATAATTCCTGGGGGGAGGAGGGTGATACAGCGCCCTCTTTTGACTTCTGGAAGGGCCTCCAAAATGCCATCAGGGAAAGAATCAGCCTCACGGCCTCTGCCTTGGTTTGCTCTGGCGAGGGGGGGGGCATTTATAATAGAATAGAGCTGGAAGGGACCTTGGAGGCCTTCTAGTCTGACCCCCTGATATGGTGACCAAAACTGGCTGCAGTATTCCAGGTGTGGCCTCACTAGGGTTTTACAAAGCGGTACTAACACTTCGCGTGATCTTGATTCTCTGCCCCCGTTTATACAACCCAGGATTGTGTTAGCTTTTTTGGCTGCTGCTGCACACACCTGACTCACGGTCAAGAGATCGTCCACTAGGACTCCGAGGTCCCTCTCACAGTTGCTGTTTTTGAGCCAGGCCACCTGATCTGACGGGGCCACTACCTTGGGTTGGGCTAATGCTTCTTCCCTCTTTGCAGCTTTTGTCCAGCAAGGCCCCATCTTCTTCACTGGGGAAGAAGGCGGCTCCGGTTTTGGAGACCCGACGGAAGCCGTCACAGGCAGCGTCCGTCGTAAGCAGCCGATGGTCTCCTTGCCCCAGCGAGCAACTGCTCTGGTATCTACGTTGACACCGGCTCGTCAATCAAAGGCCCACTTTTCTGCCACAGAAAGATCAGCGCTGGCAGTCAAGGCAGAGATTCTGCCCAGCCCCCTGGAAGACACGGTTGCCTCCACTGCTGTGAAGCTCCCCAAGGAAGCACTAAACATGGCAGCCAAAGGTCAGATGGTCACAGCCAAAGAAGAGTGGTGGAAGGATTTGGCCTGCCAGGGGAGGGAGTTTTTAAACAGAATGATAGAGCTGAAAGGGACCTTGGAGGTCATCCAGTCCAACCCCGTGCTCAGGCAGGAGACCCTATACCATTTTAGACAAATGACCTGTCTCTTTTTAAAAACTTCCAGTGTTGGAGCATTCACCGCTTCTGGAGACAGCTTGTTCCACTGGTTAATTGTTCTAACTGTCAGGAAGTTTCTTCTTAGTTCCAGGTTGCTTCTCTCCTTGATTAGTTCCCATCCGTTGCTTCTTGTCCTGCCTTCAGGCGCTTTGGAAAATAGCTTGATTCCCTCTTTGGGGCAACCTACAGCTTACACTAGGGGTAAACTTACACCCCATATTTTGCAAGTCATGCAAGTCCAGTTGTCTTGGTCAGGTCAACAGACTCTGTGTAACGTGAGAAGCCTCTCACTAACCTATGGAAAGTCCTTGTGCTAAATTTGCAGTGTTTCTCAAACTTGACAAATTTAAGACCTGTGGACTGCAACTCCCAAAACTGCAATTGCAGTCCAGAGGTCTTAAAATTGCTGGCTGGGGCATTCTGGGAGTTGCAGTCCACAGATCTTAAAGTTTAGAATAGAATAGAGCTGGAAGGGACCTTGGAGGTCTTCTAGTCCAGCCTCCTGGTTTTAGCAGAGAGATTTATTGTGCAGGTTCAGAAGCAATAGCAACAAGCAATTCTGAACCCCGAGGGCAGGTTCAGACTTCAGTTTTATATTTTCCTTTTCTCAGGAACAAAGGAATACACGTTGTAATACATTAGGTTCGTTTCTCACGGGTATACAATGGAGAGTTTGCTACATACATTGTATCCATGTATAATGCGCATTAGGTTAGTCACATACTACTAACACAGCACTATTTCAGTAATTATGCAGACACATCATTATTCTAGTGCAGTGTTTCTCAACCTGTGGGTCGGGACCCCATTTGGGGTCGAACGACCATTTCACGGGGGTCGCCAAACAACGCAGTCCGCCATTTTTTCCCCCCTTTTCCTTAGCTGTGCTACTCCCTGTTATTCTATTGGCTTTTGAAAGCCAATAGAAGAGACTCTCCTGAACAGAGTCTAATTCTATTGGCTTTCAAAAGGCTGTCTCTGCCCTGCTGAGCCCGCCAAAAGTCCCCTTCTGCAAACGGTGGTGCTGCACCAGTTGAGTAGTCCTCGACTTACGACCGGTTGAGTAGTCCTCGACTTACAACCGGTTGGGAGTCGCGGCATTAAAAAGGTTGAGAAGCACTGTTCTAGTGATTGTTCATTATTCCACATTAATATCGTGACCAAAACTGGCTGCAGTATCCCGGGTGTGGCCTCACGAGGGTTTTATAAAGCGGTACTAATACTCCGCGTGATCTTAATTCTGTGCCTCTGTTTGTGCAACCCAGGATTGTGTTGGCTTTTTTGGCTGTTGCCGCTTGGCTCAAGCACTCATTCTTGGGGTTCGGACACCCCACAAGCTGCCTCTCTCTCTCTCTCTCTCTCTCTCTGCTTCTCCTCCAGACGGGAAGCCAGTGCCGGGCTGGCCGTTGCTGCTGTTGCCGACGGGCGCCGCGGTGGTGGCCCTGCTGTCGCTCGTGGTCTGGCTCCTGGTCCGAAGACGGCGCCGAGGAGGCCTCCCGGGGGCATCGCCCGTCAGCCTGGAACTGCAATGCAAATAAAATTGGGATTGGTTTCGCATGCCTGGCCTTGTGTCTTCTGGGGAGGGCGCTGCCCGGGCACTGAGGGGGCACCCCGCAAGAGGAGGCCCAGTGCCAGGCAAGGGAGTTGCAGAGCCCCCTCGAGCAGGCCTGGCCTGGCCGTTGGGGCTTCTGGGCAGGCGGAGGGGGCAGTGCCCGTGCCAAACAGGGTGCCAGCCGCGCAGGGCCCCGAGGTGAGGAAACGGGGTTGCTGGGCAGCCAAGGCCCAGATTCCCGCTCGGGACTACAACTCCCGGCATTCCTTTGCCCGCCCCCATATACAGGAGAGCGCAATCCCGTCGTGCCCCGCGCGAGGAAAGAGGATGAGGAGTGACGCGGTGATGATGCGCACGGGGGAGGCGCCGCCGCGTGACGTCACGCGCCCCAGCGGCCGCTCCCTCTCCCCTACGTCGCCCCCGCCCTTTCCTCCCGACGCCGCTTGATGACGCCATTGGGCGGCGCCGGCAGCCGCGGCAGTTTGTGAGGGAAGGCGGCGGCGGCGGAGGCGGCCGGGAGGGGAGAGCGAGCGCGGGGCCTCCCTGGCTGCCCGGCCTCTTTCCGCGGGGGCCGCGCCCGGGCTCGCTGCGTAGACGGTGAGGAGCGCCCGCCAGGGCCCGGACCCCTCCCCTGTTGTTCGCCCCCTCCCGGCCTCTCGACTCCCCCCACCCCCCAGGCGCCCCTCCCGTCGTGCCCCGCGCGCCATGCGGCCCCCCTCAGGCGGCTCCCGGCCACGCCCCTTCGCCCGCGTGGCCCCGCCCCTCCGGCCTGGCGGGGGTCTCCTGGGCTGCGGGGAGGGGGAGGCCCTGGCCGGGAGCCCCGAGTGGCCCGTGGCCGGGGAGGCCCCCCCGGGACCCTGGGCTGTTTTCTCTGGGCCGCCCGGCCCTGGCCCGGAGGGGGGTGGGCTGCCTGCCCCCGCCTGCGCCCCGCTGACCCCCCTCCCTCAGCCCGGATCAGCGCCCATGGGGGCAGGGGGGTGGGGGACGTTTTAAAGGAGGGAGGGTCCAATCTGGGGCCCTGTGGGACTTGTGGACTACAAGTCCCAGGATTCCTCAGCCAGCCAGCCCTGCTTTAAGGTGTCTGGACTGCAAGTCCCAGCATTCCCAGCCCTGCCTTAAGGTATTTGGACTGCAAGTCCCAGGATTCCCAGCCCCACTTTAAGGTGTCTGGACTGCAAGTCCCAGCATTCCCAGCCCCTGCTTTAAGGTGTCTGGACTGCAAGTCCCAGCATTCCCAGCCCCTGCTTTAAGGTGTCTGGACTGCAAGTCCCAGCATTCCCAGCCCCTGCTTTAAGGTGTCTGGACTGCAAGTCCCAGCATTCCCAGCCCCTGCTTTAAGGTGTCTGGACTGCAAGTCCCAGGATTCCCAGCCCCGCTTTAAGGTATTTGGACTGCAAGACCCAGGATTCCCAGCCCCGCTTTAAGGTGTCTAGACTGCAAGTCCCAGGATTCCCAGCCATGCTTTAAGGTATCTGGACTGCAACTCCCAGCATTCCCCACCCAGTCTTGCTTTAAGGCAGTGTTTCTCAACCTTGACAATTTTAAGGCATGTAGACTTCAACTCCCAGAATTCCACAGCCAGCACTGCTGGCTGTGGAATTCTGGGAGTTGAAGTCCACATGCCTTAAAATTGTCAAGGTTGAGAAACACTGCTTTAAGGTATCTGGACTACAACTTCCAGGATTCCCAGCCAGCATGTTGAAGTCCAGTCACGCTTTTTTTTTTTTTTTTTTTTTGCCAAAATCAGCCTGGCCTGACTGTTCCTGACGCTCGGCCTAATTTTTCCAAGTTTTGACCCCTTCCCAGGTGCCCCAGCTGGCCCATTGGAATTCTGGGAATTCCCACCCTCAGCCTGACCGTTTGGGAAGGGTTGATGGTTTCCTGGGCATGTGCCGAGTGTCTGGGTCTAGGAAGAGGCTTTAAGGAGGGTCAAGGCTCTCGCTTGTTAAGGAGGTGGAGAAAGGCTGGGGAATTCTGGGAGTTGAAGTCCGCCGGTCCTAAAAGTGGCCAGAGAGTCCGTTCAAGGCAGTTTTTAAGACTGCACTTATACAGGGAGTCCTCGACTCACGACCACAATTGAACCCAACATTCCTGTCACTAAGGGAGATGGTTGCTAAGTGAGTTTTGCTTCATTTTATGCCCTTTCTTGCCGCAGTTGTTAATCACTGCGCTTGTTAAGTTAGCAACGTGGTTGTTAAATGGATCTGGCCTCCCCATTGACTTGGCTTGTCAGGTGGTCACAGAAGGGGATCACCTGACATCCCCCTTCCCTGGGACGCTACAACCGTCATAAATACGAGTCAGTTGCCCAGCGTCCGAATTTTGATCACGTGAGCCGGGGGACGCTGCAAAGGTCGTAAGTTTGAAAAACACTCGCAAGTCACACTTTCAGTGCCAGTCACTGAACGGACTGTTGTAAGTATGGGCAGCGCAGGCCGGCGGGCAGGCAAACCTCCTAGCCCCCGCCCCGAGTGAAGCATCTTCTCTGAACAATTGTGTGCGGTTTAAACACAAAGCAACAACAGTGCTAGGCTTCCCGACAGCCTCTGAACAGCCAAGAGGGGAAATGCAGAATTGGCTCCCTCTGTCCCTGCCCAGAGAGTTCTCACAGGCCAGGAAAAGCGCTGACTCTTCGGAAGCTGTCGTGAAAGAGGAACACGGGTCGTTCTCCAAAATGCTTTCCACTCTGCTGCATTTTTAGGGGCTGCTCTGTGTTTAAAGTGGAGAAAATGTAGAGAAAATGGCTGAAGTGGGCCTAAAGCAGTGTTTCTCAACCTTGACCATTTTAAGGCATGTGGACTTCAACTCCCAGAATTCCACAGCCAGCATTGCTGGCTGTGGAATTCTGGGAGTTGAAGTCCACATGCCTTAAAATGGTCAAGGTTGAGAAACATTGGCCTAAAGCCAAGGTCAGGGAGCCAGTTTGCCCTACTAGTTAAGGTAGAAACTAGGAGGTGCCGAGTTCTAGTTTTGCCCTAGGCACGAAAACTAGCTGGGTGACTTTGAGTCAATCCTCAGGAGATTTGTGAGTTCTAGTCCCGGCAATCACCAGGAGTCGGCGAGTTCTAGCCCTGCCTTAGACATGAAAGCTGCCTAGGTGACTTTGGGCCAATCACCAGGAGATGGTGAGTTCTAGTCCCACTTTAGTCATGAAAGCCGTTTGGGTGACTTTGGGCCAATCACAAGGAGATGGTGAGTTTTAGTCCCGCCTTAGGCGTGAAAGCTGACTGGGTGACTTTGGGCCAATCACCAGGAGATGGTGAGTTCTAGTCCTGCCTTAGACACGAAAGCCAGCTAGCTGACTTTGGGCCAATCACCAGAAGAAGGCGAGTTCTAGTCCCACCTAGGCACGAAAGGGACTGGGTGACTTTGGGCCAATCACCAGGAGAAGGTGAGTTCTAATCCCGCCTTATGCATGAAAGGGACTGGGTGACTTTGGGCCAATCACCAGGAAAAGGTGAGTTCTAATCCCGCCTAGGCACGAAAGGGACTGGGTGACTTTGGGCCAATCACCAGGAGACAGTGAGTTCTAATCCCGCCTTAGGCACGAAAGGGACTGGGTGACTTTGGGCCAATCACCAGGACAAGGCGAGTTCTAGTCCCGCCTTAGGCACGAAAGCTGACTGGGTGACTTTGGGCCAATCACAAGTTACTTAGAATAAAGGTGGGGTAAACACCTAAGAAATAAGAAATAAAATGGGGTCGCACCAAGCAGGGCGTGGGCCGACGTCCCCTAACTGCGGCCTTTGGGGTCCTGTTGTCCTCCGATCCGCAAAGCCCGCTTTTGTGTCACCCGGTGAGCCAACGAGTCACCGGTCAGTTTCCGATCCTTCCGCTGGGAAGCCCGCCGGCCCCTTCTCCCCCTGACCAGGACTGCGTCTCTTTCTTCTCTCTCCCCCCTCCAGCCCGTCGGAGCCATGAAGGAAAGCCTCCCAGAGAAGAACTACTGGGGGGCCTCCACCAGCCTCCACGACCCCATGGGACACCCAGACCGCTTTTGCAGGGCCTCCCGGGAATGGCGGGACCCAGAGCACCAGCGAGGCGGCGGCTTCGAGGGCAGCCGACGCCTGGCCTGCGCCCAGGAGCCCCTGCCCAGTTTCAACCTCTCCTCCTCCAGCAGCGACGAGGGACGCGAGGGCCAGTGGGATCTCTCCTGCGTCTCCCGCTGGGGGGTGGCGGGGGGCCCTTCGCAGCTGCCCCAGCACAAAGCCCCCCGGGGCAAGTTCGCCAGGAGCGGGGGCCACGCCTGGCCTTTCGAGGTGGCCACCGGCGCTCCGGCCACGAGGCCGGGCACCTCCAGACACTACTGTTTCCGCCGTAAGCGACAGCGGGCTCTGCGCGCCTTCCGGATGCTCCTGTATTCCAAGAGCTCCTCTCTGGCCTTCCATTGGAAGCTGTGGGGCAAGATGGCGGCCAAGGGGCGCCGGCGAGGAGGGGCCAAGCGGGCCCGGTCGTCCATGTCCCTGTCCCCCGGCTCCCAGCCCGACGACGACCACCTTCCCGCCGTCTTTAAGAAAAGATGCCCGTTGGGAGCAGAGACAGAGGACTGCCCGAGCACGGCCAAGGGCCGTTTCCGCTCTGCCGGCTGCAAGGCTCCCTCGTCAGAGCCCCGGCTGGACTACGAATTGGGGGGAGCCTTCCCCCCGTCTCCATCCACGCCTCAGCACGCCCGCCTCAACCTGCTGGGGGCCCTGATGGAAGAGGCGTCCCCCTTCCCACACTACATGGAGGTCCGGCGGGCGGGCTTCGACCAGGATGATGGAGCGATGGAGCTGGAGGAGGAGGAAGAGCCGGCCCCTCCCCTCAAGTACCCAGCCCGGGGGTCCCAGGTGTCCCCCAGGACTAGGAAGATGGGAGAGCCACAGCACGGCCTGGACGGAGATGGAGGTAAAAGGGAAACGCGGGGGATTCTGCTCTAGAACCCAGGTCCAAGCTAGAACTAAGGAGAAACCCCTTGACAGGAGAACAGTTCACCCGTGGAACGGCTTGCCACCAGAACCTGTGGGTGCTCCAACATGGGAGGTTTTTTAAGGAGAGACTGGACAGCCATTTGTCCAAAATCTATGAGACGTGGCCCATACCATTTGGCCAACGGGCTGTTTGAGTGGCTGGCCAGTGCATGCGTGCATGTGCGAGCGCTCACCCCCTCCCCTTGTGCTGGTGCTAGCCGAGTCGTGAGTCTCTCGCTGTTGGTAGGTGAGTGGCAAGTCGGCGCTAGCCAAGCCGTGAGCTGTGCACCAGCACTAGCCAAATTGCGTCGCTGGCGCTAGCCAAGCCACAAGCCTCTCAATAGTGCTAACCAAGCTGCGCTCTGGCACTAGCAGCCCCATTTGCAGAGCGCACATGCTCACGGCCCCCATTCACGCGCACGCAGCCGCATGGGCGCATGCATGCATAAAGGTGCCTGTCCCTTCCTTTTCCAGCTGGCCACCAGCCCAGAAAGGTTGCCAACCCCTGGAGTAGACAGACCTCTAAGGTCCCTTCCGAATCTGTCATTCTGGGACCTCGCAGTTCCTTCAATGTGCTAATTTATGTGTGGGCTTTCCTAGAAGTAACGCATTAAGAGTTGGCTTGAACTGCCGGGCATTCCATCCCCCCAGTCTGTCAACAAGCAAGTTGGGTTGGTATCCTGAGCGGAAAGACCCCCTGTTCAACAGTGCTGCCCTTAGGGAAGGTCTCTCTTCAAATTGCAACCTGTGTGATGGTTCCGACAGATGAAACTCTTCAAAGAACTTGGAGGCATTGTTTACCTTACAGAATCTTTATTTGAGAAGCACAGCATCAGCAGGTACATAGGCAAAGCCCAAATCTGAATTCCCCTCCCCTGAGCATATAGATCAAAGCCCAATTCTCTCCTACAACTTAACAGTCGTAAATCACATTGTCCAATTAGTTTGAAATGCTGGCTTTCCGCCCAGTTCTTTATCCCGCCATGCCTTATCATCTCTTATTACAATATTGTATGTCTAACTAACTCAGTGTTTCTCAACCTTGACCATTTTAAGGCATGTGGACTTCAACTCCCAGAATTCCACAGCCAGCAACGCTGGCTGTGGAATTCTGGGAGTTGGAAGTCCACATGCCTTAAAATGGTCAAGGTTGAGAACCACTGATTTAACTCCAATGTTAGCAAGCTTTATTAATGGTTCTCTGCCCCAGACATTGATTGATTTGAGCAAGATAAGTTAGAAAGTCCAGAAAACGCCACCAAAACCATTTGGTGTTTCTCAACCTCAGCGACTTTTAAGAGGGGTGGTCTTCAACCCCCCCCCCCCAGGTCTCCCCAGCCAGCATATCAGTTTCCCTTTTAATTGTCGTGCCATGTAGCCCATATTTAACCTGTTGGTTAATTTAGCTTGCCGTGGGTTATTCTTGCACTTTGCGGAACTCGAGGTATATCACTTCCACCGCATCCCCGCCGTCTATTAAGAAAGCTACCCAATCAAAAAAAAAAAAAAAAAATGCAGTGAAGCTACTCCAGCCACAGGTGTCCTTGTCCCCCTTTCCACGCTGAATTCTGGTCAATCCAGCCCGAATTCTTTCCGGCTGGGGAATTCTGGGAGTTGAAGTCCACCTTGCTTACCGTATAATCGCTGAGGTTGAGACGCAGGGACGCAAAGGGTAACGGGAAAGGTTGCAAAGACGAGGCAGGGCGGTTTAGGTGTATTTACACTGGGGTGTCGTGATGTCAGAGGCTGTTGGGCCTCGTTGCCTCAGTTCATGGTTTGGAAAACGCCAGGCGAAACGGCCGTTGACCGTCTACGGCCTAACTTGGTGGTGGGAGGGGGAAAGTCTCCTATTTTATTTAATGATTATATTTTTCCTGAATGAACGAAGGCAAATCGACGTGTCCCCCGCATAATGTGGTGGGATCCAATCTGGGTCGGTCCCCGGGACCAAAGCTTTATAATTTTCCAAGCTTTTGAACTCGTGCAGAAAACTTTGTTACACGGGACATACGTACAATTTTGTAGCTACTAAGATTGAGTACCAATATTCAGACACATCCCAACTAAGATTGTGGGACGAGCAGGGCCAAAAACAGCCAGGGAGGCGACCGAAGCCTGGGAAACGGGCCAACTGGAGGGCTGATTTACCACCAGCTTATCAAGTACTTCAGAGGATAGGGCTGGACAGCCCAAGGAAACAGCCAAGGACTTAATAGCCAGCTTCAACACCCCAATCAACAACTCAAAAGCCACACACACAGAGTAGCCCAAGGCACAGGCTTTGCCAGAGAGAAATTCCCCAAAGACGGGCTCCAGGACAAGCCGGGAAGCTCGGAAGACGAAACCTTTAGTCCTGGTGACTGACACAGATTAGACCCTATTATATTTGTGTACTGCGGGCCTGCCAGAGACTCCAGACAGTTCACAATTAACAGCACAATTGTTGTTGTTCAGCGGCTAAGTCATGTCCGACTCTTTGCAACCCCTTGGAGCACAGCACACCAGCCCTTCCCCCCCGTTGTTTCCCGGAGAATGAAGTTCTCCTTCAGATCCGGATCCTTTCCGGGGTCCGTTTAATCCAGGGGTCTTCCAGCTTGGCCCTTTGATGACTTGTGGACTTCAACTCCCAGAATTCCGTGCCTGGCTGAGGAATTCTGGGAGTTGAAGTCCACAAGTCATCAAAGGGCCAAGTTGGAAGACCCCTGCTTGTGGACTTCAACTCCCAGAATTCCTCAGCTAGCCATGCCTGTCTATTTCCATCCTTCCCACCAGGGTGGAGAGATTGCAGAGGAAGGGATCATAAGAGATTAAGAGGGCCGTAAGGGATGTACATATCAAAGATCCCAAAGGCCCACCACAACCTTCCCCCCACCTTGGCTGGGGAGTAATGGGAGACGAAGCCCACCCATCTTAAAGTCGCCAACCTTGAGAAACCCGAGTGGACGCAGGAGGAGGATCCAACCCCCACATGTCAGATCCGGCTACTCGTTTATAGAATTTTGCGGGACAGGGACATATTTGCCCCTCTGGGCAGTTTTTCCTCCGTTCCAACGACCGCAACGAGCCAGCCCTCAATTCTCCTCTCCCCCCCCCCCCCGCAGACGCTCTGGATGCCCTTCCCAACGGCTTCGCTTCCCTCCCTCCGGACGGCGACCTCTGCTCTCTGCCCGGCGTGCCAGACGCCACCATCCTCATCAGCAATGTCTGCAGCATCGGAGGCCACGTGGCGGAGGAGCTTTTCCAAGGGCCCCGAGACAAGGACCGGCTGCCGGACCCTCCGGCCGTCCGGGGGGAAGTTGGCAGCCAGCCGGCCGAGGCAGCTCCCGAGGAGGCAGAAGAGAGGCCGGGCGAGAACGCGGCTCAGCCCGGCCTGCTGCGGGAAGAACACATCACCTGCGTACACAGTAAGAGGAGCGTGTGTGTGTGTCTGTGTGTGTGTGTGTGTGGAGAGCGTGTGCCGGTCGCAGCCACCGGCTCTCTTCTTAGCAGGCAGTCCTCGGCTTAACGGCCCCAAACATCCATTGCTAAATGAGGCATTGGTTAAGTTCTTTGCTCCATTTGACGAACCGTCTCGCCACACGTGGTTCAGGGGAATCGCTGCAGTCGATCGGTCGTTAAGTGAACCCGACGTCCGTCCATCCCCCCGTTGACTTTGCTTGTAAAGTCGGTCGCAAAAGGGGACACTGCGACCGTCGTAAAGACGGGACCGCCGCCCAGCGGCGGGATTTGGATCACGCGACTTTACTACAACGGTCGTCAAGCGTGAAAAACAAGTTGCAAGTAACTTTGAGTCGCTGAATGAACTGTTTTTAAGTCGAGGGTTGCCTGTTGCAAAATCCACTGTTTAAAAAGGCCCGGGTGGGTTAAAGATTGGCGTTAAATGTTGATTAAAAAGCCCTTTTTTTTTCTCAGCAGCCTTAGAGGCAGCCCCCCTCCCCTTTCCTTTCGCCCCCTCATTGAATCCCCCCCCCCCAAAAAAAGGGTTGATTGAATTTGGCGGCTTCAAGCTTTTCTCCCGTCTTTCCCACCAGACATTTTGGACGAATTCCTGCAGACGTACGGCAGCCTGATCCCCATCAGCGTGGACGAGGTGGTGGAGAAGCTGGAGGATATCTTCCAGCAGGACTTCTCCACTCTACAGAGGTACGACCTTCCCCCCCTCCCCATTTCCTCCCCTCTCCCCCCCCCCGCTCTTCCTCCTCCCTCCCTCCCTCCCTACATGCCTGCTTGCCCACCCCTCTCTAGCAGCTGAAGGGTCAGTGTCCTGGTTCTGACAGATGAAACTCTTCAAAGAACTGGCTCAGGAATTCTGGGAGTTGAAGTCCACCAGTCATGAAGGGGGCCATAGTTCCCCCATGCTGGCTCAGGAATTCTGGGAGTTGAAGTCCACGTATCCTAAAGGGGGCCATCGTTCCCCCATGCTGGCTCAGGAATTCTGGGAGTTGAAGTCCACGTATCCTAAAGGGGGCCATCGTTCCCCCATGCTGGCTCAGGAATTCTGGGAGTTGAAGTCCACAAGTCCTAAAGGGAGCCATAGTTCCCCCATGCTGGCTCAGGAATTCTGGGAGTTGAAGTCCATATCCTAAAGGGGGCCATCGTTCCCCCATGCTGGCTCAGGAATTCTGGGAGTTGAAGTCCTAAAGGGAGCCATAGTTCCCCCATGCTGGCTCAGGAATTCTGGGAGTTGAAGTCCACGTATCCTAAAGGGGGCCATCGTTCCCCCATGCTGGCTCAGGAATTCTGGGAGTTGAAGTCCACAAGTCCTAAAGGCAGCCATAGTTCCCCCATGCTGGCTCAGGAATTCTGGGAGTTGAAGTCCACGTATCCTAAAGGGAGCCATAGTTCCCCAATGCTGGCTCAGGAATTCTGGGAGTTGAAGTCCATGTGTCCTAAAGGGGGCCATCGTTCCCCCATGCTGGCTCAGGAATTCTGGGAGTTGAAGTCCACAAGGTGGCCTACCCCTGGGACTCTGGCAGATCTTCTAGGCTTGGAAGGCCATTTGCCCCATATGGGTCAAATGGTGGGGGGGATGGAGGGCTCCAAATTCCCGCCCTGCCCCGGCCTTCCCACTTCCCCCTGGGCGTTACTCAAGGCCTGCCTCTCTCTCGGCCCCTGCAGGAAGAGCTTGGTCAACCAGTTGATCCAGTCCTACCAGCGCATGCCGGGCAACGCCGTGGTCCGCACCTTCCGGGTCACTTACAAGCGCCACGTGGTCACCATGGACGACCTGCAGACACTGTTTGGGTCGAACTGGCTCAATGACCAGGTAGGATGGACGGAGGGGGGGAGGATGCCGGAGAAAGTCCCGGGCAGCGGAGCAATGGGAGCAAAGGCCAGCGACCCCACAGGGCCTAACTCGCCAGGGGTTGGCCCCGCGACTGCTCCTGGAGGGGCTCCTGACCTGCCCCTGGGCTGAATTTTAAAAATGGGCTGAAACAATTTTGCCTTTCTGGTTTGGTAGTCACTCCCATGTGGCAGGCAGGAAAGCCTCTGAGCTTAGAGAGCCTCCAAAGTGGTCCCCCTTCTCCCACCCCCCACCCCCCCATCTAGCACTGATGATGTTCCCTGGTTGGGTCATGAAACGTCTGCAAGGAAACCACCAAGCTCAGACCCCGCCAAGGACTCCACAGTCCTCCTCCTCCTCTCCACAACCCCCTTCCCTCCTAGCACTGATGACGTTCCCTAGGTGGGTCATGAAACATCTGCAAGAAAACCACCAATTCAGAGAGCGTCAAAGAACCCCCACAGTCCTCCTCCTCCCTTCTAGCACTGATGATGTTCTCTAGTTGGGTCAGGAAACGTCTGCAAGGAAACCACCCAGCTCAGAGAACACCAAGGACTCCGGGGTCTGTCCTCCCTCCCTTCCTTCCTTCCTTCCTTCCTTCCTTCCTTCCTTCCTTCCTTCCTTCCTTCCTTCTAGCACTGATGATGTTCTCTAGTTGGGTCAGGAAACGTCTGCAAGGAAACCACCCAGCTCAGAGAACACCAAGGACTCCGGGGTCTGTCCTCCCTCCCTTCCTTCCTTCCTTCCTTCCTTCCTTCCTTCCTTCCTTCCTTCCTTCCTTCCTTCCTTCTAGCACTGATGATGTTCTCTAGTTGGGTCAGGAAACGTCTGCAAGGAAACCACCCAGCTCAGAGAACACCAAGGACTCCGGGGTTTGTCCTCCCTCCCTTCCTTCCTTCCTTCCTTCCTTCCTTCCTTCCTTCCTTCCTTCCTTCCTTCCTTCCTTCCTTCCTTCCTTCCTTCCTTCCTTCCTTCCAGCACTGATAATGTTCTCTAGTTGGGTCAGGAAACGTCTGCAAGGAAACCACCCAGCTCAGAGAACACTAAGGACTCCACAGTCCCCCTCCCCCTTCTCCTCCCCCCTCCTTTGCCTCCTTCTCCTCTTCCTCATCCTCCCCCTCCCCTCTTCTAGCACTGATGAGGTTCCCTAGCTGGGTCAGGAGACGTCTGCAAGGAAACCACCCAGCTCAGAGACCCCCAGGGACCCCACAGTCTTCCTCCTCTTCCTCCTCCTCCTCCTCCTCCTCCTCCTCCTCCTCCTCTTCCTCCTCCTCCTCCTCCTCCCTTCTAGCACTGATGATGTTCCCTAGCTGGGTCAAGAGACGTCTGCAAGGAAACCAGCTCGGAGACCCCCAGGGACCCCACCGTTCAGCCCTGAGCTCCAGAGACTCTCTCCTGCTCACTCTCTGCCTGTCCTGAGCCCCCACTTAATACTGGGCGGGGAGGGTACCGACCCTTAGGGGGGGCAAAAATACAGCCCTGCTGAAATGACTCGACCCGTCCCACCCCGGGCTGGCTTCCCTCGCAAAGGTTTCTTGAGTTGCGGCCTCGTTTTAACCCCAACCCCTTCGTTGCTCTCCCCCCCCCCCTTCGAGCAGGTCATGAACATGTACGGGGACCTCGTGATGGACACGGTGCCGGAAAAGGTGAGCCTGGTTTTGCCAGCTTTGCAAGTTCATTCAGGGTGCGCACGACGGTCGGAATCCGAAAGCGTTTCGCCCGGGCAACGCTCCCACCCCACCCCGCCCCTCCTGCCTGGGATGGGTGCTTTGATCGGCGCCCGGCAGGCAAACGGGGGGGGGGACGACCCCCTCCTGGCTTTTCTGCCCCTCCATCTTTTTTCCCTTTCTCTTTTCCCTCCTCCCAGGTCCACTTTTTCAACAGTTTTTTCTACGATAAGCTACGAACGAAGGGGTACGAGGGCGTGAAGCGTTGGACCAAAAACGTAAGTTTCGGCCAGGGCCGGGAGAGAGACCACAGGCCATCCGTCCTCGGCTTAACGGCCACACGACGGAGCCCAGCCTCTTCCTTCGCTAAGCCAGGCGGCCGTTCGGTGGCTTTGGCCCCGTTTGGTCAGGTTTTTCTTGCCACGCTTGGTTAAGTTGAATCACCGCCGTTGCTAAGTTAGCGACAAGGACGTTAAGCAGGATCCGCCTTCCGGCCATTGACTTTGCTCGTCACAAGATTGCAAAACGTGATCCCAGGCTCTGCAACGGTCATAAATACGAGTCTCTTGCCCAGCATGTGAATTTATCCCGTGAATTATCAAGCTTCAATGGTTGTCAGTGTGAAAAATGGTCAATAATAATAATAATAATGGTAATTGAATAGAATAGAGCTGGAAGGGACCCTGGAGGTCTTCTAGTCCAGCCCCCTGCTCAAGCAGGAGAACCTATACCATCTCAGACAGGTGACTGTCTAGCCTCTTCTTAAAAATCTCCAGTGATGGAGCGCCCACAAAATCTGGTGGCAAGCTGTTCCACTGGTTAATTGTCCTCACTGTCAGGAAGTTTCTCCTTAATTCCAGGCTGGGTCTCTCTTTGTTCAGTTTCCATCCATTGCTTCTTATCATATATAATAATCATAATCATATAATAATGATGATGATTACGATGATGATGATGATGGAAGGGATCTTGGAGGTCATCTAGTCCAACCCCCCGCTCAGGCAGGAAACCCTATACCATTTCAGACAAATAATAACAATAATAATAGGAAAGGACCTTGGAGGTCATCTAGTCCAACCCTCTGCTCAAGCAGGAGACCTTATACCATTTCAGACAAATGACTATCCAGTCTCTTCTTAAAAACTTCCAGTGTTGGAGCATTCACAACTTCTGGTGGCAAGCAGTTCCATTTACTGTATTAATAGTAGAGTTGGAAGGGACCTGGGAGGGATTTCTAGCTCCTTTGTAACTTTGACCAGTCACTAAACGAACTTAGCAAGTCGAGGATCCCCTGTAACTGGCCAAAGAGGGTGAAGGAATATTTATTTGTCTTTATTTTGCCTTTCATAATCAGCCTTCTCCCTAAGAGACAGGCTCTGGGCGGTGAATAACCAGAAGGGCCTCAGAAATTGCCGTCCAGATCCTTGCAAACGTGCAGAGTCCCAGGCCGGATTTTTTTTTTTAAAAAAAAAACCACATGTAATATTTAATATTATATGTATTAACTGCAGCAAGAATTGTATTCGCTCAACGTTGAAAAAAACGCAGAATGACCAATGGAGGACGAGTTAATCGAAAAAATTCTAGATTCTGCAGAAATGGACAGGTGGATGTTGAAAATGAAAGAGAAAGAAGACTCTGAATATTTTAGGATATATATATATATATGTATGTATGTAGGTAGGTAGGTCTTTGGTTATTCGGGTTTTCTCCCGTGTAAAATTGGAAGTGTCTTGGCGACGTTTTGACGAAGTCCCATTCGTCATCTTCAGGCTGGTGTTTTTAGCTTCGTGCTTCGAGGAGCAATGTGTGGTCTTAGCTGTTTCTTCCTTTTAACTGCCAATGGGGGTATGAACTGATTGGGTGGGAGCTTGGCTGTGTTCTGATTGGGTAGAGGTGTGTTCTGATTGGTTAGGGGCTTGGCTGTGCTCTGATTGGCTGGGGGGTTGGCTGTGCTCTGATTGGCTGGGGGAGTGTTCTGTTTAGGTGGGGGCTATTTTTTGGCTTCGAACGCGAAGCCAAAAAATAGCAAGGCAGTCCACCATCTTAAATCCTCCTGCAACTCAGACTAACCTGAGCACAACAAAGCCCCCACCCAAACAGAACACTCCCCCAGCCAATCAGAGCACAGCCAACCCCCCAGCCAATCAGAGCACAGCCAAGCTCCTAACCAATCAGAACACACCTCTACCCAATTAGAATACAGCCAAGCTTCCACCCAATCAGTTCATACCCGCACTGGCAGTTAAAAGGAGGAAACAGCTAAGACCACAAATTGTTCCTCGAAGCACGAAGCTGAAAACACCAGCCTGAAGATGACGAATGGGACTTCGTCAAAATGTCACCAAGACACTTCCAATTTTACACGGGAGAAAACCCGAATAACCAAAGACCTACATACAAACACCCGCAAAAACCTCAGAAAACGTGTGTGTGTGTGTGTTTGTGTGTGTAAAAATCATACCAGCCCAATGCTCAGGAGCTACATGTTGAGCACCTTAAGCCACTTTTAAACCCCTCTCAAGGTGGCTTGTTGAAATGGTGTAGGGTTTCCTGCCTGAGCAGGGGGTTGGACTAGATGACCTCCAAGGTCCCTTTCAACTTTATTACTTATTAAGAGGCCATTCTTGAAGAGGGGGCTTGCTTAGAGTCAAACGAGAAAAGAGCAGCGTTAAGAGCTGGGCCAGTCCCCACCCCACCCACACATTGTGCGATTATAGTGTAACCAGGTTGTGGTTGTGACACATACTATAGTCCCTGACTTACAACAAGTTCCTTTAGTGGCTGAGAAAAGTGATTTATGACTGTTTCACACTGACGACCCTTGAAGCCTCCCCGTGGTCACGGGGTCAGAACATTCGGGCGCTTGGCAACTGACTCGTATTTATGACGGTCGCAGCTTCCCGAGGTGCCGCCTGACCCCTTTTTGCGACCTAACAAGCAAAGTCAGTGGGGAAGTCAGATCCACTTAACGATGGCATTACTAGTTTTAACAGCTGCGGTGATTCACTTAACGGCGACAAACACAGTCGCAAAATGGGGCAAAATTCGCTTAACAACTGCCTGCAGTGGAATTTTTTTTTTTTTGGCTCAATCGTGGTCGTAAATCAAGGGCTTCCTCTATTTGTTGAAGATTACTGCCATAGTTCCCCCATGCTGGCTCAGGAATTCTGGGAGTTGAAGTCCACGAGTCATGAAAGGGCCAGGGTTGCCCACCCTTGGCCTGGTCCTAAGTGGGGGACACCCGTAGCCATCACATGAAGGTGTCTGCAAAGAGGAGAGGAAAGTTAAGACCACACACACACACACACACACACACACACCTTATTTTCTCTCTGCTTTCCAACTCTTACAAGCCCCTTTGGGTAGTCCCCGACTTAATGACCACAACTTACGAGCCCCAAATTTCCGTTGCTAAGTGAGACACTCGTGAAGTGAATTTAGCCCCGCTTTACGGCCTTCCTTGACGCAGTTTGTCAACTGAACCCCTGCAGTCGTTAAGTTAATAACACGGTCGTTAAGCGGTGAATCCAGCTTCCCTCCCCCCCCCATGGACTTTTGCTTGTCGCAAAAGGGGATCGCGTGACCCTCCCCTCCCGGGACGCTGCGACCGTCCTAAGTACGAGTCAGTTGCCAAGGCTGAGCTGTGGGGAAAGGTATGGGACTTGTAGTCCCGCCTGCCCGAAGGGTTCTGTTGGGCGTGGCTACCCGGAAACCTCACCCCAAGGTGTGGCCGGTGTCCCCAGACAAAGCCCAGGGGGGGGAGCTTTTAGACCCCGGGTCCTGGGGGAGCCCCCCCCACCCGCCAGCACAGCCAGGTAGGGAGAAGGGGGGGGCATCCCTCTGAGTGGTTTCTCCCCTCCTCACACACACACACAGGTGGACATTTTCAACAAGGAGATTCTCCTGATCCCCATCCACCTGGAGGTCCACTGGTCACTGATCTGTGTGGAGGTGAAGCAGAAGAAGATCACCTACCTGGACTCCCAGCGCACCCTCAACCGGCGGTGTCCCAAGGTAAGGCGGGAAAGGGCTTGGGAGCAACGTCCGTGGGGCGGGGGGGATTCCTCCACCCTCCCAAGTGCATTTCCCAAAAGAAAAACTAGACTTGCTCGGGGTTTTTTTTTCTCCCCTTTGAAAATAATGTTTTACTAATCAGAATCCGAAGAGAGCCGGGAGGGACCTCAGAGGTCATCTAGTCCAACCCGCTGCTCAGGCAGGAAACCCTAACCCATTTCGGACAAAGGGCGGTCCAGGGAGGGAGGGAGGGAGGGAGGGAAGGAAGGAAGGAAGGAAGGAAGGAAGGAAGGAAGGAAGGAAGGAAGGAAAAAAAATAACAGAATAACAGACTCGGAAGGGACCTTGGAGGTCATCTAGTCCAGCCCCCTGCTCAGGCAGGAAACCCTACACCATTTCAGACAAAGGGCGGTCCAGTCTCTTCTTAAAAACTTCCAGTGTTGGAGGAGGGAGGGAAGGGAGGGAGGGAGGGAGGGAGGGAAGGAGGAAGGAAGGAAAGAAAAAAGAATAACAGAATAACACATGGAAGGGAAACCCACCTAACCATTTCAGACAAAGGGCTGTCCAGTCTCTTCTTTAAAAGTTCCAGTGTTGGAGGGAGGGAAAAAAATAAGAGACTCAGAAGGGACCTTGGAGGTCATCTAGTCCAACCCCCTGCTCAGGCAGGAAATGTCTAGACCATTTCAGACAAATGGCTGTCCAGTCTTTTCTTAAAAACTTCCAGTGTTGGAGAAGGGAGGGAGGAAGGAAGGCTTGCCCAATCTCTTCTTGAACGCCTCCAGTGATGGAGCCCCCACACGTTCTGGTAGCAAGCTGTTCCGCGGGTTAATTGTTGTCACCGTCAGGAAATTCCTCCTCAGTGCTAGGTTGCCTTAGTCCAGAAAACAGGCCCTCATGCAAACCGCTTTGTATTGAAAGGCAAAAAGTTTGCATTCAGCCTGCTTTTGAACGACGCATGTGATTTTTTGCTGTTGTGTGCATGCCGATAGTTTGCCTAGCCTTGGCTGGAGATGGGGTGGCAGTGGGGCTGCTGCTCTTTCACCTGCCTTCCTCCTCCTCCTCTTCCTCCTCCCCCTCCCCGTAGCACATCTGCAAGTACCTACAAGCCGAAGCGGATAAGAAGAATCGTCCCGACTTCCGAGACGGCTGGAGAGGGGTTTTCCAGATGGTGGGTGTCTCCTCCCAGGCATGAGGGAGCAGGGGGGGATCCCAGGGACTGACTTTCTTGGGGCCACCCATTGAGGGCCGTTTGTTGGGCGCCCCCAAATTTAACCCAGGAGCATCACCCCACCTTGGCCCGCAGCTGCAGCCTGCTGCGTCTCTCTCTCTCTCGCTCGCTCTCTCTCTCTCCTTCTTTCCTTCTTTGGGGGACAGAAGGGTGGCAAAGCTGCGGCTGGCACCACCCCACGGCCTGCAGGCGGTAGACCTCAGGCCTGAACAGGCCTCGTGCAGTGTGGATGGCATGCCAGGCACCCAAGGACTAGAATTCACCCAAAGTCCCCCAGTCGGCTTTCATGCCTAAGGCGGGACTAGAACTCACCGTCTCCTGGTGATTGGCCCGAAGTCACCCAGCTGGGTTTTGTGCCTAAGGCGGGATTAGAACTCACCGTCTCCTGGGGATTGGCCCAAAGTCACCCAGCCGGCTTTGATGCCTAAGGCAGGACTAGAACTCACCGTCTCCTGGTGATGGGCCCAAATTCAACCAGTCAGCTTTCATGTCTAAGGCGGGACTAGAACTCTGTCTCCTGGCAGTTGGCAGAAAGTCATCAAGCTCTCTTTCGTGTCTAAGGCAGGACTAGAACTCGCCGTCTCCTGGTGATTGGCCCAAAGTCACCCACACGGCTTTTGTGCCTAAGGCGGGACTAGAACTCGCCGTTTCCTGCCTTTTAGGCTAGCTTCTTAACCGCGAGACCAAACTGGCTCTCAGTTTAGTTTAGGTCAGGGGTGCGGAACCCTGGCTCTTTTATGACACGTGGACTTCAACTCCCAGAATTCCTGAGCCAGCATGGCTCAGCTTGGAAACCTCTCCCTTTCCCCTCAGCGTGGCTGGCTCGGGAATTCTGGGAGTTGAAGTCCACCAGTCATAAAAGAGCCAAGGTTGCCCTGCCCTGGTTTAGGTGAATACATAAATTTGGCCTTTTTCTGGGTCTGGCCAAAATTCCGCCTGATCCTTCGAGCTGTAGCAGAAGAGAACAATAGCAAAGGCCCCGTGTCCCCCCCCCCCATGCTGGGCAGAAGCCAACGCTAACCAGGATCAAGGCCAGGATTGTGTCTCTAACATGGCTTAGAGATGTTGGGCTTGGCTGGTGGGAGCCCAGGTGAGGAAGGGGGCTGACCCTCGGGCTGCCAGGTCAGGTGAGGCTGCAGGGGGGCGAGAAGCCTGGGGGGCTGCGGACCCCCTGTGCTCTCTGCCCGCCAGCTCTGACCGTTTCCTTTCTCCCACCCAGAACATCGCCAGACAAAACAATGACAGTGATTGTGGCGCCTTCGTCCTGCAGGTGAGATGGGGGGCTCGGGGGGGGGGGGCTGGCACTGGGGGGATGGGAGGGGGGAAAACCAGGAGCCTGGTGGGCCCTTTTTCTACCTGCTCAAAGGCAGAAGCTGTTCTGGAAGGGCAGCTCGTAACGCCCCCCTCCCTTTCTGCTTTGAATAAAGCTTGCTCCTGGGAAAGGTGCTTGGGGGGGAGGAGAAGAGGGGGGAAGAGAAGAGGGGGGGGCGAGAAGAAGAGGAGGGGAGAAGAGGGAGAGAAGGAGAAGAGGAGAGGAGAGGGGGAGAATATGGAGGGGAGGGGAGAGAGAAGAAGAGGGAGAGAAGAAGGGGAAGGGGAGAAGGGAGAGGGAAAAGAAGGGAGGGGAGAAGAGGGAGAGAAGGAGAAGAGGGAGGGGAGGGGAGAGAGAAGAAGAGGGAGAGAAGGGGAAGGGGAGAAGGGAGAGGGAGAAGAAGGGAGGGGAGAAGAGGGGGAGAAAAAGGGAAGGGGGAGAAGAGGGAGGGGAGGGGGAGAAGAGGGAGGGGAGAAGAAGGAGGAAGAGGAGAGGGAGAAGAGGGGAGGGGGAGAAGAAGGGGGAGGGGAGGGGAGGGAGAAGAAGAAGGGAGGGGGAGAAGAGGGGAGGAGGAGAAGAAGGGGAGGGAGAGAAGAGGGGAGGGGGAGGAGGGAGAGGGGAGGAGAAGAGGGGAGGGGGAAAAGAGGGGAAGGAGGAGGACCACTGTGGAGTCCTTGCTTGTTTCATGACTCAACTAGGGAACATCATCAGGAGGAAGGGTTTTGTTTTGCATTTTTAGCTCTTGATGACGTTCCCTAGCAGGGTCATGAAACTTCTGCCAGGAAGCCCACCCAGGTCCTCCCTCCTTTGAACCCCGATCCGGAAGTCCATCCTCAAATCTTTTTTTTTTTTTTTTTTTTGTCTCTGTTTGCCTTCCCCAGTATTCCAAATTCCTGGCCCTGGGCCTGCCCTTCGCCTTCACGCAGCAAGACATGCCGAAACTCCGCCGGCAGATGTACAAGGAGCTGTGCCACTGCAAACTCATTGCATGACAGCCCGGCTGCAGCCTCCCCCCCCCTCGCCCGCCCCTCTCTCTGCCCCCCCTCTTCGCGCCACCCCACCCACCCGGGGGGGGAACGCAGCCGAACCGGCCGTCCCGTCCTGGGTCTGGAGCAGCCGCGAGCCGGGAGCGCCTCTTCGCCCGGCCAGGGGGCAGGGCCGACCCTCCCCGGGTTTCAGCCGGAGACAAGGGGACTGTGAGGTTTGACCAACCGGACTTTCGTGGGGGGGGGGCGCTTTTTTTAAACCCAAGTTACCCCCTGATCCTCTCTCTTTTCTTTTTTCTTTTCTTTTCTGATCTTTCTGTTTGATTTTTGTTCCTATTTAAACCCGGGTGCTTCTCCCCGGGGGTTTCGTTTGGGAATTGAGGGGAGGGGGGGAAAGGGTTGGGGGGGGTGTCTGTTGGCATCGAGGGCGGTCGAGGGATCTACCCCTCCAGGGGGGCTCCCTGGAGATCCAAGAAAAGCGCGGGGAATCCTGAACTCAGGACCTGAAAAGGGAGGAGGGGGGTACGGGTGACCCCTGTGCACACAGCCCCCCTCTCCTCCCGGGCTTTTGTCACCCCGTTAGTTCATGTGTTTTTTTTTTTTCTCCCCTCTCCCCCCAAAAGGGGGAAAGCGTTGGAAAAAGAGGGGAGGGGGCTGGGTGGGGGGGTTGAGGTTTCTACACTGGGGCCGAGATTAACTGAACACAAGTGGTTTTTTTTATACAATGGCTGCCATTGTGGGAAATAAAAATTGTTCTTTGGAGAAGCATTCAAGCGAGGTGGACGTGTGATGGGCCCGCAGAGTCCTCCAGACAGCTGCAGGCCCTTTATTATTATTATTATTTTCCCCCCCTCCAAGGTTCAGGGCTCTGGGATAGCGAGCGGAAGAGGTCAACCAATCAGAATAGAACTGGGTGAGACCTCAGAGGTCTTCTAGTCCAGCCCCCCCCTCTCTCCAGGCAGGAGACCCTATACCAGTGGTTCTCAACCTGTGGGTCGGGACCCCATTTGGGGTCGAACGACCATTTCACAGGGGTCGCCAAACAAGGATGTCCGCCATTTTTTCCCCCTTTTCTTTGGCCACGCCCCTGGCACCCGGCGATGTATAAGTGGTTGGGGGTCACCACAACATGGGGAACTGTATTATGGGGTCGCGGCATTAGAAAGGTTGAGAACCACTGCCCTATACCATTTCAGATTAGTGGCTGTCTAGGCCAGGGGTCTTCAAGCTTGGCCTTGTTATGGCTTGTGGACTTCAACTCCCAGAATTCCTCAGCCAGCTCAGACTTGGCCCTTTGATGACTTGTGGACTTCCTGGCTGAGGAATTCTGGGAGTTGAAGTCCACAAGTCATCAAAGGGCCAAGTTGGAAGACCCCTAGTCTAATCTGTTCTTAAAAGCCTCCATTGTCGGAGCGCCCACAATTTCTAGTGGCAGGCTGTTCCTCTGGTGAATCGTTAGGAAATTTCTCCTTAATGCCAGGTGGCTTCTCTCCTTGAACACAGGTAGTCCTTGACTTAACAGTTCATTTAGTGACCGGTCAGAGTCACACTGGCACTGAAAAAAGTGACGTTAACAACCATTTTAGTATCCCTGCAGTCGCATGATCCAAATTCAGGCGCTTGGCAGTTGTCTCACATTTTCAACTGTCGCGGCATCCCACCGGGGGTCACACCATCCCCTTTTGCAACCTGACAAGCAAAGGGGGGGGGAGCCGGATTCATTTAACGACCAGGTTGCTAACTTAACAACCAGAACGATTGACTGAACAGTGGTGGCGAGAAAGGTCGTAAAATGGGGCACTCTGCACGTCTCACTTAGCAACATTTTGGCCTCCATTGAGGACTAAATGTAGTTTCCATCCGTTGCTTCTTGTCCGGCCTCCAGGTGCTTTGGAGAATGGGCAGGACCCCCCCCCTTCTTTGTGGCAGCCCCTGAAATACTGGAATTCTGCTATCGTGTGTCCCCCCTTCTTTGAAATTCCCATTTCTCCTTTTGGCCAAATAAGAGGTACGAGAGGTTGCCCCGCAGGTTAGATCCTGCACCCCAGTTTCTCCGCAGCCCCCGGGAGGCTTCAGTTACCGCTGGGCTTCTGGGGGGGGGGCCTCCTGAAAAATCACGCCACCCAGAAAGGATAGGACTTGTAGTCCCATCGGCAGCAGCTTGAGAAAAGCCGCTTTGAGCTCCAGTCATTCTTCCTTAGCTAGTCCTCGACTTAACGGCCGTTCATTTAGCAACGGCGCTTCAAAAAAGCGTTTTTCATTCTTAAAGACCGTTGGCAGCCTCCCCCTGATCACGGGGTCCACATTCAGACGCTTGGCAGTCGACTCGTCTTAACGACGGCCGCTGTGTCCCACCGGAGTCACACGATCCCCTTTTGCCACTTTCTGACGCGCCAAATCCCCCGGGGAAGCCAGATTCGCTTAACGACCGTGTCGTTATCCACAGCCCAGGATAACCGAGACGAAAAAGGTCATAAAATGGGAGAAAACTGACTTAACATCCGCTTAGCAAGCACAGAAATTTTGGGCTCCTCCTGCAAGCCCCATTGGGAAATTTATTTTAGCAAGCCAGGGCTGAGCCTAGGATAGCTGGCTTCATCGTCGTCCTCATCATCTTCCCTTTTGGGAGATTCATTTCCTGAATTGCCGGGCGCAGCCGGAAGAGTTAAGATGGCAGCAACGGAAGGGGAGCCAGTCTGCAGCTTCCAGGGGTCCGTCCTGAGGACCACTTGGGGGCCCCTGGGCCAGGCCCACCACCCGAGAGGTCCTGGCTGTTCACTTCCAAAGAGCTGGGGAGGGGGGGGGCAGCTCTCCAGATGCAAAAGGGGTCACATCCTCCCAGGAAACGGGTTGGCCCCAGCGCCCTCCGGTCAGTATCTCCCACCCACCCCCCACCCCCATTAGTAGTGGTCCCACCGCTTCGCCAGTGGTGGGGTGGAAGGATTCCTGTAGTACAGTGTTTCCCAAACTTGACCATTTTAAGGCATGTGGACTTCAACTCCCAGAATTCCACAGCCAGCAATGCTGGCTGTGGAATTCTGGGAGTTGAAGTCCACATGCCTTAAAATGGTCAAGTTTGGGAAACACTGCTGTAGAAGGTTAGCCATCGTGGCGCAGGCAGACTCTGCATTTCCACAGCCAGCAGTTCGATCCTGACCGGCTCATGATTGACTCAGCCTTGCGTCCTTCCGAGGTCGGTAAAAGGAGGGCCCAGATGGTTTGGGGGGGGGGGCTCAAATAGACTGACTCAGTAAACCGCTTAGAGAGGGCTGTAAATGCACTGTGAAGCGGTATATAAGTCTCTTTTAGTGCTAGACTGCCCCTGGAGGGGGAGGCTCCAGGGCTTCCTGGGTGGGAGCAAATGGCTGGTTCTAGAAGCATCCAAGGAGATCCCTGGCAGACTCTGGCTCAGTGGAAATCGGGAGGGGGGGGGCTTTAAATGGGCTGGAGATGCGTGGGGAGGGTAGCGCCCTCTGCCCATGCTCAGAGTTCATAAGGGGCTTGGGGCCAATGCAGCCAGCACCCCTTAGCTTGCTGGGGGGCTCCGATTGCCCGTCTTTCGGGGTTCGAAGGCAAAGCGAGCTGCCCTACAGCGGGGGCCCTTTTTATTGTTCCCCCCTGCCCCCGCAGGGCTTTCGGGGCGGCGCTGGCCGTGGGGGACACTTGGCCCGGAGTCTCCCCAGGCCTTGCCTGGCCTTCCGCGGGCGAAGGGGCGGAAGCTTTTCCCGCCCGGTTCGCGTTCACACGTGCAACGCCGCAAGGGCAGCGGGCAGGGCGAGGACGGGGCACTTGCAATGCGGGACTCGGGGCTGGGAATCCAGGAATCAGATATGGGGGCAAGAAAGGTAAAGCCCGCCCCAGAGGTGTCCAACCCGTGTCGTGGGAATGCAACTTGCGTGCACGGAAAATAGGGCACGCCCGGGACTGCCGTATTTTGTGGAGGGCGGCCCCAGCTTGCTTGTTCCACCTCCCACCCGGGTCCCCCCATGCCCCCCACCCCCCGCCCGGTGCACAAAGCCGGGCTCGGAAGCAGCAGCCGCCGTCCCCGCCACGTGCGCCCCTGCACGGGCCCCGAAGGCCCGCCTCCCCCTCCGACCGTCATTGACCGCGAGCGGCTTGCGTAAGCGGGCGAGTGACGCGCGCCTCGCCCAATGGGCGCCCGGGACTCTTCCTCCCCCGCGATGTCACCGCGCGCCCACCCGCCCGTCTCCCCCAATCAGCGGGCGCCGGCGTCACGTCTGACGGGCTGGGCCGCTCTGCCGAGAAAAAAGGGAGGCGGCCGGGCCAATGGGAGAGAAGCCGGTCACGGAGATAGCTGGGCGGCGGGCCAATCAGAGGAGCGGAGCGGCAGGGCGGGCCGAAGCGCGAGGGCCAATGCCTGCCGGGCGGGTGGGAGGAGCCCCGCCGGCGGTTATAAGGAGGCGCGAGGCGGGCGGGGCCAGGACCTTTTCCACAGAATGTCTGCGAGTCAAGAGAGCCGGTGAGTGAGCCCCGAGGCCGCCTGTAGGCCTCGCCGCCCGCCCGGGCCTCCCGCGGCCGGCCTTCCCACCCCCGTCGCCGCCTTCTCCGCGCATCCGGCCTCTCCGCACGTGCCCGCTCCCGCTGGCCCGCTCCCTCCCCCCCGCGGAGCGTTGAACTCTCCCTCGCGGCTCATGCTGCCCGCGGCCTGTGGGCGAAACCATTTTTCCCCGGGGGGGGGAGATAGAAACGATACGAACAAAAGGCCATTTCGCGGCCTTGTCGGCGCGATCCTTTTTTCCCCGGGGTTTTTATTTTTTGAGGGGGGGGAGAGCCGGCCGCGCAGCCCCTCGCTCGGCGCCCGCCCCGATCCCCCCCCTTCCCGCGGGAGGGGCCGCACCGACTCTTTTTCTTCCTCCCCCCGCGGGGACCTCGACCCCCCCCTCAGCGCCGGCGGGGCCCCCGGGCGAGGCGAGCGGCGCGCTCCCCGCGGCGGGCGCGTCCGCGTTCCCGGCCGCCCATTGTCCTGGCGCGGCGCATCCGGGAAACTCGGGGCGCGTGACGTCATCGGGGCGGGGGCGGGGCCGGCGGCCTTAAAAGGCCAGGCGGAAGCGCACGTGGGCGGGGGAGGCGCCTGGCCGGCGGGGCGTCGCGCGCAGGTTCTTCCCCCCCCCTCCCCATCCTGACTACCCCCCCCTCTCGCTTGACCTCTTGCAGCTCCCGAGACAATGGCCCGGACGGTATGGACCCCGACGGCGTCATCGAGGTGAGGAGGACGGGGGAGCTCCCCCCCCCTTCCCTCTGGCCCAGGGGGTTGGTTGGGGTAGTGGGCCTCCTTTTGCCCAGGGTTCCAGTCCCTATGAAGGATTGGCGCTCTCTTTCCGCCCCGCCCGCCCCCCAAAAAGAATATTGGCTCCCCTCCTTAGGAATTGGTGTGGCAGGGAAAGGGGGGGGTCTCTGGTTTCACCCCGCTTGGGGTTGATAGGTTTGGGGTTCCAGTCCCTGTAAAGGACTGTTCCCCCCCCCCCCCAAAGAAAGATGTCTGGCCTCCTGCTTAGGAATTTGGTCTAACGTGGGGGTATCTATAGTTTCACCATATTTGGGGGTGGCAGGAAGTCTGGCCCAGTCCCTGGGGTTCTAGTCCCTGTGAAGGATATTTACACACACACCAAGGAGACCGCCTGCCCCACTACTTGGGAATTGGTGTGCTAGGCGAGGGGATCCATGGCTCCCCCCCCGTGGCAGGAAGACTGGCCCAGTTCTGGGGTTCCAATCCCTGTAAAGGATTGTTTCCCCCCCCCCAAAGAAAGATGTCTGGCCTCCTGCTTAGGAATTTGGTCTAATATGGGGGTATCTATAGCAGGGAAAGGCCTTTGGTTTCACCCCCCCCTTGGGGTTCAAAGGTTTGGGGTTCTAGTTCCTGTAAAGGATTGTTTCCTCTTCTCCCCCCCAAGAAGGGTGCCTGGCCTCCTGCTTAGGAATTTGGCCTAATATGGGGGATCTATAGTTTCACCCCATTTGGGGGTAGCAGGAAGTCTGGCCCAGTCCCTTGGGTTCTAATCACTGTGAAGGATTATCTCTCTGGTTCTAGTCCCTGTGAAGGATATTCACACACACGCCAAGGAGACTGCCTGCCCCACTACTTGGGAATTGGTGTGCTAGGCGAGGGGATCCATGGCTCCCCCCCCCTCCTGGTGGCAGGAAAGCTGGCCCAATTCTGGGGTTCCAGTCCCTGTGAAGGATTGCCCCCGTCAAAGAAAGATGTCTGGCCTCCTGCTTAGGAATTTGGTCTAATGCAGTGTTTCTCAACCTTGACAATTTTAAGGCATGTGGATTTCAACTCCCAGAATTCCACAGCCAGCAATGCTGGGCTGTGGAATTCTGGGAGTTGAAGTCCACATGCCTTAAAATTGTCAAGGTTGAGAACCACTGGTCTAGTGGGGGTATCTATAGTTTCACCCCACTTGGGAGTGGCAGGAACCCTGGCCCAGTTCCTGGAGTTGTGGTCCCTGTGAAGGATTCTCATTCTCTCTCCCCCACCCCCTCTCTCACACACACACACATACACACCAATAAGATTGCCTGTCCCACTACTTGGGAATTGGTGTGCTAGAGGAGGGGGATCTATAGTTTCACCCCGCTTGGAGGGTGCTGGACATCCTGGCCTGGGCCAGATTTTATCACCCCCGAGACGTATAGTTGGTCTTCTGCTGTTAAAAGGAGGGAGGGTGTTCAACAGTTTCACTTTGGGGAGAGGGGAGGAGCAGTTTCTGGGGTGCCCAGGCTGACCCTGTGCCCGCTTCTCTCCCCGCAGAGCAACTGGAACGAGATTGTCGACAGCTTTGACGATATGAACCTGTCGGAGTCCCTTCTGCGAGGAATCTACGCTTACGGTTTTGAGAAACCCTCTGCTATCCAACAGCGAGCCATTCTCCCTTGTATCAAGGGTGAGCCCAGATAGGGAAGAAAATGGGGGGGGAATTACTGCCCTGGCTTTCCAGAGGCTGAAGGGAGGCAAAGGCAGCTGTGTCCAGCCACTGTGGATATGATGCCCTTCGATGCTGGATGTTCCCTTAACGATACACCAACACCAGCATAACAATATTCGATTATCGATAAAGGAGGGCATTTGTAGCTCGGGGCTGACCTGAGGGGGTCCTTGGTGCCCTCCTAGCTTTCCTGCAAACCTTTCATTACCCAAACTAAGCGACGTCATGAGGACTAGCACCGATGACATTGCCTAGCTTCGGCGGTGGAACATCTGCAGGAAAGTAACCGAGCTCAGAGACCTCCGGGGACCCCTGACAATCGGAAAATGGGTAAACACTTCACAAGTTTGTGACGTTTCCGTTGCAAAGACGGGCAGCGAGGTGAATCCTGGAGGGTTTTGTAACAAAGTCTGCTCCGGGATTGGAATCTTGTCTTGAGGAGGGAAGAAGCTTCAGTAGAAGGGATCGTTTGCTGTTCGGGGTTGAACTGAGGGGTTCCCAATTCTTGGGGGGGGAGGCAGCCCTGCTGCTGAGTTTGTCATCTGCCTGTAGTTGGCAAGCCCGCAACCAGACTCACATCTGGGGACTCCTCGCTTTCTGCGGCCAACAATCCTGCCCTGCTAATGGGCAAAGAGGCGCCTCTCCACGTGGCTGCCATCTTGCATCTATTGGGGGGGGGCACAGGAGCCGTCCCCATTTCATCTCCTTCCCAGTGGCTGCTCACCGGTTCATGCTGGGGAGGCACAACAAAGTGGGCTGTCAGGCAGGGCAGGGGGCCAAGGGGCGGGTTCTCCGTTGACTCCTCCTCTTTTCCTCCGCTCAGGGTATGACGTCATCGCCCAAGCCCAGTCTGGCACTGGGAAGACCGCCACCTTTGCCATCTCCATCTTGCAGCAGGTTGAGCTGGATCTGAAAGCGACCCAGGCCTTGGTGCTGGCCCCGACTAGGGAGCTGGCTCAGCAGGTGCGGGGGGGGGCTCTCTTTCCCTTTCTTTCTTAACCAGTGGAACTACTGGCCACCAGAAGCGGTGAATGCTTCAACGCTGTGGAAGTTCTTAAGAAGAGACTGGACAGCCGTTTGTCTGAAATGATGAGAGATTATCCTGCCTGAGCACGGGGTTGGGCTAGAAGACCTCCAAGGCCCCTTCCATCTGTTTCTCTTCCTTCCTCCCTTCCTTTCCTTCTTTCTCCTCCTTTCCCTTTGTGTGTCTCTATTTCTGGTTCTTTCCCTCCCTCTATCTGCTTCTCTCCCTCTCTTTCTGCTTTCCTATCCCTTTCTCTGTTTCCCTTTCTTTTTTCTTTTTCTCCTTCTCTTTCCCTCTTCCTTCTCTCTCTCTCTTTCAGTTCTTCTCCCTTTCTTTCTCTCTTTTCCCTCTTCTCTCCCTCCTTTTCCTTTCTGTCTCCTTTGCACGGATGGCCCCCTTGTGTCAAGGAGCACTTGTGAGACTGCGGGGGGGGGGACGGACGACTTGTAGCTCTCACCTGGTCCCTGCTACCTGGGCAAAGGGGGGCCTCTGACCGTGGCCGCTTCTTACATCTAGCAGGGGGAAAGCAACTTTTTCCTTATTCATCCCAGCACGGCATCTCTCCCAGTGGCTGATGACTGGTTCATGCTGGGGAAACAAGGGAGGAGGGCAGGAGAATCCTCCAGGACAGCCCCCTTCCTGACGTTGTCGTTTTCCCTCCTCCTGACAGATCCAGAAGGTGGTCATGGCTCTGGGGGACTACATGGGGGCCTCTTGCCACGCCTGCATAGGGGGCACGAACGTCCGGGCTGAAGTTCAGAAGCTGCAGATGGAAGCGCCCCACATCATCGTGGGGACCCCCGGGCGGGTGTTTGACATGCTGAACAGAAGATACTTGTGTGAGTACATTCCTGGGGCTCCCTCACCTTCCTCTCCCCCCAACACACACACACACACACACACACACAGAGGCTGAAAGACACATCACGAGGCTCGTGCAGCTGTCCTGGGCTGCGCATTTCTCAAGACCGGTCTGGTTCTTCATTAGTGTGAGTGGGGGGGTGTCAGCTGCCCCCTTGTACTTCACAACCATTTGGTATTAGCTGCCCTGGACTCCAGAGGGCTGGGATTTGGGGAGGGGGCTTCTGGGGAAACAAAATTTGAAGTGACCGTTCAGAAAACATCTTGTTTGAATTTGGGTGGATGTAGAGGGGGGGAGACAGTGATGGAGGGAGGCAGCTTAAGAGAGGGAGAAGTTAGACTTGAGGATTTGGATGGGCGATTCTCCTACTGACGGGGGGGGGGTCCTTGCCTTAACGGCCACAGCCCAGTCTTTTCGTTGCTAAGCGAAACAACCTGCCTCCAGAAGCAGTAAATGCTCCAACACTGGAAGTTTTTAAGAAGAGACAGGACAGCCATTTGTCCGAAATGGTGTAGGGTTTCCTGCCTGAGCAGGGGGTTGGACTAGATGACCTCCGAGGTCCCTTCCAACATTACTATTGTTATTATTGTTGTTATTATTTTGTTTAAATGAGTTTTGTTCCATTTTATACCTTTTTTTGAATTTTTTTTACTGATTTTCTGATTTTACATTTAAATGTTTGAAAAGCAACGTGGCGGTTGAGTTGGTCCACAATACAACAACACACAAATATCTTTAGTTCAGATCTCAAACGATGACTTTAAACGTTAAAATACCCTTGCTTGCCACATTCGTTAAGCGAACGGCTGCGGTTAAATAAGTTTTATTTTATCCCCCCTTTTTTTTAATTAGTTCACAATATAAAATACAGAAGGAAAAATGGAGGGGGAAGGGATGAGAGCAGGGTAGAAAAGAAATGTGCAGTAGAATTAAGACAGGGACACCAAACTTCCAACTTTTTTCCTTTTCCATAATAGCATAAATTAACTTTCTAGGTTTTTGGGGGGTTTTTTTAAATGTTTTTGCTTCCACTCTGAAAAGGCTTCTGGACTTTGTCCTTGGGAAGTGGGGGGAAACAATGAAACTTTTACTGATTAGATAAACGTGTTCTTAATTGAAACCGGCTCCTGTGTTGACTTTACTTGTCAGGGGATCACGTGACGCTCCCAGGAAGCTGCGACCGTCATAAACACAAGTCAGTTTGCCAAAGTCTGAACTTTGATCACGTGACCCACGGGTTCTAAGTATGAGAAACGTTCCTGGGTCACGCTTTTCCCGCGCTGTCACACGTGAACGGTCACTAAGTGAGCCGTCGTAAGGCGAGGACCGGCTGAAATTTCGCTGGGCTTCTAGTCCAGTGTTGCCTTTCTCAGCCGAGGGAGTTCAGGGCCGTTCTTACTGAGAAGGGGTCCGGCTGCCCTCCTTCCCTGCTGCTGTTCGGTGATGATTACCCCATGCGTGTCATCTGATCCCGTGCCTCGATTTCCCCCCTCCAGCCCGCGTTCTGCTGGGCAGGGGGAGGGATCCCCGGGGTCGGGGAAGTGATCATGCCTGGATAACCTCCCTGAGACCAGCAGATGCTGTTTTGTCCCTCTGCTGGGCTGGGCCTGCCTGAGTCGGCCTGCCTGATTTTCTTTCTTCCCTCCTTCCTTCCTTCCTTCCTTCCTTCCTTCCTTCCTTCCTTCCTTCCTTCCTTCCGTAGCGCCCAAGTTCATCAAGATGTTTGTGCTGGACGAAGCCGATGAAATGTTGAGCCGAGGCTTCAAGGATCAGATTTATGACATATTCCAGAAATTGAGTGGCAACACACAGGTGAGGGGGCACCTGGGTAAATCGGGCCATTCCTTGGAGCAGGGGGTCTGCAACCTGGACCCCTTTAAGACTGGTGGGCTTCAGCCCCAAAATTCGTCAGCCAGCCATTTTAAGTCCACCATTTTGTGGTGGACTTGAGCCCCCAGAATCCCCCAGCCAGCCCCTTTAAGAGTGGTGGGTTTCAGCCCCCAGAATCCCTCAGCCAGCCCCTTTAAGACTGGTGGGCTTCAGCCTCCAGAATCCCCCAGCCAGCCCCTTTAAGAGTGGTGGGCTTCAGCCCCCAGAATCCCCCAGCCAGCCCCTTTAAGACTGGTGGGCTTCAGCCCCCAGAATCCCCCAGCCAGCCCCTTTAAGAGTGGTGGGCTTCAGCCCCCAGAATCCCCCAGCCAGCCCCTTTAAGCGTGGTGGGCTTCTGCTCCCAGAATCCCCCAGCCAGCTCCTTTAAGCGTGGGTTTCAGCCCCCAGAATCCCTCAGCCGGCCCCTTTAAGAGTGGTGGGTTTCAGCCCCCAGAATCCCTCAGCCAGCCCCTTTAAGAGTGGTGGGCTTCAGCCCCCAGCATCCCCCAGCCAGCTCCTTTAAGAGTGGTGGGCTTCTGCTCCCAGAATCCCCCAGCCAGCCCCTTTAAGACTGGTGGGCTGCAGCCCCCAGAATCCGCTGGCTGAGGAATTCTGGGAGCTGAAGTCCGCCAGTCTTAAAGTGGTCCAGGTTGCAGAGCCCTGCCTTGCAGGGATTTACTTACAGATTGAATTTATTTTCCACCTATCTCGCCATTTTGGGGAGGGGGGGGCTACTCTAGGGCGGCCATCTTCTGGGACAGGGGTCTCCAACCGTGGCCACTTTGAAGGCTCGTGGGCTTCAGCTCCCAGGATTCCCCAGCTGCCGAGAGAGCGCCTGAACAAAACTCCTGAGGATTAATTGACGGGTGCTGGAGGGGGGGGGTCCCCTCCCTCCCACGAGATAAGGACCCCTTTTAAGGGGAGGGAGACTTTCACCACCTCCAGTTCCCGTAGCCCTATTAAGAATCCCTTTTTCGGAGCTGGGGAGGAGGCCCTAAAGAATAACAAGAGTTGGGAGGGACCCGGGAGGTGGTCTAGTCCAACCCCTGCTTAGGCAGGAGACCTGGGGGGGGTCTCCAAACTGGGCAGCTTGTAAGGCTTGTGGACCTCAACTCCTAGAATACCCCCAGCCAGCTGTGAAAGAGACACAGAGTTGAGGTCTTCCCCCCTCTCCCCCCCCCCCCCAGGTGGTCCTCCTGTCGGCCACCATGCCGATGGACGTGCTGGAGGTAACCAAGAAGTTCATGCGGGATCCGATCCGCATCCTGGTGAAGAAGGAGGAGCTGACTCTGGAGGGGATCCGGCAGTTCTACATTAACGTGGAGAGGGAGGTGCGTACACTGGGGTTGTCTGGGTGGGGGGGGGCCTGGGCTGGATGAGGTGGGAGGAGGGGCTTCATGTAATAGTAATAGTAACGAGTAGTAAAGTTGGAAGGGACCTTGGAGGTCATCTAGTCCAACCCCCTGCTCAGGCAGGAAACCCTACATCATTTCGGACAAACGGCTGTCCAGTCTCTTCTTAAAAACTTCCAGTGTTGGAGCATTTACTGCTTCTGGAGGCAGGCGGTTCCACTGGTTAATTGTTCCCATTGTCAGGAAGTTTCTCCTTAGTTCTAGGTTGCTTCTCTCCTTGATGAGTTTCCACCCGTTGCTTCTTGTCCTGCCTTCAGGTGCTTTGGAGAATAGCTTGACTCCCTCTTCTCTGGGGCAGCCCCTGAGATACTGGAACACAGCTATCCTGTCCCCCCTCGTCCTTCTCTTCGTTAAACTAGACATACCCAATTCCAGCAACTGTTCTTTATATGTTTTAGCTTCCAGTCCCCTAATCCTCTTTGTTGCTCTTCTCTGTACTCTTTCTAAAGCAGTGGTTCTCAACCTTTCTAATGCCGCGACCCCATAATACAGTTCCCCATGTTGTGGTGACCCCCAACCACTTATACATCACCGGGTGCCAGGGGCGTGGCCAAAGAAAAGGGGGAAAAATGGCGGACAGCCTTGTTTGGCGACCCCCGTGAAATGGTCGTTCGACCCCAAATGGGGTCCCGACCCACAGGTTGAGAACCACTGTTCTAGAGTCTCTACATCTTTTTTACATCGTCCTTAACTGGGGTCTCACAGACACACACACACATACACACACACACGTACACATCACTGCACAAAAGCCAATGGAACCGGGCTTCTTCCCCTTTTGACTCCGGATGGCTGCAAAGTCCCAGAACGCAGCTAGGTTTTTTTTTTTTTCCCCAAGGGCCAACCCAAAAAAAATTCAGCCCCCTCCCCTTAAAAAGCCCCCCCCCCCAGCCTTCGCTGGGTCCTAGAGCCTCTGTTGAGGGGTCCTGGGCGCTCTCTGGCGTTTGGCTTCTTGCGGGCGTTTTCAGTAGCATTTCACTGATGATGTTGCTCAGCTGGGTCGTGAGACGTCTGCAAGGAAACCCCCCAAACCCAGAGAGCACCCAGGAAATCCCCCCCCCCCCGTCATTTTCTTCCTCCCCTCTGCTCCTTCCTCTTCCTCCCCCTCTTCTCTGTTTCCTCTTCCCCCTCCCCTCTGTTTCCTCCTTCCCCTCTGCTCCTTCCTCTCTTCCTCCCCCTCCCCTCTGCTCCTTCCTCTTCCTCCCCTCTGATCCTTCCCCTCTTCCTCCCCCTCCCCATAAACCCCCCTCCCTACTAGTGCTGATAACATTTGGATAGTGAAAGATCTGCAAGGAAACCCCCAAGCCCAGAGAGCACCCACGACCCCCCCCCCAGTGCCAACTCCCCCTTCCAGCCCTGATGCTGTTGCCTAGTGGGGTCTTGAGACGCCTGGAAGGAAAGGGGCTTGGAGAGCGTCAGAAAGGGCCCCCCCTCCTTTGGACCCTGAGCCGCAAGTACTCTCCTTTATGCTAACGCTTAAAATTCTCTTCCCCCTGCCAGGAATGGAAGCTGGACACCCTTTGCGACCTCTACGAGACCCTGACCATCACCCAGGCGGTCATCTTCATCAACACCCGGAGGAAGGTGGACTGGCTGACGGAGAAGATGCACGCCCGGGACTTCACCGTCTCGGCCATGGTGGGTTGGGGGGGGGTGGGCTTGTCTCTTGGGGAGGGGGGTTCTGCCCTCTCCAGAAAAGGGGGGGCTCCTTGCCCTGCTGCCTTTAGCGACCCTTGACAGAGCTAGCCAGTTTTTCTCCCCCCCCTGCGCGAATTGGGGCAGGGGGAATCACGGTTAACAAACCTGGCCAGCTCGCCAATCCTGGTCTTTGGGGGGGGGTCTCGCCCGCCCAGCACGGGGACATGGACCAGAAGGAGCGTGACGTCATCATTTCCGCTCCGGATCCAGCCGCGTCCTGATCACCACCGATTTGCTGGTAAGTGCCAGGGAGGGGGCTTCCCTTGGCCCCCCCCCTCCCCAAATTCCCTTCCCCCCCCCCAAGGAGATTCCCTCTCTGCCTGGCCGGTGTGGTGCCAAGGGTGGATTGTAGCTCCTTGGCAGAGGAACACCCGAAGGGGCTGCTCGTCTCCACGGCCGGCACCCCCCCCCTGCGAGGTCCCGGCCACTTTGCGGCAGCTCACACTGGGCTCTCCTGCCTGGGGGGGGTGGTTTTGTGGTGGGGGGCTTTTTTAGGGGAGGGGGCTGAACTTTTTTTGGGGTTGGCGCTGGGGGGGGGAACTAGATCCGTTCTGGGACTTTGCAGCCATCCGGAGTCAAAGGGGGAAGGAGCCCGATTCCATTGGCTTTTGTGCAGTGATGTGTGTGTGTGGGTCTGTGAGACCCCAATTAATGACGATGTAAAAAAGAGGTTGAGACTCTAGAAAGAGTGGGAAGTCTTGAAGTTGCCTGGGTGGGAGACACACAAACACACACACACACACACACACAAACACACACACACACGGCACGCATCTGAGAGAGCAGAGATGGGGCAGGGAAAGGGGTCATTGCAAGTGGATCTGGGCCTCAGTTGCCATAGCTTGAGGACTAGCCCCCCTTGGCTTAATAACCGCAGGATTCCCTGAAATTGCACAATGGGGCGCAACTCGCCTGTCTTGCTTAGTAACGGGTGTCGGGCCTCGATTCTGGGCGTAAGACGAGGACTCCCTCTCCGGCGAGTCCTATCGGGTGCCGAGCAGCAGAGAAGTCTGAATCCCACATAGTTCACGACTTAACGACGGCAACGGAGCCCCAAAAGCCACCGTGGCTAAGCGAGACAGTTTGCCGAGTGCATTTCTCCCCATTTTGCAACTTTCCTTGCCCCCGTCGCTAAGCGAAGCAGCCCAGTTAAGCTGGCCGTTCGGCGACTCCCGGCTTTCCGGTTGACTGGAAGGCCGCCAAAGGGGATTGCGTGACACACAAACACAGCCACGCACAGACACACACCTCCCCACCGGACACACAACGCAGCGGTCCTAAAGAGGAACCGCTTTCCAAGCCTCTGAATCTTGATCGGCTGACCTGGGGAGGCCACAAAGCCTAAATCCCCAATTTTGGGGCCCTTGCGGCTTGGATTGGTCGCTAAGCGAAGGGTTGTAAGTTGAGGAAGCTGCACCCGGCACTAGGTTATCTTCTAGTCCGGCCCCCTGCTCAAGTGGGAGACCCCCTAGCCCAGGCTTTTTCAAACCCCATCCTGGCAGCTTCAGTCCCCCACTGATTGGATGGGGGGGGCTCCTGTTGAAAGCATCTTCCTCCCCCTCCTTCCCCCCCCCCCTGCAGGCCCGAGGGATCGACGTCCAGCAAGTCTCCCTGGTCATCAACTACGATCTCCCCACCAACCGGGAGAACTACATCCACCGGTCAGTAGAGGGCCTTCTCAAAGGGGGGAGGGAGGGGGCAGGGTCTCAAAGGGGGGAGGGAGGGGGAGCAGGGTCTTAAAGGAGGAGGGGGCAGGGTCTTCTGAAAGGGAGGGGGCAGGGTCTTGGAGGGAGGGGGAGCAGGGTCTTGGAGGGAGGGGGAGCAGGGTCTCAGGGGGGAGGGTCTTTTCACAGGGGGTGGGATCTTTTTAAAGGGAGGGGGCAGGGTCTTAAAGGGGGGAAGGGGGGGGAGCAGGGTCTCAAAGGGGGAGGGAGGGGTGGGGTCTTCTCAAAGGGAGGGGGAGCAGGGTCCTAAAGGGGGAGGGGGGCAGGGTCTTAAGGGGGGAGGGTCTTTTTAAAGGGAGGGGGAGCAGGGTCCTAAAGGGGGGTAGGGTCTTCTCAAAGCAGGGGAGGGGCCCCGCTGTCTCCCCTTCCTGCCTGCTCTCAACTCCAGTTCTTGTGGCCCCCCAACTCCCTCTCCCAGGATCGAGGGGAGGGAGGGAGGGGGCAGGCTCTTTTCAAAGGGAGGGGGGAGCAGGGTCTTCTCCAAAGGGGGGGAGGGGCCCCCAGTCTCCTCCCCCCATCCTTCCTGCCTGCTCTCAACTCCGGTTCTTCTCTTGTCTCCCCCCCACCCCAATTCTCTCTTTCCCCCCCCCATCCCCCCCCAGGATCGGGCGAGGGGGCCGCTTCGGCCGCAAGGGGGTGGCCATCAACATGGTGACGGAGGAGGACAAGCGCACCCTGCGCGACATTGAGACCTTCTACAACACGTCCATCGAGGAGATGCCCCTCAACGTGGCCGACCTCATCTGAGCTGCACCCACCCCCACCCCCCCCTCGGCCGGGGAGGGAGGGGGGGCCACTGTGCCGCCACACCACCCCTCTCCCCCCCCTCCTCTCTCGTCCCCCCCACCCCATGTCAGGCACAGTATTCTCCCGTTCCTTCCTTTGTTTCGCTCTCTTTTTTTCTTCTGATTTTGAGGGTTATCTTTTTTGTTTTCGTTTTTATTTTTATTTTATTTTGGCCTTTTGAATAAATGTCACTTTTGTTTTTCGGAGGCAGAATGAAAATCTTTAATAGTGTTTACTGCTCCGGGGCGCTCGGCTGTGTCTTGTTCAACCCCCCCCCCCCCCCCAGTTCTCTTTGTGTCCTCATTTTGTAGCTTTTTCTCTCCCCCCCCCCCCCCCCCCCCCACCCTTAATTGCAGAGCAAGAGGTATCCCCCTCCCCCCCCTTTCTTTCATGGGGGGGGGAAATCGACAAAAGAGTTCACAGGGGCCAGAAATTCCCATTCTGGCTGCTGGTTTCCTTGCCCGGCTTTTTTTTTCTCCCCCTACAGACAAAACGAAATAAAAAAATAATTTTCTAGCAGGTTTTTTTTTTTTTTAAATACAAACCTTTGGACAGAATCATGGTGCTAAAAAATGGAAAAACGAAGAAAAAAAAAGGAAAAAAAGAAGCTTGAGAATCTAAAAACCTACCTCAACAGGTCATGGGTTTTTTTTTCTCCCTCTCTAAAATTTAAAACACAAAAAAGCATAAAAAAACAAAAATTGCCAAGACGTGTTTTATTTTGCCCCTTCCCCCATCTCTCTTTCTGAAAATAAGACCTTTCCCCCCCGCCCAACATTTTTTTAAAATAAAACTGAAAAAAGAGAAAACTTTTTTTCGTACAAGCAAAACAAAAAAAAATGAGAAGAAATATTGTGTGTTTGCCCCCCCCCCCGTTTCCCCTTTCTTTTGTATAGCTATTATTTATTCAAAAGGAGACTTACAGTGACCAAAATAAACGTGATCTTGAGAAAAGGCTCGGCTTCCAGTGGGTTTTGTCAAGTGGGGGGGGGTCCTCGCTGCGATTCCAGCATTTGGGAGACAGCCCGGATGGCCCTGGGGCTTCCGGTTAGGTTTCCATGCTACTAGTCCTCAGCTTGCAACCCACCCATTGGTTTAGCAACCATCTGAAGCTAACAGTGGTACCGAAAACATGACTTAACGCCCATCCTTCATGCTTAACCACCATTGTCAGCATCCCCGGGATTAAAATTTGGGCCCTCGGGCCACTGACTGGCCTGTTGACCACCATTGTTAGTTTTCCCTAGCCAGCTTCTGATAAGCACGGTCAATGGGGGGGAGCTGGTTTCATTTTAACAATGGTGTGATTCACTTAACTGGCCAAAAGAGGGGTTGCAAAAATGGGGCGCTGCTCAAGCCTCTTTGATTAGCAACAGAAATTTAATTGGGAGGGATCTTGGAGGTCATCTAGTCCAACCCCCTGCTCGGGCAGGAAACCTTATACCATTTTGGACAAATGGCTGTCCAGTGTCTTAAAAGCTTCCAGTGTTGGAGAAGGGAAGGAAGGAAGGAAAAAAAAATAAGACTTGGAAGGGACCTTGGAGGTCATCTAGTCCAACCCCTGCTCGGGCAGGAAATCGTATACCATTTTGGACAAGTCTCTGGGGCTAAAAAAACAAGTTGGAGAGAGAGGGATGTGATCTTATACTATGCAACATTGAATATATATTAGTAAGACCATTATTAAATTTATTTGCTGACTGTCTGGCCTGTGGGGGCAACTCTAGGTAACTCACAAACCTACGGTAAAGAAAAAAAGTTTAAACAAAAGAACTTAATAGAAAATAGATAATTTACATTAGTTTTGAACGGGGCAGCCTTGTTAGCACAGGGGAGAATTTAATGCAGGGGTCCCCAACCTCGGCCCCTTTTAAGACTTGTGGACTTCAATTCCCAGAATTCGCTGGCTGAGGAATTCTGGGAGTTGAAGTCCACAAGTCTTAAAAGGGGCCACGGTTGGGGACCTCTTGATTTAATGTACTTTCCAAGGTAGGGAATACAGGCTGGGAGGGGGGCACAGTGTGACAATTGGTGCCTTGGCTTCCTAGTGTGTCGGTTTCCTGTTGTGGGAAGTCCACTTAAAGTTCCCCACCCTGACCTTGAGCAAGACCGGGTGCATGTGAGAGTGGGGGAAAAACAACCAAGTTAGAACACTTCCATTTTCCATTCGGGATTCGGTTCTCCAAATCGACACGTTGAATCGGATCAGCAAGGTTTGGACTTCCCAGAATTCCCCAGCCAGCAAGTTGAGTCTTAAAAAGTTGCCAAGTTTGAAGACCCTCAGTCTAGGTGTTGGGCTAGACTAGAAGACCTCCAGGATCCCTTCCAACTCTGGCACTCTTGTTATTCTTAGGGCCTCCCCAGCTCCTAAAAAAGGATTCCGAACAGGACAACGTGAACTGGGGGTGATGGAAGACCCCCCCCCTTGAAAGGGGTCCTTGGGGGGAGGTTTACCTGGGAGGGAAGGAGAGGTTTTTTCAGGGTGTGTCTCATCAGCACAGCCGGCTGTGGAATTCTGGGAGTTGAAGTCCAGAAGCCTTAAAAGTCACTGAGGTTCGAACTCGGGTGACTTTTTTAAGCCTTGTGGATTTCCGCTCCCAGCATTCCATGCCGGCTGGGGAACTCTGGGAGTTGAAGTCCAGCCATCTTAAGAGACTAAGAAACGAGGATCAAGAAGCAAAATGCACGGACTTCCACTCCCAGCATTCCATGCCGGCTGGGGAACTCTGGGAGTTGAAGTCCAGCCATCTTAAAAGTTGCCAAGGCTGAGAAACGAGGACCGAGAAGCAAAATGGACGGGCTTCAATTCCCGGAGTGGCCCAACCCGCCTGTCCAGAACACAACGGGTGCCCAAGTAAATGTCGTTTTGATCTAGGCAGGTGCCAAAGTCCAGCTGATCCCACCTCTGGCAGGTGTGCCAAGGCCCCAGCCCTGGCAAGAGGGGAGGATCGGTTCCAAGGGTCATCCCCAGACCGGTAGCTTCTTCCCCCCCCAAAAAAGGGGAGGATAGCATGGCCGCCCTTCCCCTCCCCTCCTCAGCTTAGGATAGCATGGCTGCCCTTCCCCTCCCCTTCCCTTCACCTTTGCAGACCAGCTGGGACCCCCTTCCGTGTATACCTGGGCTTCGGTCCCTTTGCACCACCTGTCAATCTCATGTCCTCCGAGGTATGGCGGGAGGGGGGGGAGAAGGGGGGCAGCTGAAGGGGGCAGCACACCCCCTTTGGCTTGCTTGGATCAGCCAATTAAGGCAGGTAGTCCTCGGCTTACGACCTCAAATCCAGTCCCAGATTTCCGTCGCTCCAGGAGACCTTGTGTTTTGCCCCGTTTTACAACCTTTCTCGCCCCGGTTCTTAAGTGAATCGCTGCGGTTGTTCAGTGGGCAACCGCGTTGTTAAACGAATCCGGCTTCCCCACTGGTCAGGAGGGGGTCAAAAGGGGAATCACGGGACGCCGCGCGACCGTCGTAACTATGAGTCAGTTGCCAAGTTGTCTGAATTTCGAGGAGAAGAGCACGGGGATGGCCGCAACGGTCGCAAGTGTGAAAAACGGTCGCGCGCCCCTGTCTTCAGTGCCGTCATAACTTCGAATGGTCACTAAGCAGACCGTTGTAAGTCGGGCCTTACGACTGCGAGAAAACCAGGAAGTTTACGGAGCCCCGAGGAGGCTTTGGATCAACGAATTCTGCAGGCCCAGAAGAGGCCAAAAGCAGCCAAGGTGAGTGCCAGGCACACCTGGGGGGTCCCTGCTCTGGGAGGGGGGTCTCAACTCCCCCCCCCGCTAATGGGGTGGGGGGAGAAGCTGCCTCCAGCAGCCCCTGGAGCAGTGGTTCTCAACCTGTGGGTCAGGACCCCATTTGGGGTCGAACGACCATTTTGCGGGGGTCGCCAAACAACGCAGTCCGCCATTTTTTCCCCCCTTTTCCTTAGCTGGGCTACTCCCTTTTATTCGATTGGCTTTTGAAAGCCAATAGAAGAGACTCTCTTAAATAGAGTCTCATTCTATTGGCTTTCCAAAGCCAATAGGAATTGTCCAGGCTGCCTCTGCCCTGCTGAGCCCGCCAAAAGTCCCATTCTGCAAACGGTGCTGCACCAGTTGAGTAGTCCTCAACTTACGACCGGTTGAGTAGTCCTCGATTTACGACCGGTTGGGGGGTCGCGGCATTACAAAGGTTGAGAACCACTGCCGTGGAGCGTTTGGCCATCCCAGACCAACCAGTTTTTCCTCCACTGGCCTGCTGGACTGCCCTCAAGGACCGAAGCTGTGCGTGCATTTTGCCTTACTGGAGAAATCTCGTTTGTGTCTTGTGGTGTGTGTGTGTCTGTGTGTGTGTGTGTGTTTGTGTGTGTGTCTGTGTGTGTGTGTGTGTGTGTGTAAAAGGCCTGGCCCTCCACCTGCTTTTGCAAAGAAGAGGCACAGCTGCCTCCGGTCACATGAGAGTCAGACCTGCAAAAGAGGAAGGGGAAATTGCTGATTTTGGCCTCATGAAACAACTTTGATAACCTCTTTGCTGCCCTTTAATGGCACCCAGGACCCTGATCCCCCTCCTCCTCCTCCTGGCACCCAGGACATAGCAGCCTCTGCCCTTCGCCCCCACGCCCCCCCACACACACACACTGGCCCCCTCCCACCCACTGCCCCATGGAGGGCAGAGAGCCAGTGGGGGGACGTCCCCTGGGGAGGGGGCTTTTGAGGGAGGGGGGAGACCAGGTGGGCAGAGAGAGCCACCGCTTGTCTGAAATGGCACGGGGAGGGGTCTCCCGCCTGAGCAGGGGGTTGGACTAGAAGACCTCCAAGGTCCCATCCAGTTCTCTTATTCCATTAAAACACAAGGACACAGCCGGTTCCTGGTTGAGCACCAAAGAGGGGGGGGGGGCAGCCTTTGTGACCCTCCCGCTACTCGCTTTGAGCCCCTGGCCCCTGGGGGGGGGAGGCGGGCAGGCAAGAAACGCGCGGGGGGGAGTGGCCAGAAGCTGATGCCATGCATGAGGTCCCACGGCCACAGCCGTGCAGTGGCTTCCGCCATGTCGCAGGAGGGAAGAGTTCCCCTCTTCCCTCCTGCGTTCACCCCCTGCCACCCCCCCCTTGCGTTCACCCTTGGCTGGTTCTCCCCCCCCCCACTGACTCACACTTTGTCAAAGCAGCAAGTCTCATTTCCTTCCCCTTCTGCCAGCCCCCCAGGCCGGACGGGGAAGCGGCGGGTCCAGAGTCTCGTGAGCCTCAGCCCTGCGAGGGAGGCCGTCGGAGGGAGCCATGCAGTGGGTCAAGGTCTCGGTGGGGGCCACCGTCCTGTGGATCACCAGCTGGTGCCTGCTGGCCGCAGGTGGGTGGTCTCCTTCCCTGGAACCGGGGAGGGCTGTTCCCTGGATGGGGGGGGTTGAAGTGGGGATCCCCGGAGGGAGGGGCAAATTAACCTCCCCAAACCCTGTGGGAGGGGGGTTTTCTTGTAGGGTCCCTCGGTGGGTGGACGGGTGGGCTCCCAGACTCTTGCCCCCACTCCGAAATCAGAGGCACAAAGCAGAAGAAACCTGGGGGGGGCTGGCTGGGTGGAAAAAGGGGCTTAAGCCGCTCTGCAGACAGATCCCCCCCCTCCCACTGGGCTGGCATGGCTCCCCGGGGGCCACTGAGTGACCGGTTGCTTGGGCCGCTCTCTTGCAGGTCACCCCTCGGAGCTGGAGGACCCCTGGCAGCCCGGCTCCCCCCAGTCGGACTCTGCAAATTGGCCCCACCCCACCAAGTCGGCCACTCTGGTGCCCGCCTTCACCAAGACCCCTGCCCATAAGCATACCACGACCCACCACCACCATCGCCACACCACCACCACCACCACCCACACCTCCCACCCCCACACCACCACGGCCAGGAAGCAGACCACCACCCGCCACTCTGCCACTACCCACCACGCTACCACCACCCACCACGTTACCACCACCCGCCACACTACCACCACCCGCCACGCTGCCACCACTCACCCTGCCAATCACACCTCCACTGCCCACCCGACTAGCCACCCCCAGACCACGACGCACGAGAAGCACCCCACCACCCATCAGGCCGCCACCACAGCCCCCGCCAACCACACCTCCCACGCCCACCCCACCACCACCACCACCCCCCAGACCACGGCCCCACGGCCCACTCAGCCTCCGGGTGTGCTGGTGGGCAATTACTCCGTCAAGCAGGGATCCGCCGTCTGTCTGCGGGCAGAGATGGGGCTGCAGCTGCGGGTCCGCTACGCAGACAAAGCCAAGCGGCAGGTGAGCATGCGGGGGGGCAGGTGTGTGTCCCTGTGGGTCAGACGGGGCTGGGGGACCGGTGGGGCTGGGAGCCCGGGTGCCGAAGCTGGGCACCGAAGTCGATTTTTCTGAGCGAGGAGATTCCAGGCCGGCAGTCGAGTTCCTCTCCCTCGCTCGCCGGGCCACCGGGCTGCATTGCGCGACTCGCTTTACGGCCGTCCTTAACCGGGTTACCCAACCAGACAGCTGCATTTGACAGTTTGGGGAGAGGGTGGATTTCCCCCTTTTGGATCTGTCCCCGGCAGAGTGGCTCCTGTTGAACAGAATAATAAAGTTGGAAGGGACCTCGGAGGTCATCTAGTCCAACCCCCTGCCCAAGTAGGCCAGGGTTGGGGAACCTTGGCTCTTTGATGACTCGTGGACTTCAACTCCCAGAATTCCTGAGCCAGCATGGGGGGAACTATGATCTCTTCATGACTGGTGGACTTCAACTCCCAGAATTCCTGGGCCAGCCTGGCTCAGCTTGGAAGCCTCTCCCTTTCCCCTCAGCGTGGCTGGCTCAGGAATTCTGGGAGTTGAAGTCCACCAGTCATAAAAGAGCCAAGGTTGCCCACCCCTGGCCTAGACCGTTCCAGACAAATGGCTGTCCAGTCTCTTCTCAAAAGCCTCCAGCAGCCACAACTTGTAGTGGCAAGCCGTTCCCCTGGTTCACGGTTCTCACTTCTTTAAGGAAATTCCTCCTTAGTTCCAGGTTGCTTCTCTCCTTGATGAGTTTCCATCCGTCGCTTCTTGTCCTGCCCCTCTGGGGCTTTGGGGAATAGGGGGACCCCTCCCCTCTTCTTTGGGGCAGCCCCTCAAATGCTGGAAGGCTGCTATCCTGTCCCCCCCCCCCCGTTCTTCTTTTCTCTAGACGGGACGTCCCCCAATTTAACTGAAGAAGAGTGTGGGCAGGAGGGCACGGACGGGGAAAGGCAGCAGCCTCAGTTTACTTTGAGGAAATGGAGGGCCTGGGATGGGGGGGGCAGAGGGGGCCCTGCATGCCGTCTCTCCTTCCTTCCTTCCTTCCTTCCTTCCTTCCTTCCTTCCTTCCTTCCTTCCTTCCTTCCTTCCTCTCTCCCTCTTTTTTCCAGGTCTGGGGAGCCTTTGCGGTGCAGCCCAACCAGACTGACTTCTCGGGGACCTGTTCCAGCAAGACGGCCACCTTGAAACTACATTTCCCAGAGGGCTTTATTCTCTTCACTTTCCAAAAGGTGCAGGAAGGGGGTGGGTGGGAAGGACAGAGGGAGGAGAGGGGAGGGAGGGGGACTCTTGGGGCCTATGGAGGCCAGCAAGCAGCTCATTTCAATACACACACACATACACAACCAGGCAAAGGCACTGCCCACCCACCAAGGTTAAGAGGGCTTACAGAATGCAGAATGATAGGGTGGGAAGGGACCCTGGAGGTCTTCTAGTCCAGCCCCCCCCCCCCCCCGCTCAGGCAGGAAACCCTACAGCAAGGGTGTCCAAACTGGGCCGCTTTAAGACTTGTGGACTTCAACTCCCAGAATTCCCCAGCCAGCCATGCCTGTTTTTTTTTCACCTATCTCTTAAAGCGGTGAGATTGGAGAGGAAAGGATTACAAGAGAGTAAGCAGGGCCACAAGGAGTATGCTGGCTGGGGAATTCTGGGAGTTCAAGTCCACCAGTCTTAAAGTTGCCAAGGTTGGAGACCCCTCCCCTATTTCATGTCCTCACCTATCCCTTAAAGCGGAGAGAGTGGAGAGGAAGGGATTACAAGAGAGTAAGCAGGGCCACAAGGAGTATGCTGGCTGGGGAATTCTGGGAGTTGAAGTCCACCAGTCTTAAAGTTGCCAAGGTTGGAGACTCCTCCCCTATTTCACGTCCTCACCTATCCCTTAAAGCAGAGAGATTGGAGAGGAAGGGATTATAGGAGAGTAAGCAGGGCCACAAGGAGTATGCTGGCTGGGGAATTCTGGGAGTTGAAGTCCATCAGTCTTAAAGCGGCCCAGTTTGGACACCCCTACTTTATATCATTCCAGAATCCAGACCAATGGCAGGATAAGGTCACATTTTAAGACAGCAAGCTTAACGATTATAGGTCGTCTTTCAGTTTACGACCGTTTAGTTAGCAACCAAAAATTTTCTTTACTTACAAACGGTCCTCATGCTGAACGGCCGTCGCAGCATCCCTGCAATCGCGTGGTCGTGAACTGGGGCCACTTTGGCATCTGGCTGTGGTTTATGATGGTTACGTCAACGTCAATGGGGGAAGCCGGCCGGGATGGTGGCCAATCGCCAGCACGGGATGTCTCAATTAATGACTGTAGCGCTTAACGATATATTTGGTCATACGTCAAGGACTGCCCGCAGTTGGGGGGGGAGTTTTTTAAAATATAAACTTAATTTACTCAATAATAACTTTGTGAGAAGAGGATGACATTGTGAGGGTTTATCTGTGTATTAATATCACATTTCCTAACGTTCTGCCGACGTTGTGCTTTCCTGGGTGACTGGTTTATTTGAAAATATAATTTCTCTGCAATATTTTCAGACAGTCACCCTGCTTCTCCCCACACCCCTGACTCATCGGGCAGTTCCCAAAAGGACACCCCCCCCCCGCACCCTCTGGTCAGACTGGGATGACTCACTGGTGCTGACTGGGGGGATAGGGGTGGCTCTAGGTCTGATCAGCTGGTCAGCAGGCATCACATGCCAAGTTGTAACTCAAGTGTTTCTCAAGATTGGCAGTTTTTCAGAGGTGGGGACTCCAGGAAGTCCTCAGTTTATGACCATCTGGAATTTATGACCGAGCTTGAGAGACACTGCTCTAGGTCCCATTGGGGGCAGAACATATGAATTTGGGGAAGGGGAGATAATAATAACAATAACAATAAGAATAACAATAATAGTAATACTAGCAATAGCAACAATAATAGTAATAATAGTAATAGCAATAATAGTAGTAGTAATAGTAATAACAGTAATAATAGTAATAGCAATGATAATAGTAATAGTAATAACAGTAATAACAGTAATAGCAATAGTAGTAATAGTAATAGCAATAATAGTAATAATGGTAATAGCAATAGTAATAATAATAGTAATAGTAATAATAATAATAGTAATAGCAATAGCAATGATAATAGTAATAATAGTAATAGCAATAATAATAATATTAGTAATAATAATAAGATAACCTTTATTGTCATTTTTTTTACTGTGGGCACAATGGCAATAATAATAATAGTAATAGCAATAATACTAATAGTAATAATAGTAATAGCAATAATAATAGTAATAGCAATAATAATAGTAATAATAGTAATAAGAATAATAAGAATAAGATAACCTTTATTGTAATTTTTTACTATGGGCATAACGGCAATAATAGTAATAATAGTAATAGCAATAATAATATTAGTAATAATAATAATAAGATAATAAGATAATCTTTATTGTAATTTTTTTACTGTAGGCACAATGGCAATAATAACAATAATAGTAATAGCAATAATAATAATAGTAATAAGAATAATAATAAAATAACGTTTATTGTAATTTTTTACTATGGGAATAATGGCAATAATAGTAATAATAGTAATAATAATAGTAATAATAATAATAGTAGTAGTAGTAGTAGTAGTAGTAGTAGTAGTAGTAGTAATAATAATAATAATAATAATAATAATAATAATAATAATAATAATAATAATAATAAAAACGTTGGAAGGGACCTTGGAGGTCATCTAGTAGCTTTGGCCTCTGTCACCCCTACTTTCTAGAGAAAAAAACCCATTTTTCCCCCCTCTTTCTCAGAATGAAACAGAAAAGACAGCTTACCTGAGCCAAGTCCAGGCCAATCTCACCTACTGGTTCCCCCAGGCGACGACAGGGGAGCAGCTGGGGGGGCTGGCTCAGGGGTGGGGGGCCGGTTCAGTGCCCCGTGGCAGTGCTGACCGAGGGTTTGATGCCCCAGAGCTCTTGGAGAGACAGAGGCCCATTCCGTGGGGAGGGGGTCTCCTGCACAAATTTGGTGGCCTGGGGGTCTTTGGGGGGGGGAACGTTTGCTTGGCCCCTCAAATTACGGCCGCAGGCAAGCCCCACCTGGCCTCAGCCATGAAGCCCCCCCCTTAACCCCCCCATCTGAATTCACACCCCAGCTGGCTCATCCACGCGTACAACTATCCCTTTAGTGACCGTTCAGAGTTACACCAGGATTGAGAAAAGGGACCGTGTTTCACATCTACGACCGTCGTGGCGTCCCCGCGGTCACGTGACCAAAATTCGGACGCTCCTATTTATGACGGTCGCAGTCACGCGATCCCCTTTTGTGGCCTTCTGATGAGCATCTGGGGAAGCTGGGTTCACTTAATGACGGGGTTACCAACTTAAGACCTGCAGTGATTCATTTAGCCACGGTGGCAAGGAAGGTGGTAAAACCTTTTGGGGAGGGGGGAGCAGCAGGTAGGATCTTCCCCGAGTGGGGGCACTGAGCCCCTTCCCCACCGCCGCCTGGCTCTTTGCCTCCGCAGAGACGACCTTCAGGGCCAACAACGCCTCCCTCCGGGAGTTCGCGGCCCCCCTGGGCATGTCCTACCAGTGCCTCAACCGCAGCCTGGACCTCACTGAGGACTTCCACTTGAGTGCCTTGAGCGAGCGGATCCAGGCCTTCCAGCTGCAGGATGGGAAGTTCGGAGAAGGTAAATGCTGCTGCCTCTCCGCCTGCAAGGCGGGAAAGGACCCTCCCAGCTCCCCTCTCAGACAGCGGTGGGGGGGCAGCAGACTCAGGGACTTCAACTCCCAGAATCCCCCAGGTTATTTTTTTTCCCCCCACTTGGCCAAAGCAGAGGTATATTACGTCTCCTGCGTTCCCACCGTCTGCTAAGAAAAGTTACCTGATTCCCCCAAAAAAGGGATTGTTCGCCTTCCGGCTGAGTTCTGATTCAACCCAGGCTGGCTGGGGGATTCTGGGAGTTGTTGAGGTCCAAAAGTCTCCAAGTGGCCGACTTGGGAGACCCTGGGTATAGGGGTTTCCTGCTTGAGCAGGGGGGGGTTGGACTAGAAGACCTCCAGGGTCCCTTCCCATCCTATCATTCTGCATTCTGTAAGCCCTCTTAACCTTGGCGCCTTTGCCATGTGTGTGTGTGTGTTTGTGTTTGTGTGGGTGTGTTGAAATGAACGGCTTGCTTGCTTCCATAGGCCCCAAGAGGCCCCCGCCATTCCCCCCCTCGTCCTTCCCATCACCCCCTTTCTGCACCTTTTGGAAAGTGTGTGTGTGTGTGTGTGTGTGTGTGCTGAAATGAACGGCTTGCTTGCTTCCATAGGCCCCAAGAGGCCCCCACCAATCCCCCCCTCGTCCTTCCCACCAACCCGACATAGAACACAGAATCAGTGTTGAAAAGGGGACCTTAGAGGTCTTCTAGTCCAACCCCCCAGCCCTGGGCTCCCAGGTTCAAGCCTTCCCCCTTCCTTCCATCCATTTTTGGGGTTCAGAAGTGCCTGTCTGAAGAAGCCGGGGAACCCCCCCCCCACACCCATCCTTACCCCCTTCGCCTTGATCCATGTCTCCCAAGGCTTCCTCAACAAGGAGACCAACCAGCGCTCCCCCCCTTCCCCCCATCACCCTAAGGAATTCTGGGAGTTGAAGTCCATGAGTCATAAAAGAGCCGAGGTTGCCTACCCCACCCTAAACCCCAGGGGGGGCAAGGACACCCCCTCTTCTGCCTTGACCTCACTTTCCTTCCTCCGGCCCCTTCAGCCGAGGTGTGTCCCGAGCAGAGGCGCTCCGTCGTCCTGCCCATCGTGGTGGGCGTGGTCCTCGGCCTCCTCATCGTCATCGTCCTCGTGGCCTTCGCCGTGGGACGGTGGCGGGCCCACACGGGCTACCAGTCCCTCTGAGGGTTATTTGGATACCCTCCTTCCTTGGGCAGCAGCTGGTGACCCGGACTTGGCTCCTTTCACACTTAACGGACGGAGACGGCAAGAGAAAAATGCCAGCCACTCATCCGCTGCCCTTTTTTGGACTGCCATTGGAGGGGAATTTTAGCTTTTTCACAAAATGGTCTCACTGGCGGCGGGAGGGGGGAGAGGCGGGAGGTTAAATAAGTTAAATCAGTACACGGGTACGCCTCGGCTTACCCCGGTTTATTTAGTGACCGTGTGAAGTTAGAACGGGACTGAAAAAAGCAACGGCTTTTTCTGTTTTCCCACGGTTGCGGTCCCGTGGCCACCGTCACGTGATCCAAATTCAGACGCTGGGCCGCTGACTCACAGTTACGACGGCCGCCGTGTCCTGGGGTCATGGAACCCCTACCCCCTACCTAAATTGTCTTCCTTGTGCCAAGCCATTTTTATAAAAATAGAAAGAAAATTCTAATAGGAAAGTGACTTGGCAAAGAAAGAATTTTAAAGAGATTTAAAAAAAAAAAAAAGAAGATTTGACCTTTTAAAGGGGACCTTATAGATTTAAATACTTCTTTGCCTATGATTAAAAGAACGGAAGGCTTTTAGATGTAATTAGACTTTTATAATTAAAGGTATGACTTAGAATTAAGATAGCGTTTTTTTCTCTCTTTTCTTTTTTGGATATGAGAAATATGACATAAGAGGGGTTGATTTGAATAAAACTTTCAGGGATATCAATGCAATTACTATTGAGAAAATCATAACTGATGAATGTATTTCAAATACTGATAGGAAATCAAACTTTAGCAAGAGCATGAGAAGCAGGCTGTTGACTAATGGATTGACAGGATTGATTTATGAACCGATATTATTATTTGTATGATATTAGTAAAATGTGATGAAGATGCTTTTGTCTAACTCTGCATACATTAACAAACTTGCAATGGATTGTGTAATGAAGGGAAAATGGAAAAAAAAATATGGAGAAGAAAGGAAGATCAGAGGAAAAAATCCTGGATTGTGTAGCATTGAAGAGATTTAGATTGAAGAAGTGAAATATGTTAAATATTTGAACCCAGACAACGTGTTGTTTACTAAGCACTAAAGACTGTACTTTTTAAAAATGAATAAAACTTTTATTAAAAAAACAAAACAAAAACCAGTTCATTTAGTGACTATATGAGAAAAGTGACGCACAACAGTTTTTTTCACACGGTTGCAGCATCCCCACGGTCACGCGATCCAAATCCAGACGCTGGGCCACTGACTCACAGTTACGACGGTCGCCGTGTCCTGGGGTCATGGAGTCCCCCTTTTACGACCTTCTAAAAGGCAAAGTCCACAGGGGGGAGGGGGAAGCCGAAAGCAGCAATCCACTTAACAACGGAGGCAAGAAAAGTCGTTAAAATGGCAAAATTCACTCAGCCAGTGTCTCAGTGATGGGAATTTTGGGCCGAACGGTGGTCGTTATGTCGAGGACTCCCTGTATCGTGAGAACTAGCCTAACCACGGGAAAGGGAAGGCTGCTTTGGAGAAGCAGGTGGGGCATCTGAGTGTAGTGGAAAAACCATGATACTTACTTCAGAAGACAAGACCATGAAGGGTTGGAGAAAGGTTTTATTTACGCAAAGGTTCACAGCATTAGAATGACAAATTCTGAACCCCAGACTACTCCTGGGGCATCACTATTGTACAACTTGTCGCCCACACCTCATCCAAAGGATGACTCTTATCTACTTTTAACACACTGGAAAGGGGAGAAGTTTATATCTCGAGACCACACAGACCACACGTAAGGAGACGTTCACACAAGGGACTATCTTACCACACTGCCCTACACGAGTAGTATCTTACACCATCTGTGACTTTCAGCTGACACTTCTTGTAACAGGTTTTCTTCACAGAATTGCACGCAGGTCATTGCATTCAGCCAGTTTATCGTATTAGTTAAAGCTTGCAACACATCACTTCTGTTAATTAAAGTATATTTCTTATGGTATTTTTCTATTTCTTTTAATGGCATTTTCCATCTACCTCCTGAGGATCTGGCCAGGGTCAGGTGGGGGGCAGTTGTGGGTGTCGACACGGGGAACTGTTTTTTTCCTCCAAAGAGGAAACTGAGGGATAATAGTAATAGCAATAGCAAGGAAGGAAGGAAGGAAGGAAGGAAGGAAGGAAGGAAGGAAGGAAGGAAGGAAGGAAGAGGAGGAGGAGGAGGAGGAGGAGGAGGAGGAGGAGGAGGAGGAGGACGACTGTGGGGTCCTGGGTGCTCTCTGAGCTGGGTGGTTTCCTTGCAGATGTTTCATGACCAAACTAGGTAACATCATCAGTGTTAGGAGGGAGGAGGAAGATGAGGAGGAGGAGGACGACGACTATGGAGTCCATGGTGCTCTCTGAGCTGGGTGGTTTTCTTGCAGACGTTTCATAACCCAACTAGGTAACATCATCAGTGCTAGAAGGGTTTGTAGATGAAGAGGAACCTGTGACACCTTTATTGTCATTTTTTTACCGTGCACAAAGGCACCCATCAAAAAATGAAATTTAGCTGCCCGCTCTCAGTAAAACACATACATGACACACACCTAAAACATACTATGAACATATATATAGACCCACACCCTTACATATACGTAACAAATGTCAAACCCTGTCCATCTTGTATATATAACAGAAGGAGGAAGAGAAAGAAGGAGGAGGAGAAAGAGGAAGAACGAGCAATGGAAGATCCGTGGGGGAGGCTGCTTCCCAGCCATGACGCAGCCCCTCCGTGAAGGCTTTCAAACTCGGTGTAAAACGGTTGCAGTTTACTCCAGAGTAAAGAGAAAGGAACCTCATAGTAGGGGGGGGGGAGAGCATGCTCTGAGACCGTGGGAACGGCAACTGCGGTTTCCGCTCTGCTGTGCCCAGCAAGCCAGCTAATTAAAGGCCTGGACATGTCCTTCGTTTGCTCTCTTTATTTTAATTTTAATTTCTGGTCTTCAGTTTCCTGTCTTTGGGGGTCTCTTCCCTAACAGCCCCCTCCTCCTGGCACCAGGAGGAAGCAGACACCCCCCCCACCTGCCCTCTTTGCCAGAGATCCCCAGAATCCTCCCCCTTAAAGGGGGGTGCTTCACACCTGCCCTGCCAGAAAGAAACCCCAGGGGCAAATCACTCCACCCGGAGGATCAGATTTTATTCGGCTTGACCCTTCCGGAGGTCAAAAGCAGAAGGAAACACGGGTAGTCGACTTACGACAGTCCATTTAGTGACCGCTCCGTTACAACGGTTATAAGACTGAAAAAAGTGACTTTAGGACCGTTTTTCACACTTACGACAAAATCCAGATGCTGGGCAACTGACTCGTACTTAGGACGGTCGCAGACCGCGGTGGAGTTCCTATTTTCTGCTCTCAGGCCCAGACAGTCTGGGCTGGTTCTACTTCGACAACCACACTCGGGGGAGTGTGTGTGTGTGTGTGTGTGTGTGTGTGTGTGCGCGCGCGCGGGCGCTCCACCCCGAAAGGAACAAGGCAGACCCAGGGACGGGGGTATCCGGAAAAGACAAGAGACATTCTGAACAAAAGTCCGTGAGGTTTATTGAAGGGGGGGGTCCCTCCCAGGTGATAAACCCCAAAGACCCCTTTCATGGGGAGAGGGTCTTTCACCACCCCCAGTTCACGTTGCCCTATTCGGAATCCTTTTTTCAGGAACTGGAGAGGCCAGTCCAGACCTAAGAATAACAAAATAACAGACTCGGGACTTTGGAGGTCATCTAGTCCAACCCCCTGCTCAGGCAGGAAACCCTACACCATTTCAGACAAAGGGCTGTCCAGTCTCTTCTTAAAAACTTCCAGGATTGGAGCATTCACAGCTTCTGGTGGCAGGTTGTTCCACTGGTTAATTGTCCTCACTGTCAGGAAGTTTCTCCTTAGTTCCAGGTTGCTTCTTTCCTTGATGAGTTTCCATCCGTTGCTTCTTTGCTCTGGGGAATGCAGGTCGTCCCCGACTTACAACAGATCATTTAGTGACCATCCGAAGTTACAACGGCACCGAAAAAAGGGACTTGTGACCGTTTATCACACTTACGACCGTTGCAGAATCGCCGTGGGCACGTGATCAAAATTCAGACTCTTGCCAACTGGTTCATATTTACGACGGTCGCGGCGTCCCGGGGGGGGTCATGTGATCCCTTTTTCCGTCCTTTCTGACAAGCAAAGTCAAGGGGGAAGCCGGATTCACTTAACGACCGGGTTACAAACTGAACAACGGCAGTGGTAAGAAAGAACCGTGGTCAGAAAGATGGTAAAATGGAGCGAAATTCACTTAACAAATGTCTCGCTTAGTAACAGCTCAATTGTAGTCGTATGCTGAGGACCACCCATAGCAGGTTGACCCCCTTGTACTCCTTTGCTGTCTCCCTGCGACCCCCTCACTCCCGCCCAGAGACCCCTCAGCCCCTCAGGGCCCAGGCCAGGGCGTCTCGGATCTCTACTGCTTCCGCATCCTCTTCCTCCCCTTCCTCTACCGGCTGCTCCTCCTGCGGCTCGGCCTCCTCTTCCTGCTCCTCCTCCTGCTCCTCCTCCATCCAGCATGCCTGGAAGGCGTCTCCACGATTCTCGCAGATGTTGTGCAGGGTGCAGCAGGCGGCGATGAGGGTGGGCAGGAAGGAGACGTCGGTGTCATTGCGCTTGGTCAAGCACCGCCAGCGCCCACGCAGGCGCCCGAAGGCCACCGCCAGCACTGTCCGGGCAGCGTCGGCGTACTCGTTGAAGCGTTGCTGCCTGGGACTCAGGGCCGCTGCCCTGTAAGGGCGCATCAGCCAGGGCAGCAGCGGGAAGGAGCAACCGCCTAGCAGGTAGACGGGCACCTGCACCCCACTGACGTCTCGGGACCCTCCGGGGAAGAGTTCGCCCCCCTGGGCTCGTTGGTAGAGCTCAGATGCAAACAACACGTGGGCATCGGTCACCCGTCCCGGACACCCAACGTTGATGTCCCAGAAGCAGCCCCGGGAGTCCACGGCAGCTTGCACCACCAGGGAATGCCAGCCACGCCGGTTGTAGTAGCCCGCCGCGTTCTCGTTGGGGGCCCGGATGGGCACATGCAGGGACCCCAGCACCCCGGCCAGCTGTGGCAGGGGGAAGCCATTGCCAGCCGCTACCTCGGCTGGGTCAGGCGGGCGCACGTAGAGCGGGGTGAGGATGCCCACCACGGCTTCACACACGTCGCGCAGGATCTTGCAGACGGTGGAGCGCGACACGCCAAAGAGCTGCTCCACCGCCCGGTACTCAGTGCAGGCGCCCAGGCGCCAGAGGGTCATGGCCAGGCGCACGTCGGCCGGGATGGCCCTGCGCATGTTGGTGTCCCGGCGCTGGATGGCGTTGCGCAGGTGGGCACAGAGGTAGTCGAAGGTGCTGGGCGACACGCGGAAGTTCTCGCCCCACTCCCAGGCGCTGAAGGCCTTCGCCCGCACAATCTCCCAGAAGGCCGAGCTGCGCGACTTGCTCCACAGGCGCCGTTCCCGCAGCAGCCGAGGCAGGGCTCCCGTGCCGCCACGACGGCCTCCAACGCCCCTCAGGCACGGGCTGGGCAGGCCGTTCTCCCGGGCCAGCAGGCGGCAGAGCCACAGCAGGGCAAACCGTTGGCGGGAGCGGGCCTGGGCCCGGCGGTGGCGGGCTGCCCGTCGACGGCGGTCCGCCTGGCAGAGACGGCGGCCCCGTTGCAGCCGCAGGGCGTGAAGCAGGCACAGGGCCACCGTGCCACGGCTGAGGGCGGGCAGCAGCCGGCCGGCCTCGTCCCCGTGGCTGGAGGCCGTCGTGGGACAAGATGGCAGCCGAGGAATGGCGGCCATCGCGGGCCTTTGAATCAAAGCGGGAAGCACGTGGAGAGGAGAGGCGCGGCGGGGCGCTCGTGCGCGTGCGCGTCAGCCCGAACAGCCTCGCGCACGCGCCTCGCAGCAGGCAGACACTCGCACTGGAAGAAGCGCACGCGCGTAAGAGACAGCTGACCCGGCTGCCCCCCCCCGCGCAGCCGCAGACGGGCCCGCGCCCTCTTCGGGCGCAGCGAGCGGCGTTATGGAAGCGGAAGTCTGTCCCGCCTAAAGGTCCCTCCTTCCCAAAATGGCGGCGTCGGGGCTGAAGGTGGCCCTGGTCCCCTACATCCTCCCCGAGCGCTGCTACGAGGAGCTCGTCGTCAACCTCAACCTCCTGCACGGTGAGCCGGGCCCGCCCCGTCCCGAGGGGGGGAAGGGTTGCGCGGCGCCCCGTCGTCGTGGCAACGCGCCACGGGCGGAAGTGCCCCGGCGGCCGTCGGCGGCCATCTTGGAGAAGGGCAGCGGCGGGGCTTTCCTGCGGGGCGAGGGCGGCGGCGCCATGTTGGACGTGGGCGGAAGGAAGGCGCTGCTCTCGTCCGGAGGGTCGTGCGAGTCGCTGGAGGGTCGTGGGGAGGCGGGGGGAACGCGGTCCTTTGTTCTTTGGAGGGGGCCGGGCGGGTCCTCGCCCCCTCCCGCCGCAGGGCCCGGACAGGCAGCCGCCCGTCAGGTGTAGCGGTCGCGATGGGAGCCCCCTCCCCCGGGCGGGGCTGTCCGGGCCGGTGGGAGCCTCTCCGCTCTCTTCCTCCCTCGCAGTGCCCTGCCTGAAGGCCTTCCTCAGCAAAGTCCTCGGACTGGGCGTGGTGGCCGGTTCGCTCGTGGGTAAGAGACCCTCCCCGCCCCCAGCAGCCCCCCGCCCCAGTCTGCCTGCTCCTCCCTTCTCCCCCTCTTGATGGCATGTCGGGTGGCAGAGCAGCCTCAATGGGTCCATCGAGGCAATGGGCACAATTTATCCCAGGAAGAAGGAGCCTCTGGACCCCCCCCCCTCCCTCCATCCCCAAAGTTGGGGGGCTGATTGGCCTCCATGCCTTCCTAAATGAGGAGGGGGGGCACAGCTGAAGAATCGGTGGGGTTATGCAGCCCTCTGGACCCTCCCTCCCTCCCCAAAGCTGGGGGGAATGGGTTGGGTGGCCTCCCTGCCTTCCGACCTAAAGGATGCCCTCGGATAGGGAGGGGGGCACATCCGAAGAATCAGTGGGGTTATGCATCTCTCTGGACCCCCCCCTCCAGCCGAGGATGCTCCCTCGGCCTGACCGGTGCCCCCCCCTTTCTGCAGTGAAAATGCCCCAGATCCTGAAGATCCTGGGGGCCAAGAGTGCAGAGGGCCTGAGCTTCCATTCCATCCTGCTGGAGCTGGTGGCCATTAGCGGCACTATGGCCTACAGCCTCGCCCACGACTTCCCCTTCAGGTAGAACCACCACCGCCATGGAAGGGACTGGGTGGGGACGGGGAGGGGAGGAGGCCCCCCTGGAGTCAGACCGCTGGGTTGCTGCCATTTCTCGCCTCTTTGGGCTGCAAAGAAAGAGCTAACGGGAAGGAAGGAAGGAAGGAAGGGAGGAAGGGAGGAAGGAATAGAAAAGGGAGGGAAGCATGGCCAAAGGGAGGGAGGAAGAAGAAGATAGAGAAAAGGGAGGGAGAGATGGCCGAAGAGAAGGAAGGAAGGAAGGAAGGAAGGAAGGAAGGAAGGAAAAGATTTAGGTCTGAGATGCAAATTAAACCCATCAACTCTTGAAGCAAATTCTTCAGGTCTGGCAAATCTCACAGCCCTGCCGTGAGACTGGCCTAGAAGGGACTCTGCCAATCTGTCCCCCCCCCCCTTCGGCTTGGCCAGAGCCCCTGTCCACCCCCTGCCCTCTTTTCTCCCTCCTTCCCAGCGCCTGGGGAGAGGCCCTCTTCATCATGATGCAGACGGTGTCCATCGGCTTCATGGTGCAGCATTTTGGGGGCCACACGAGACGTGGTAAGTGGGGTGGGGGTGGGGATTTTGCAGACAGCCACGCCAACACCCCGAAGCCGGAAGTGCTTTGGCGAGGATCTGTTTTGCGACCTGGAAGATCCAATTTTAAGTTGGATAGTTAGAACAGCAACCCGGGCAGCTTTCAGAGGGGTGGACTGCAACTCCCAGAATTCCCCAGCCAGCTATGCTGGCTGGGGAATTCTGGGAGTTGCAGTCCACCCCTCTGAAAGCTGACTCAGGTTGAGAAACTCAACTAGAAAAGCCTATTGCATTTTGTAACATTTACAAAGATGTTGACCTATGTTTGTGGAGATGCTCAGTCATCCAGGTTGTCCCAAAGGCGCTTTTTTTTCAAAAGCCAACTGGATTTTTTTGTTTTTTGTTGTTGTTGTTTTCCTCTTGAAGACTTTTCGCTTCTCCTCCAAGAAGCTTCCTCTGTTCTGCAGACCCTGAGAACAGAAGAATCTGCTTGGATGAGAAGTCCGTTTGAAAAACAAAAAAAAAGCACCTTTTGGGGTGCTGTCTTGGGCCTCTCCCACCACCGCTGACCAAGCAAGGGGGGGATGGGGAGGGGGCAAGGAGTGAAGGTGGTGGGACCGGAGCATGACGCAACTCTTCTCTGCAGGGCTGGCCTTCCTCTTCATCTACCTCGCCCTCCTGTCTCTCCTGCTCTCCCCGCTGACTCCGTCCATCCTGGTCACCACGCTGCAGGTGTCCAACATGCCCACTGCGGCCACCGGCAGGGTAAGCGGGATCACCACCACACACACACACCCCAGGTCAGGGGAGCTTTCTGGGAAGCCAGCTTCCCTAATGGCGATAGCTGGGTGGGTGGGTGGCAGGCAGCCGCCCTGGCGTCTCTGCCCGCCACCTCAAGAGGGTTCATATCTCTCTCCAACAGCTCCTTCAAGCTGCCACCAACTACCAGAACGGGCACACCGGCCAGCTCTCGGCCATCACAACTTTCTTGCTCTTTGCTGGCTCCTTGGCACGCATCTTCACGTCCATCCAGGTGTGTGTGTTTGTGTGTGGGGGGCAAAGGGAAATGGCCCGGATAGCTGTCACGGTTCCGACCAGGTGAAACTCTTCAAAGAACTTCGAGGCACTGTTTACCTTAAAGAATCTTTTATTGGCGTAGCATAGCTTCTGCACTAACATAGTTGAAGCCAACATCTGGATTCCCCTCCCGAGCACGTAGTATCGAAGCACAATTCCCTCCTCCAATTAACCGTCATAAATCACATTCCCCAAGTAGCTTGAAATGCAGGCTTCCCCTCCAGCTCTCCAGCCAGTTCTTATCATCTCTTATTTCAACAACCTTGATTCTCACGCTAGGTTTAGTGTTGTTATGTCTAGCTGGACTCTCGTGCACATTCCCTCCCCCCCCCCAGCATCATCTAACTCTAACTCTCAGAGTAAAACATAAGAAGAAAAAGGCTGCATCTCCATCTGTTGTCAAAGCAAAAACATCCGATGTCAGCAGCGTTGACAATCGCTTTGGAGAGACGGGGCACCCTCTATTAAATTTCATAACGCAGGTTGTTCTCAAGAGGGCCCAAAATTTCCCTTTGCTAAGCGAGACGGTTGTTGCGGGAGTTTTGCCCCATTTTACGGCTTTCCTTGCCACCGTTGTTAAGTGGATCACTGCAGTTATTAAGTTAGTCACACGGTCGTTAAAGGAATCCGCCTTTTCCCCCCCCAATTGACTTTGCTTGTCTGAGGGCCATAAACGGGGGAATTGCGCAACTCCGGGGACGCTGCGACCGTCGTAACTACGAGTCAGTTGCTAAGCGTCTGAATTTGGATCCCTTGACCCTGGGGATGCTGTAAAGGTCGTAACTGTGAAAAATGGTCATAAATCACCTTTTTTAGTGCCGGCCTAGTTAGGAACACGGTTGTTAAATGAATCTGGCTCCCCCCATTGGCTTTGCAAAAGGGGGATCGCCCGGCCCAGGGACGCTGCAACCGTCATAAATACGAGTCAATTGCTGAGCTTCTGAATTTGGATCACGTGACTGGGGGGGGATGCCACAATGGGGTTGTAAGTGTGGAAAAGGGCCACATCCCTTTTTTTCAGTGCCGTTGTAACGTTAGATGGTCACTAAACGAATTGTTGTAAATTGAGGCTGACCTGGAACTAGAGAGAGGCTGAGAGTCAGCCTGGAAGGAAGGAGGGACAATGAGTACATCCCCCCTGCTCAATATCTGCCCAGTCAGCGTCCTAGCAAGGGACCCTCCAGCACAGAGGCCTTCAAACCTGGCCCTTTTATGACTGGTGGACTCCCAGAATTCCTCAGCCAGCGTGAGGGAACTAGGACCCTTTTATGACTTGGGGACTTCAACTCCCAGAATTCCTCAGCCAGCATGAGGGAATTAGGACCCTTTGATGACTTGGGGACTTCAACTCCCAGAATTCCTCAGCCAGCATGAGGGAATTAGGACCCTTTGATGACTTGGGGACTTCAACTCCCAGAATTCCTCAGCCAGCGTGAGGGAACTAGGACCCTTTGATGACTTGGGGACTTCAACTCCCAGAATGCCTCAGCCGGCGTGAGGGAACTAGGACCCTTTGATCACTTGTGGACTTCACGCGTGGCTGGCTGAGGAATTCTGGGAGTTGAAGTCCACCAGTCATCAAAGGGCCAAGTTTGAAGGCCCCTGGTCTGGATTGAAGTCACCCAGACCTGAGCCTTGTTCGCAAACTGAGTATGGTGGCTTGTCCGTCACCGCTCTGCCCTCCAGCTGGCTAGGCAAGAGGGAAGGATAGCCAGTGGCTCTCTTGACCGGCCGGGCCTGAAATGTGGGCAGGAGTTCCCCAGACCTCCAGGAAAACGTCTTCCTCTGCTCCACAGGAGACGGGCGACCTGCTGATGGTGCTGACCTACATGGTCTCCCTGGCCTGTCACAGCCTCATCCTGGGACAGGTGATCTACTACTGGGATGCTACGGGCAGGCTCAAGAAAGAGTGACCGGCTCGCTGACGTCCACCACCGCCTGTGGGCTGCGATGCCCGCAGGGTGACCTCAAAGATGGCTGCCTGCCCATTGCACCTTCTTCCTCCTGCGTCCAGGGAAGCGGTCTCCCCTTCCCCAGGAGTTTCACAGGACTTTTGATGGCCCACCGCAGGGCAGTGTGGCTGCACCAGACTGCTGCTTTCTTTATTTGAGGGAGGTGTGTGTGTGTTTGGGGGGGGGGGTGAGGGGTCTTTCCTTGCTTACGTCCCCCTTTTGCAAACAAAAGAGAAGCTGTGTGCAAAATGGTTCCCTGGCTTTTTGTGGTTCTTCCTCTCCCCACTAGGGGGAGCCCTTGCATGCTCAAAAACACACACACCCTCCCCCCCCAAGGAGCCCCCCCCTTCCCCATGCCCTGGGGGGTGGGAACTTGGGCATGGCAGGCTAATTGGGGTGATCAGGGAGAGCCCAGGTGAGTCAGCACAGCTGCCTGGCTTTGGGGGGGGGACTGGATGCACAGCTGGCAGGCCTGGCAAAGCTATGAAGCCAGCAGAAAAAGCAGCCCAGGGGTCATGACCTCCCCCTAGCAAAGGGGGGGAGCTGAGACTTAGCACACCTCTCCCACCCCCCAACCTCTTTCCTGGCTGCCAGTGCTATCTTCTCCAATGGGTCGGGCAGCCAGCAGAAAGAACCCTGGACCCATTAGTTTCCACCCAAGCACCGGGTGGAAACTCATCAAGGAGAGAAGCAACCTAGAACTTAAGGAGAAACTTCCTTACAGTGAGAACAATTAACCAGCGGAACTCCTTGCCTCCAGAAGCGGTGAATGCTCCAGCACTGGAAGTTTTTAAGAGGAGACTGGACAGCCATTTGTCCGAAATGGTGTAGGGTTTCCTGCCTGACCAGAGGGTTGGACTAGATGACCTCCAAGGTGCCTTCCAACTTTACTACTATTACTATTACATTTTGCCAGGGGGGGCTTCTGTCTAGCTTTTTTTGGGGGGGGGAGTTGTGAATCAGTTCAACTCAGCAAAGGGCTCTATAAACAATCATTGGTTCGTTTATAAAGCTTTTATTTTTTTTAAAAAAACAACAACCCTCCATATTCCTTATAAAAATGGTTTTAACGTCTTCGTGCCAGCAGTTCGGGACTGCTTTGTCCGATTCAGGCCAGTGTCCAGCACTCCTCCTTTAGGTCCCAATTGGGGGTGGGGGGGCTCAGCATCTCTCCGAACGCCTGGGCCTTCCTTGCGTGACGAAACCCAGAAACGGAGCTGCAGCTGGCATCGTTGCTAGAGAGGGGCCAAGTGGGCAGCGCTGCTGAACCCCAAGTGTTGGGGAGGGGGCTCCAGGAGGCAGCCCGGGGTGGCTGCGTCCTCGCAGCCCTGCAGCCCGCAAATAGCCACAATGTCCGGGAAGTCCCCCAGCGGGTAGGGAAGGCCGGCGTCCAGCTTCCTTGGCATGGTGGCAGGGGGGGGTGGCGTGCTGTAGACCAGGCTGCTGCCAACAGAAAGAAGAGTAGGGGGGTTAGTTCCATCCAGGGGAGGGGAGGGAGCATTCGTTTCTTTGGGGGGGGGGGCGAGAAAACAAGTGGGTTTGCACTATACTGAGTCAAACCTAGCCCCCACCCCATCGGTCTTCATAAATGGCAGTTTGGGGGGGGGCAGGTTGAGGGGCCTCCCTGCCTGTGTGCCTCTGAGGAAGAGGTGTCCAATTCTGGCAACTTTTAAAGACTTCAACTCCCAGAATTCCCCAGCGAGCCGTACTGTGCTCCCCCCCCCACACTTCTTAGAGCAGAGAGATTGCGGAGAAAGGGACCAGGAGAGAGTAAGCAGGCGTACAGTGCAGATGCACATCAAAAGCCCTGCGTTATCGCCAGGGAATCCCTAGGGCTAACCCCACAGCTCAGGGGCAGCTTTTTCTAGAACTGGACAGGTCCAAGAATTGCCCGTCCCTTTCTCCAGGGGGAGGGAGACAAGCACTTGGGGGGGGGGTTGCCAGTTCACCAGCTTTGCCCCCCCCCGTGACCCCCCTTCGGTGGCAGAACTTCCCAAGCAAGCCGGGATGGAAACGGGCCCTGGGGAAGGGAGGGGGCTGGGTCAGCCCTGGGAGGGAGGGGAGGAGGGGGCCGGGGGCTCTGATTGCCACCTGCCCAGCCCTGCACCTGTGGGAGGAAAGGGGGGAGCATGGGCGGGATGGAGCTGCATTCCTCCGGCAGCCGGATCTTCCAGTTCTGGCCAGGAGCCCCCAAACCTGTTCAGGCCTGTCTGGCCTCAGCCCGGAGCTGCTGTGAAGGGGCCCGAGAAGCGCCCCCCCCCCGAAGCCCAGAAGGGGCGGGCTACCCTCTGCCTAGGCTCTGGCCAGGCCAGTCCTTCTGGCGGAACCAACTTGCTCCTAGGCTCGCTCTGGCCCGGGCTTGACCCGGGAGGAAGGGAGGGAAGGGGGGGGCTGCATTTTGGGTGCCTGCCCGCTTGACGGGGCGGGACGGGGCTGCAGAGCGCCCGGGGAGAGCTGGCACCGCGGGCTGCGGGCACGCCCGGCTGGCGGCACCACAGAAGCGGACCAGCTGGGGTCTTCGCAGGGAACGACGTCGAGGGTCGGCCGCGGAACCGTCCCGGGGCTGCAGTGCCCCCCCCTCTCGTTTTCGGGGGAGGGGCTGGCCGCACCTGGCGCAGGTGAGGCAGGAAACGCCTCTCGACGCTGGCCGGAGGGGGGGGGGCTTTGGGTCTTCACCCTGGCAGCCCCCCCCCCCCGACGCCGCCTTGCCCGTCGTGCAAACGGAACCGGGTTTCACAGGCTGCCGGCTCCACCCGCTTGTTCGGGGGGGGGGGCGCCGCCCTCCGCTCCCGAGCCAAGGCGCCCGGCCTCCCGCCCGCCCGTCCGCCCCGTCGAGGGGACCGGGTCTCACCTGCAGGGCGCCGCCGCGGCCCCCATCACGTAGCCGCCGCTGCCGCCGCCGCCGTCCGGGGCCAGCCCCGCATGGCCGTCGGGCCAGGGGAGGGCGTCGGGGGGGCCGGCCCTCCATCCGAAGGGCGCCGACTGCCCCGGCAGGCAAGCGGGGGAGAGTACGACGGGCTGCCGGCCGCCGGGCCGGCTCTTCCGCCTCGGCCGGTACTTGTAGTCCGGGTAGTCGAGCATGTGACGCGCCCGGAGCCGCTTGGCCTCGTCGATGAAGGGCCGCTTCTGGGCGGCGTCGAGGCGCTTCCAGGCGGCGCCCAGCCGCTTGGAGATCTCCGAGTTGTGCAGGCGGGGCTGCTCCTGCGCGATCCGCCGCCGCTGCGCGCACGACCAGACCATGAAGGCGTTCATGGGCCGCTTCACCTTCTCCGCCTGGGCCGTCGAGGGCGGCGCGGGGGGGGCCGGGGCCAGTTGCGGGGCCTGGGCCGGCTGGATCGGGCCCGCCGCCCAGCCCCTGGCCGGCGCCTCCGGGTTGTAGAAGCCCCCGAACATCCTCCCGCCGGTCGGGGAGGGCCCGACTAGAGAGCCTCAAAGGGTGCCACGGCTGGAGCAGCCGGCAGCAAGGCAGCACGTGCGGCCGGTCGGCCCTGGCTGGGATATAAGGGCGCCAGACCACGCCCCTCCGGCCCCCGGCCCCGCCCCTTTGCCTCGCCCTTCTGCCGTCCGGTGAAAAGGGCGCCCGCGGGCGCAGAGCTGACGGACCCGGCGGGGCGACACCCCCCTTCTATACACACACACACACACACACACACACACACACACACACACACACACACACACACACACACACACACACACACACACACACACACACACACACACACACACACACACACACACACACACACACACACACACACACACAACCGTCCCCCTCCCGGGCTCCCCCGCGGTCCTCAGCCCTCCATAGAGTGACCCGTTTTTGCGGAAAGCAGCGGGTTTCTGAGCATAAGCAGAGTGCCGGCACCCCCTCTCCTCTGCCCTGCTAGCCTTTAGACCCCCCCCTCGGCTGTTGGGTGCAGGATGATGGGAGTTGTAGTGAAGCCCATCAAGAGGGGACTTGAGAACTTCAGTGCCTGAAAAAGGGGGGGCACAGGGGGGGGTGATGCAAGGGCCCTTCTCCTTTGAGGGGCGCCTGTTAGCAAGGACCCCCCGAGGACCCCCCCCCCAGGTCTGCCTCTGCCTGCCTCGCAGGTGCATCAGCCCCACAAGCAGTGGAGGAGCGGGACCCCTCCCCCATCCCAACCCCCCCCCCCAGTCCAGATCCTGCTCTTCTGCCCGGCTTTAATTGGGCAGCTTTAATTGGGCTCCCCCCTCCAATTTCTGGCGGCCAAGCAGCGTTACACATTTTCCCCTTGGGTGCAATCTGGGGGGGGCAGCATGGGAACCCCTTATTTTCCTGGGGGGTGGGGCGGGAGAAGGTATACCTGTGATCAGACTTTCCTCAACCCAGCTTGGTGGTGGCTGAGCGGGGAGGGGAGGGGGGGGTGCATCCTGAATGGGGGGGGTGCACCTTGAATGGACTAGAGAGCCCCCCCCCCCCCCGCGTCCTGCAGTTGCTTTGGCTGATGGTTGGGGGGCTCGCTCTGCTTTGGTGGTCCCAGCACAGACCCCACCCCTCCACTGCTTTGGCTTTAGGGTGTGGATGGGGGGGGGGGAGGAGGCTGTGAGTTTAGCAAGGGGGGGGGCAGGGAAAACGTGGCTCCTGGGTCAGCTTCCTCCCCCACCTTTCACCTTCCGTGTGTCCCCCCCTGCCCCCCCAGGGTGTGTCAATGGAGATTAATTGCCTTTCCAGGCCATTCCTGTAGACAAAGAGAAAAAAAATTGCCCTCCAGGGATTTCTTTCACCTGCTGAATTGCAGCTGGGGCAAAAGGGGCAGAGAGCCCCCCCCCAAAAAAATCCCTGGCAGGCATGGAGAAGAGGAAAAGGGGGGGCAGGATCCCCCCTAGCCCAGGGGAAGCTGTCCTGGTTCTCCCCCTTAAAATGGAAACAATAGGATTACTGTAAGATTTAGCTGCAGGGACCTGTTTGATTTCGGCCTGTCGCTGCTTTTTAGGCCAGGTCAAGAGCCCCTCCCCATGAGCCAAGCCTTGTGCAGCACACACCTCCACCTCCACACACAAAGACACACACGCACACACAAACACACACAAGCAAGCAAGCAAACTCTTCCTGCTGAATTCAAACAGGGCCAGGGGGAAAAAGCAAAACTGGATTTGTGTTGAGATTATAAATCGGACTCTGATTTTTTTTTTTTTTTCCTGCCAGAAGCTCCACAATCTGGTTTCGGTTACTTGAAAACCGGCACAACCAAATCCAGATGAAGGTTCCAGCTGCCCTATTGTCAAGCCAGGTCAGAAACTGACCGGAGCAAGAACTTAAAAAGATGGGTCATCCTCGCTCAAGGCCGGCAGACTGACCGAGGGTGCGGGAGCAGGACTTTAAAAAAAGGAGAAGTTTTATTTCTTTAAAATATACGATGCAATCGAAATACGAAGCAAAGAGCAGGACAGATGGGGAGGGAAAAGAGAGTAGAGAAGTGAGGTAAGGGAGAAAAAAAAGGGGGGTGAACATTGACTTCCAAATTCCTTTGGTGCAATAGAACAGGGGTCTTCAAACTTGGCCCTTTGATGACTTGTGGACTTCAACTCCCAGAATCCCTCAGCCAGCGTGAGGGAACTAGGACCCTTTTATGACTGGTGGACTTCAACTCCCAGAATTCCTCAGCCAGTGTACCTGCCTGAGGAATTCTGGGAGTTGAACTCCACAAGTCATCAAAGGGCCATGTTTGAAGGCCCCTGCTCTATTACCTGTCAGGCCCTGAAAAGCTAAAAGACACCCTTGTGGGTTTTCAACTCTGGTGCTTTTAAAATGGGTGGACTTCATCTCCCAGCATTCTCTGGGGGGGGGGGGGGTAGGGAATGCTGGGAGTTGGAGTCCACCCATCTTAAAGCTCTCAAGGTTAGCAAACATCCGTACCCCTACCCACCGCAGTTAACAGCAGTGGGCAAACCTTTATCCTTCGAATTCATCGTACCCAATAAAATGATTTTTCACGGACAAACCCCAAATTGAGGACTAGCCATACCCTGGCCATTTTGCACCTTGCCCAGAGGACCAGGGGGTACCCCAAAACCTGTGTCACCTTCTGCCTCTGAAGACAGTGACCACTTGCTAATGCCAGCTGACCCGATCCATTTGCCCAACCGATCCGATCTGGCTTGGGTGGCACGCTCCAGATTCCTTCAACCCAATCAGGTCGAATATTTTGACTTTCCTGGCAGCATTGATCTTCCCCAGGAGATTCGAATCCTGAGCCAATCTGGCACCTCTGAATGTGTTCCCTCGTCTTCGTTTGAATGAGGAAGGGGCCACGAGCTTCACCTGTTGGTCTCCCTTCCTCCTGCCCAAGATATGGCACCGGGAGGGCAGCCTAGCAGGTGACAGTGGATTCCTATTCTGACTCCCCCCCCATTGTGTGAATATGAATCTTGCTTCCTTACTCCCAAATGAGGGGCGGTAGCCCTTGAGGCCATGCAGACCACCCCCCCACCCCCCACCCCCGCTCAAGCAACTCCTCCAAGGTGGTTGTCAAGCCTGTTTTCACAGGTCTCTCCAAAGCTCCTGAAGGCAGGGCAAGAAGCAACGGATGGAAACTCATCAAGGATAGAAGCAACCTGGAATTAAGGAGAAACTTCCTAATACTAAGGACAATTCACTGGCGGAACTGCTTGCCACCAGAAATTGTGGGTGCTTCATCACTGGAAGTATTTAAGAAGAGACTGGACGGCCGTTTGTCTGAAATAGTGTAGGGTTTCCTGCCTGAGCAGGGGGTTGGATTAGATGACCTCCAAGGTCCCTTCTGACCTTATTATCGTTAATAAGGACGAGAAACAAGAGTTGGAAACTTATAAGAGAGAGAAACAACATGGAACGAAGAAGAAACTTCCTACGAGGGAGGACAATTAACCAGTGGAACTGCTTGCCACCAGAAATCGTGGGTGCTCCATCACTGGAGGTTTTCAAGAAGAGACTGAACCATTTGACCAGGATGGTATAAAGCAGGGGTAGGCAACCTTGGCTCACCAAAGTTGCCAACCCCTGGTATAAGGTCTCCTGCCTTGGCCGGGGCGGGGGTTGGACTAGAAGACCTCCAAGGTCCCTTCCAGCTTTATTCTGATTGAGGCGCTTTGGTGTAACAGGGACAAAGGGGGTTCTCAGCTTCTCAGGAGACCCTCCCCTTTAGGCACATCGCCCCCCCAAACGAAATAAATCTGCTTTTCTCAAGGCTAAATGCCTCATTGCTCCTGCAGGCTTCATTCCCCTCTGCCACATTGCCCTTTCCCCTCCCTCCATCCTGGGAGACTCAGCTGGGCTTTCATCAGCCAGCAACTCTTTTAACTGGGGGGGGGGGGCTGGAGGCTACGAGTCGCCCCCTCCCAGGACCTGGTGAGCCCCTTCCCCACAAGACAGACCTGCCCTCCTCCCCTCCTTGGACCGACCGGAAAAACGCCACAAGCCAGGAACAGAAGACAATCAGGGAGAGCTTGCTCTCTCTGTCTCTTTTTTCTTTCTTCCCCCCCACCGAAAAGCCAGGAACAGAAGACAATCAGGGAGAGCTTGCTTGCTCTCTCTCTCTTTTTTTTTCTTTCTTCCCCCCACCGAAAAGCCAGGAAAGGAAGATAATCAGGGAGAGCTTGCTCTCTCTCTCTGTCTCTCTTTTTTCTTTCTTCCCCCCACCGAAAAGCCAGGAACAGAAGACAATCAGGGAGAGCTTGCTTGCTCTCTCTCTCTTTTTTTTTCTTCCCCCCACCGAAAAGCCAGGAACAGAAGACAATCAGGGAGAGCTTGCTCTCTCTCTGTCTCTCTTTTTTCTTTCTTCCCCCCACCGAAAAGCCAGGAACAGAAGACAATCAGGGAGAGCTTGCTTGCTCTCTCTCTCTCTTTTTTTTTTCTTCCCCCCACCGAAAAGCCAGGAAAGGAAGATAATCAGGGAGAGCTTGCTCTCTCTCTCTGTCTCTCTTTTTTCTTTCTTCCCCCCACCGAAAAGCCAGGAACAGAAGACAATCAGGGAGAGCTTGCTTGCTCTCTCTCTCTTTTTTTTTCTTTCTTCCCCCCATCGAAAAGCCAGGAAAGGAAGACAATCAGGGAGAGCTTGCTCTTTCTCTTTTTCTTTCTTCCCTCCACCGAAAAGCCAAGAGCCAGGAACAGAAGACAATCAGCGAGAGCTCTCTCTCTCTCTCTTTTTGTTTTTTTCCCCCAAAGAGTTGGGTTTTGTTTTTTTTATTCTCTTTTTAAATACTGTACAGTGAAAAATAAATAGTCTCAACCGTCACAGATCAAGTCCCCCCCCCTTTTCCCCCACCCACAAACACACAAACTCGAGACCGCCAGCCTGGCTGCTCTTCTCTCCCACAGTGTTTCTCAGGAAAGGAAAAGAAAAACAGGGGAAAGGGGGGTGGGGAGGAGGGAGGGCCAGGCTGCAGGCCGCTTGCCCCCCCCCAAGTCCTCCCTACCCGGGCAGGGCTGCCTCCCCCTTCTCAGCTTGGACCCCCGGTGGGGGGGGGGGCGAGACCCTAACCCGGGTCTGAGGGCTCCCGACTCCAAGGCCCTCGGTTTGACTTAACGCGAAGAAAAAAAGAAAAAAAAACAAAGCACTCCGCTTTTGTGTTTGTGTGTCTCTCTGCATGTGTGTGTGTGTGTGTGTGTGTGTGTGTTTGCGTTATCAGAAGGCACAGATTGCTTCCCCTCCCCCAATTCCTTCCCCAGTTTGAATAGCCGGTTATTTATTTATTTTTTCTCACATTAGTTTCAAAACGAAAAAAAAGCCTTTTTTTTTAAAGTCACCCAAAAAAAAAGCCCCAGATGCATGAAAGTAGTTGTATTTTCACCTGCCCCCTCCGCCCCCCCTCCTGTCAGCGCCTCTCAGGAGGGGGGGTGACGAGCTCCTCAGACCCCCCCCTTTTACACACTTAGAGGGCAGAGACAAAGGAGGAGGGGGGGGTTCAGACTGCCCTCTCTGGCCGGCTGGCCGCCATCGCTTAAACCAGGATGCGTTTTTAAGACGTTTCCCATCTTTGGCCAGCTCTGAAATTACCTGGGGAGGGGCAGGGGGTGGTGGTTTGTTGGAAACCATGGTTCTCGCCTTTTTAACGAGACCGGTGTGTGGTGTTTATTTCGCTTCTCTTGAAGATGTTGTTGCAAGCAGGTGGAAAGTAGGGGTAGGAGAGGAGGAGGGCTCGGTGGGCGGCCCCGGGGGGGGCCCTTAGGACACCCCGTTGACCAGGGGGGCCACCTCCACCTCGGCCGTGGCGCTGTGCTCCCCGTTCTCCGAAGGGCCGTTGACCAACTTGCTGCTCGCCTCTGCCTGGAAGAACGGGAAGAGGACAGGGGGGCTTTGGCCACGCCGGCCACGCTGCCTTGGACCCCCTCGCCGGAAGCCGGGGCCCTGGGACCCCCTCACCCCCTGCAGACCCCCCTACCTTTGGTTTGGGCAGGCTGCCCTCGGCGGGGGCCTTCTCCTGACTCTCTCGGCGGGGGGGGCCCTGGCGACTCTGGGACTCGGCTCGGGAGATATAATCTGCAACCGTCACTGCGGAGGGGAGAGAGAGAGAGAGGAGGGGGTGTCAGAAGAGCCGGGGGGAGGACGCTTTCTGCAGCCGGAGGTCGTCCTTGGCTGGCGGCCACAACGGAGCCCGGAATTTACACCGCTAAGTGAGACAAGTTGGGAGTTTTGCTCCTTTTTGTGACCGTTCCCGCCACATCCGAGGGCTTTGCTCGTCCCAAAAGGGGACCCTGGGACCCCACCAGTCACTCGCCAAGCGTCTGAATGTTGAACGGACGATCGCGGGGGAGGCTGCGACCGTCGTTAAGTGCGGAAAAGTGATCCGAAGTCCCGCGTTTGCATGCCGTTGTAGAACGGTCACTAAACAAACCGTTCTGAGCGTCAAGGATCGCCCGTCACGCCGCGGGCTCTTACCCGGCTGGCGATCCCGACTGATGGAGCTGTCCACGCGGTTGCCACGGTTACGGCGGCGTCGGCTTCGGTTGCGTCTTTGCGGCTTCGACTCCTCCTCTGGTGGAGAAGACATGGGGAGGACATTTAGAGAGGGGACATTTCGCGCGCACCTCCTGCCCGGCTCCTCCTGGCAGCCGTGAGGGCCATGGGGAGAGGGGGGGAACCTAAAGAGGAGCCCCACATCGAGACGGCCAGCTAGGCTGTTTTCCTCCTCCGAGGGGGGGGCATGGGGACCAGGCGCCCCCACCCCGCTCACCGGTGCCGTTCTCGTTAACGGACGTGCTGTCGGACTCCAGAGCCCCGTCCATGACGGTGGTGTCGTCGTCGGTGCGACGTCGTCGCGAGCGGCGCCGGCGGTTGCTGAGCGGCTGGGACTCGCTGGCATCGGTGTCCCCGGCCTGCTCGGCCTCGGTGTTCTCCAGCAGGCTGTAGGGGTTGCTGTCTGGGTCCCTCAAGACTGCGGAGAGGAAGGGCCGGTTGGCAGGCAAGACCCTCCTCCGGCTGTGGGGCAGGCAGAGGTGGATTCCTCCAGACCCCCACTCCCCTAACCGGACGCCCCCTCCGGGCCCCGGGAAGAGCCGAGGGCTGCCTCTTCCGCCCCCCCCCCCAGGCCGGCCCGTACCTGAGCTGATGGAGGAGGTGCTGTGCTTGCTGCCGCCCCCGCGGGGGGCTGGCGCAGGCCCCCGGCCCCGCCCTGCCCCTGGCCGCCGCCGGCCGTCCTCCAGGCGAGGCTCCCGGTCGCTGGGGGGCGGGCCCTCGTAGTCCTCCCTCTTCTCCGACTCCGTCTCAGAGGCGTTGGAGGCGTCCGAGTTGGTGGCTGGGGCGGGAGAAGGGAAGCAAATGGGGGTCCCGGTTCCCACGTGGGCTCCGGAGGACAAACCTCCCCCTCCCGTCCGCCACCCGGACTCACCGTAGCCCGAATTGGGGGCCCTGCGCCCACGGCCGCGCCCGCCGTAGCTGCCGCCGTAAGTCCGGGTGCTGTGCAGGGAGGAGGTGCTCTCGTCCGTGGTGTAGCCCCCCCGCTCTTTCTCCGGGCGGGCGGAGAGGGGCCGGAAGCCCAGGCCGATCTGGCGCAGCTGCTCGTCGATCTGCAGCCTCTCCAGGCGCAGCTGCTCCACTTCCTGCCGGGCGGGGGGGGGGGGGGAGGAGGAAGAGGAGAGCTGGGGAAGGGCTGCCACCAGGTGCTCCCCGTGGCGGGGGGGAAAGGCACCTGAGGGCAGGGGGAGGAGCCCCAGAGAAACCCATCGGCCCAGCATCCTCCCTCTGGGAAGGGCAGTATGTGTTTGTGTTGTGTGTGTGTGTCTCCTTACCTGGAGGTAGGAGAGATGGTACTCCAGCAGGGCCTGGGCGTTGCTGATGTTCTCCCGCGTGCCCACAAAGATGAAAGGGACCATGCCCTACAGGGAGGGAGGAAGAGGATGGAAGAGGGGGGCCAGGGCCAGGCCCCTCGGCTCCATGACTAGGGGGGTCTGGGTGGGGGGAGCAGCAGAGGCCCCCCTTCAGGTCCCAGCGAGGCTGCCTCGCTTGTGGGGGACGTCGAAGAAGGAAAAAAAGAACGGAGTAGGCAAAGCGCGTACAGGGGGGCAACAGGGGGAGGGGATGCCTGGAGTGGGACGGCAGAGCAGGGGGGGCTCCTCCTGCCCCCAACCCAAGAAGCTGCCCTGCGTTGGAAGAAGCCACCCCAGGGCGGGAGGGCCTGGAAGCGGACGGGCAGCCCAGGTGGGAGGCCCCTCCAGGGCCTGGATGGACACAGGCACGGAAAGGCTCCCGGGAAGGGGGGGCAGAAAGGGCCCTGGGGTTGTTGGGGCTCTCCGCCCTTGCGGACGTTTCATGGCCCAAATAGGTAACGTCATCAGTGCTCGGAGGGAGGGATGTTTGAAGACTGGGAGGGAGGGAGGGAGGGAGGAGGACTGTGGGGTCCTTGGTGCTCTCTGAGCTTGGCGGTTTTCTTGTAGACATTTCCTGACCCAACTAGGTAACAACATCAGTGCTTGAAGGGTTGGCAGGGAGGAGGAGGAGGAGGAAGAAGAAGAAGAGGAAGAGGACTGTGGGGTCCTTGGGGCTGAGCTGGGTGGCTTTCTTGCAGACATTTCATGACCCAACTAGGTTACATCATCAGTGCTAGAAGGGAGGAGGAGGAGTGGGGGAAAGGACAAGGGGGAGGTGGAGGAGGAGGGCAATGACAACTTTGGGGTCCTTGGTGTTCTCTGAGATGGGTGGTTTCCTTGCCGACGTTTCATGACCCAACTAGGGAACATCATCAGCGCTAGAAGGGAGTGTGGGGTTTGCAGAGGGGAGGGGGAGAGGAAGGACTGTGGCTGGTCTCCTTGCAGGCGTCTCAGGGCCCACAGAGGGGACGTCATCAGCGCACTCATCATGACGGTGTCACCTCGTAGGGCCACGGAAGGCCGGCAAGCGCCAGAAACCCCACAGCCCAACCCTGAGCCAGGAATGCCCCCTTAGAGACCCCCCTGTTCCGAAAGGGGGGGCCGAGGGAAGCGGGGGGGGGGTCAGCCTGGCTGCTGGCCTCGCGGACACACCTCCTCGCGGGGATTCTTCTTGTCGTTGTCCCCTTCCACCCGCACTCGGACCACGCCAGACTTATCCACAATCTCCTGGATGACCTTCCCGTTCTTGCCGATCACTTTTCCTGCAGCGGGACGGAGGAAGCGGGGCTGACGAGGAGAGGGGGGGGGGGCCGCAGCGCCCGGACGCCTGGCCTGGCCGCCAAGCAGGGCCGCCTCGGTTGCCCCACTCGGAGAGAAGGCGGCGGGGCGGCGGTGCCACGTGGCACCTCCATCACGGCGCCACAATCACAGAGGCTTGACAGCTCCTCCGCGCCCCTAAGGCCAGGGGTCTCCCACCTCGGCCCCTTCAAGGCTTGTGGACTTCAACTCCCAGAACCCCCTACGGCCAGCCTCAGGGGGTCTGCCCCTAAGAAGCCCCAAGTGGCCAGCTGGTGCTGCCCATCAAGCCGCCAAGGGCAAAGTAAATATATTTGGGGGGGGGGGAGTGAGGGAAAAGGGAACCCCGCAGGATGGCCCAGTCTCACTCACCGACCAGATTCCGGGGCACCTGGACCGAATCCTCCGAGAACTCCAGGAAGCTCCTGGCCTGCTTGCAGGCTTCGGGGGTCTAAGGGCAAAACGGAAGGCCACAGACTCGGTCTTACGACGCCAAGAGCCACGGACGCACCCCACAGGGGGTGGGCACCCTGGTGTGGCCAGCCCAGAAGCCCCTCTGGGCAGCCCAGCCCCTCCCTCCCCTCCTCCCCCTTCAACCCAGGAACCGGCCGTCTTCTTGGCTGCTGTCGGAGCAGAGGGGCAAAGATGGACGGGCTGTCCTTGGCTTCCCACGGCTTGTTTAGTGACCGCCCAAGCAGTGGTTCTCCACCTGTGGGTCGGGACCCCATTTGGGGTCGAACGACCATTTCACGGGGGTCGCCAAACAACGCAGTCCGCCATTTTTTCCCCCTTTTCCTTAGCTGTGCTACTCCCTTTTAGTCTATTGGCTTTTGAAAGCCAATAGAATAGACTCTCTTGAATAGAGTCTAATTCTATTGGCTTTCCAAAGCCAATAGGAATTGTCCAGGCTGTCTCTGCCCTGCTGAGCCCGCCAAAAGTCCCATTCTGCAAACGGTGCCGTACCAGTTGAGTAGTCCTCGACTTACGACCGGTTGAGTAGTCCTCGACTTACGACTGGTTGGGGGTCGCGGCATTAAAAAGGTTGAGAACCACTGGCCCAAAGCTACAACAGCGCTCAAAAAGGTGACTTATGGCCCCTTTTCGGACAATGAACGACCGCTGTGCTATCCCCGTAGTCACGGGATCAAAATTTGGACATTTTTTTATAAAATGTTTTATAGGTGGCATTTGGATCCCCAAAAGTTATCTTGTATGTATCCCCAACTTGCAGCCCAAATGTTGGAGATGTGGTAGTTTGGATGCATCTTACTTCATATTTGGTGGACTTGCAGATATATAAAAGCTTTTTTGGATTAAAATTTGGTGGAACATTCAAAATATTTTTAAAAGAAAGTTTACTCCTCACCTATTTTTGTTGGGTATGATTGTAGATTTTGATGTTAAGGAAACTAATTTGATGTTGAATTTAATAACAGCAGCAAGGCTGCTGGTAGGGCAATATTGGAAGAAGGATTGTTTGCTAACTATAGAACAATGAACGCTTAAAGTGTCAAATTTAGCAGAAATGGCTTTCTGCTTATTTGAAGGATCATTCAAAAGAAAGATACATTTCGGTTTGGAGAAGATGGATAGATTATATTCAGAATAAATATGGGACTAAAAAGTTCCATTTATTTTATGAATAAATTTTAGATTATTATTATTAATAATAATAGTTTAGTAGAGTGGAATTTTTATTATGTTGTATTGTTTATGAATTAGGATTTTAATTTGTTTATATGATTAAGTTTATTTGCAAATTGTTTATTCTGTGTTAAAAGGGAGTTAAAGCACATTATATTTGTTTATCTACATAGTTGGTTAATGTTAGTTAGATTATGATTATATTTTTTACCCTGTATTCAGCTCTGGGAAGTGGGGGAAGGATGGGTGGGTTTGGGATATATTTTGTAATTTTTGTAAAACTTTTTAATAATAATAAAAAAAAATTTGGACGCCTGGCCAACGGACTCGTAGTTATGACCGTGGCTGTGTCCTGCGGGTGTGTGTGTGTGTGATGCGATCCCCTTTTTGGAGGCCTTCTGACGAACAAAAGTGGGGAGGCCAGGATCACTTTATCGACCGCGTTGCTGACTTTACAACCGCGGCGATTCACTTAACAACGGTGGGCGGAAAACGGGGCAAAAATTCGCTCAGCAAAGGTTTGGGAGTTAGCCAAAGTAAATTTTGGGCTCCATTGTGGCCGTATCGTCGTATTTTTGTTTTTTTTTTTAAAAAAAGAAAAACTCTTTGAAGGCCAAAGCTGCTGTGGAAGGTCAGCTCCAGATGTTGGCTCCCTGGGCTGTTTTTGAGCTTGGCCACCCAAATCACCCTGGGTATTTGAGCCCCCCCCCCCAGCACAGATCTCCTGGCTCTGGAGTGGGCGAAGGAGAGTAGTCAGGGTGTCAAAGGCCCCAACTGACCCAAACACACACAGCCACACCCCGGGAGGGGGGCTCCTCACCTCCCCGTAGATGCGGAAGGTGCAGGTCTCCTCGTCCAGCTCGATGGCCGTGACGCCCGTCACTTTGCGGGCCTGCTGGATGTTGGCGCCGTGGGTGCCGATGGCCAGGCCCATCAGGTCCTCCCGCACTGTGAACTCCTCCTGGAAGGCCGAGGCCAGCTGCTTGCTCGTCTGCAGGGAGGGAGGGGTCCGGTGAGAAATGGGGGGGGGGACTTCCAAATGGCCTGAAACACCCCACCACCACCACCACCACCACCCTTCCCCTTCCTCCCATCCTCAGTGCAGAGGGACTGGATCAAAAGATGGGGCGGGGCGTCCCTTGATAATCTTTACCGTCATATTTTTTTTTTTTTTTTTACTATGGGCACAACAGCACACCTCAAAAATGGAATTCGGTTGCCCGCTCTCAAAGTGAAACACACACACGACACACACACACACATACTAGCAAGGAGAAACTTCCTGACAGTGAGAACAATGAACCAGTGGAACTACCTGCCTCCAGAAGCGGTGAATGCTCCAACACTGGAAGTTTTTAAAAAGAGACTGGACAGCCATTTGTCCGAAATGGGATAGGGTTTCCTGCCTGAGCAGGTTGGACTAGATGACCTCCAAGGTCCTTTCCGGGCCTCTTATTCTGTTATTCTTCTTTCTTTCTTTCTTTCTTTCTTTCTTTCTTTCTTTCTTTCTTTCTTTCTTTCTTTCTTTCTTTCTTTCTCTTTCTTTCCTTCCTTCCTTCCTTCCTTCCTTCCTTCCTTCCTTCCCTCCCTCCCTCCCTCCCTCCCTCCCTCCCTCCCTCCCTCAACACTGGAAGTTTTTAAGAAGAGACTGGTCAGCCATTGGTCCAAAATGCTACATAGGGTTTCCTGCCTGAGCAGGGGGTTGGACTAGATGACCTCAAAGGTACCTTCCAAATCTTTTATTCTGTCATTCTTTCTTTCTTCCTTCCTTCCTTCCTTCCCCCCCTCCCTTCTCCAGCACTGCAAGTTTTTAATGGCGTAGGGTTTCCTGCCTGAGCGGGGGGGTGGACTAGATGACCTCCAAGGTCCCTTCCATCATCATCATCATCATCATTATTATTATTATAATATACAACCTATGTATAGACCCACACCCCTACATATAGATAGATATGAAATAGAATTCGGGCTGGCACAGAAACGCAGGCACTTCCCAGGCTTCAGGCCAAGGGACACACACACACACACACACACACACACACACACACACACACACCACGGGCCCGGCCGCTCCGCCTGCTGCTTTTTTCCTCCCCAACTCTGACCTCCAGGTGTTTGTTGGCCTCCTCGTTGCGGGACATCAGCATGAGCTTCGTCCGGATGCTGCGCAGATGCATGTCGCCCAGCAGGGACGCCCTCTTGACCGTGGACTCGTTCGTGGACTAGAGAGAGAGAAGGGGGGGGGGAGAGTCAGAGAGAGAGACCCCCCCCCCGATCTGGTCAAAAAAGGCAGCTCCAGCCAAGGATTCCTCTGTGATTCTGGCTCTCTACCTAACGTGGCCGATGGGCAAGCGGCTGGGTTATCTGCGTAAAAGCGTCAGACGACTTCGAGAGAGCGCGGTTTAGGAAAAAAAATAATAATTTTACGTTCAATATATTTAGCTAACTAGACGCTAACTAGAGGCTTCAAGGAGAGAACCAAGCTAGAACTAAGGAGACATTTCCTGGCAGTCAGAACAGTTAACCAGGGGAATGAAAACAAGCAACGGATGGAAATTGATCAAGGAGAGAAGCAACCTGGAACTAAGGAGAAACTTCCTGACAGGGAGGACAATTCACCAGTGGAACTCCTTGCCACCAGAAGTTGTGGTGCTCCATCACCGAAGGCTTTTAAGAGGAGAGTGGACAGCCACTTGTCTCAAATTGTATAGTCTCCTGCTTGAGCAGGGGGCTGGACTAGAAGATCTCCAAGGCCCCCTCCAGCTCTATTCTTTGATTGATTAATTCAGTGATTGATTCATTGATTGGCTGAAGGCAGGACAAGAAACAACGGATGGGAACTAATGAAGGAGAGAAGCAACCTGGAATTCAGAAGAAACTTCCTAACAGCGAGGACAATTCACCAGCGGAACAGCTTGCCACCAGAAGTCATGGGCACTCCATCACTGGAAGCCTTTAAGAAGAGATTATTGGGCAACCATCTGTCTGGAATGGTGCAGGGCAATGGTTCTCAACCTGTCGAACGACCATTTCACGGGGGTCGCCAAACAACGCAGTCCGCCATTTTTCCCCCCTTTTCCTTAGCTGGGCTCCTCCCTTTTATTCTATTGGCTTTTGAAAGCCAATAGAATAGACTCTCTTGAATAGAGTCTCATTCTATTGGCTTTCAAAAGCCAATAGGAATTGTCCAGGCTGTCTCTGCCCTGCTGAGCCCGCCAAAAGCCCCATTCTGCAAACGGTGCTGCACCAGTTGAGTAGTCCTCGACTTACGACCGGTTGGGGGTCGCGGCATTAAAAAAGTTGAGAAGCACTGGGATAGTCTCTCCTCCATGAGCAGGGGGCTGGACTAGAAGACCTCCAAGGCCCCTTCCAAGTACGTAGTTCTATTATTCTGACGCCTAAAGACAGTGCAGGATGTTCTGGGTGCAAATTCTTCACAAATTTGGATAAAAACGGACGTCGCTCCCAAAGAGCAACTGAGGGATTTTAGGAAGGCTGAACAGGCGCTCTCCGAATTTAATGGCCTTTCCAGAGGTGGCCACAAGAGGGCAGCCAAGAACCACACTAGAGGAATCATTGACTCACAACTATTTGCGTACTGACCGTCCCAAGTTACAACGGCGCTGAAAAAAAGTGCCTTATGGTTCACACTTGTGACTGCAGCAGCAGCCCCATGGTCATGTGATCAAAATTGGGGGGCTTGGTGTGTATGTACGGGCAGTGGCAGCACCCCAGGGTCGTGTGACCCGCCCAGCGTGACCTTCCCAGCTGCTGTCTGACCAGCCAGATCGATAGGGGAAGTTGGACTCGCTGAACGAGAGCATGGTTCACTTAACAACCAGGGGGAAAACGTCGCCAAATTGGCCGTTGACTCACGTGACCATCGCTCTGCTTAGGAATGGAGATTCCGGGCCCCATCGTGGTCGTTAGCCGAGGACTACCTGGCCTTACGTTTCTTATAGGACGAGGTGATACCACATCATTACTCTGGATACCCCAGCCTAGGGGTGGGGAATCTAAGCTCTTTTATGACTGGAGGACTTCAACTCCCAGAATTCCTCAGCCAGCCATGCTAAGGGAAAGGGGAGAGGTTTCCAAGCTGAGCCATGCTGGCTCAGGAATTCTGGGAGTTGAAGTCCACCAGTCATGAGGGGGCCATAGTTTCCCCCATGCTGGCTCAGGAATTCTGGGAGTCAAGAAGTCATGAAGGGGGCCATAGTTCCCCCATACTGGCTCAGGAATTCTGGGAGTTGAAGTCCACAAGTCATAAGGGGGCCATAGTTCCCCCATGCTGGCTCAGGAATTCTGGGAGTTGAAGTCCACAAGTCATAAGGGGGCCATAGTTCCCCCATGCTGGCTGAGGAATTCTGGGATTTGAAGTCCACAAGTCCTAAAAGAGCCCGGGTTCCCTACTCCTGCCCCAGCCAGTCTGTTAAGACACACACACATACACACAACGCAGCTTCTTACAAGGATGATGAGTTCGCTGCTGGTGCTACTTAGGAAGATGCAGTTGGCGCCCACCGCCTTCTTGAATTCCTTGTGCACGTTTTCGTTGGAACAGCTGTGAGGGGGAAACGGAAGGTGTTAGCACAATTCAGACAATCGACACATTGGAAGCAGGAGTGGAAGCAGAAGCAGCTGTGGCTTCCAAAGGAGGATTATCCAGCCATGGCCGCTTGAAGACCTGTTTCCTTCAACTCCCAGCTTTTTTCATTTGGTCAAAGTCAAGATATATTACGTCTACCGCGTTCCCACCGTCTATTGAGAAAATTATCTATCTATTAAGACAGTTACCAAAAAATGAGTTAAAGGTAGTCTATAGGCACAACTGTCCTTGTCCCAAGCATGCTGAATGTTGTCAAAACCCTTGCTGACCGGGGAATTCTGGGAGTCCCAGAATTCCCCAGGTTGGGCTGACAATTGGCAATTCTCCGGCAGACGGACACGCAATTCCCGCCAAGGACACTCACGCCTCCTTCAGGTCTTCCGGGACCGCAATGGTGACTTTGAAGAAGCTGCACTTGGTGGCCACTTTGCTGGGGTTGACGGGCCGCAATCGCTCCAAGGTGACAATTTCGTTGTAGATGGCGTCGCAAGCCGCGTACTCTATGACGTAAAACTGCAAGAGAGGGCAAGGCTGGAGAGAAGGCAGAAGAGGGGAGGGGAGGGGAGGGGCCACAGGCCTCACCAGCCACGAGTCTGGGAAAAGCTCCCAAAGGAGATGATATACAAGGAATCACGTAGGAGCTGTGGGAGGGAGGGAGGGAGAGGAAAGAAAGGAAAGAAAGGAAAGGAAAGGAAGGAAGGAAGAAAGAAAGGAGGAAGGAAGGAAAGGAAAAAGAAAGAAGAGAGGAAGGAAGGAAAGAAGGAAAAAGAAAGAAGAGAGGAAGGAAGGAAAGAAGGAAAAAGAAAGAAGAGAGGAAGGAAGGGAAAAGAGGAAGGAAGGAAGGAAGGAAGGAAGGAAGGAAGGAAGGGAAGGAAAAAGAAAGAAGAGAGGAAGGAAGAGGAAGGAAGGGAAAAGAAAGAGGAAGGAAGGAAGGAAGGAAGGAAGGAAAAAGAAAGAAGAGAGGAAGGAAGGAAGGAAGGAAGGAAGGAAGGAAGGGAAAAGAAAGAAAGGAAGGAAGGTAGGAAAAGAAAGGAGAGAGGAAAGAAGGGAGAGGGGGAGAGATGGAGGAGAGTGAGAGAGATGGAGAGAAATGGGGAGAGAGAGATGGGGAGAGAGTGAGAAAGAGATGGGGAAAGAAATGGGGAGAGATGGAAAGAGAGAGAGAGAGAGACAGACAGACAGAGATAGAGCGATAGATATAGATATAAATAGAGGATCGATGATGATAGATAGAGAATGAGAAAGAGACAGACAGATAGACAGAGAGAGAGAGAGAGAGAGAGAGAGAGAGAAGGGGGGGGCTGCTGTCCCAAGACTTACATCTCCTTTCATCATCCGGACTCTGGCCAGCCACCAGCCGCAGGGCTCGTGCTCGTTCGCGCGGGAATACACCTGGAAACACGAGGGGCGTTGGAGCCGAGCCAGCCCTTCCCCTGCCCTGCTCTCCCCCACCCCGGCTCTGAAATGGGCCACCTCACCTCCACCTCGTCCCCGTCGGAGATGTCCTTGCTGTAGTCTGTGGGGGGGGGCAGCCGCACGTCCCCAAAGGGAATCTGCCGTTCCGGTTGCCAGCTAGGAGAAGGCAAGAGCCCGGCATTAAACCCGGGCCAGATCACAGATTGAAGAGTCCTTCGGAAAGGGGAATCAACCGTCGAAAGGAGAGCGGATTCCAGACCGCCCTTTGTCCAGAATGGTGTAGGGTCACCTGCTTGAGCAGGGGGTTGGACTAGAAGACCTCCAGGGTCCCATCCAGCCCTAGGATTCCATGATTGTATTATAATCAGTGGAACAACTGGCCTCCAGAAGTTGTGGGTGCGCCAACGCTCAAGGTGCTTAAGAAGAGACTGGACAGCCATTTGTCTGAAATGGGACAGGGTTTCCTGCTTGAGCAGGGGGTTGGACTAGATGACCTCCAGGGTCCCCGTCCAGCCCTATTCCTTTGTGTTCCATGCTCTCTGCAACATTCAACCCAATTCATACTGGTCGTGGTGGATGCACAGATGCCCTCGACAAGTGGGGCAATATACCGTCCCCTCGTTGTGACTCTGGGGCTGAAAAGCAAGCCACCCAACACGTAGCGACGGAGTGTCAAAACAAAAACCCATCCTGGAGTTTTCGCTGACTTCCTGACTGTGACAAATGAAGTTAAGACATTATATTTGCAACTTAGGTGTATACGTTGGTAATCTCTCTGTTAAGGTTTCAGATTTTATCTTCTAGGTGCTGCATTTTACTCCCGTGTTCCTTTTGACTGAAATAGGATGTGAATGCACAATACGATAGATAGATAGATAGATAGATAGATAGATAGATAGATAGATAGATAGATAGATAGATAGATAGATATAAAGAGAGAGAGAGAGATGAGAGAGAAAGATAGCATTAGATGTAGGTAGGAAGACAGATGATAGATGGATAGGCAGATAGACAAAATAGGTAGGTAGAGATTGAATTAGAATTAGACGACAAAGACAGACAGACAGATAGATGATGGATAGATGAGACAGATATATACATATATGTTGGCAGGAGCCAACGAAAGCTAGGTCTGCTTTTTAAAAAACTTTTAAATGTTTTATATTTAAACTTTTAACGTTTTATAAAACTTTTAATGTTTTAACTTTTCCTGGTGCTCACATTTTATTTCTTAGTAGATAGATAGATAGATAGATAGATAGATAGATAGATAGATAGATAGATAGATAGATAGATAGATAGATAGATAGATAGATAGATAGAGATATAAAGAGAGAGGGAGGATAGATGAGAGAGAGAAGTAGCATTAGATGTTAGGTAGGAAGACAGATGGATGGATAGGCAGATAGATAAATAGGTAGGTAGAGATTGAATTAGAATTAGATGACAGATAGATAGATGATGGATAGATGAGACAGAGATAGATAGATAGATGGATAGATAGATAGATAGATAGACAGACAGACAGATATGGATGGATGGATGGATAGATAGATAGATAGACAGACAGACAGACAGATAGATAAGCATGCTCTCTGCGCTGCACACCGCTGGCTACCGAGTGTGGCCTTTCCATATCTGACCTGCCGAGAGAGGGGAACGGCGTCTAAAGTTTTGCAGCGTGGGAGAAAGAAAACCTCCGTCCAGCTGTGAGATCTGTTGCCCCGGCTTAGCCAAGCACAGCGGCTTCAAGGCCAGCTGCAGCCTGCCGTCCCTTTCCAGGGATCGAGCATTGGCCAGGCTGTGCTAGAAGCAGTAGAGAAGGGGGTCCTTGCTCTCCTGGGCGCCCCAGATCATCTGAAGGGAACAAAACCCCCCATTTGCCATAAACGAGGTTGATTTCAGCGGGGCTGAAAAATCAAAAACTCCCCATTCCGGAGTCTGAAAGAGCGGGAGGGGGCGCAGGGGGGGAGGGAGGAGAAAAGGCAGGGAAGGGGACGCTGCCCACCCTGAGCAGAGTCAGCACCGGGAGGGGCTTTGGTGACTCAAAGCCAACCTTCTTTGCCCTCCTGAGCCCCCTCCCCAAGGACAGCCGACCGCTGCTTCAGGACCCCCTCCCCCCCCCCCCGAGCCTGCAGCCCTGGGAACTGGCCGTGGTGCTGCAAGGCGGTCTGGTTAGCCAGCATTTCTAGCCCACCCACCCCCCCTTGGAGAAAGCAGGGCGGGTGGGCACAGCAGCTGGCAGGAGGGAGGGCCAACCGGCTGGCCGAGACCCAGGAGTGGCTGCCAAGAAGTAGCCGATCAGGGCGAAAGCCCATCTGCCACTCCCTGTGGCCAGAGAGCAGGGAAGGGTGACAGAGCAAGGAGGGGGCTCAGCCACGAATTCGGAGCACCCTCTTGCTCAGCTCAACACACACAGAGAGAGAGTCCACCCACTCTCCTTTTCACAAATGCAGAATTTGCTTTGAGAGAAGCACAGAACGACAGAGCTGGGAGGGGGCTTCAGAGGTCTTCTAGTCCAACCCCCTGCTCAAGCAGGAGAGCCTAGACCAGGGGTAGGTAACCTTGGCTCTTGTATGACTCGTGGACTTCAACTCCCAAAATTCCCCAGCCAGCATACTCCTTGTGGCCCTGCTTAGTCTCTTACAATCCCTTCCTCTCCAATCTCTCTGCTTTAAGGGATAGGTGAGGACATGAAATAGGGCAGGGATCTCCAACCTTGGCAACTTTAAGACTGGTGGACTTCAACTCCCAGAATTACCCGGCCAGCATACTCATTGTGGCCCTGCTTACTCTTTTACAATCCCTTCCTCTCCAATCTCTCCGCTTTAAGGGATAGGTGAAAAAAAAAAAAAAACAGGCATGGCTGGCTGGGGAATTCTGGGGGTGGAAGTCCACCAGTCATAAAAGAGCCAAGGTGGCCTACCCCTGGCCTAGACCATTCCAGATAAGTGGCTGTCCAGGGTCTCTTCTTCAAAGCCTCCATTGATGGAGCACCTACAACTTCCAATGTCAAGCAGTTCCCCTGGCTAATCGTCCTCTCTGTCAGGAACTTTCTGCTCAGTTCCAGATTCTAGGAATGTCCAAGGCTGTCCACTCTTCCTCCTGGGGCCTCGGCATGGTGACCCTGAGACCACCTCCTCAACGCTGCTGTGTCATGCCTACGTGGGGGAGAGGCCACGCATTGACTGCCATGACATAGCTTGGCTACCTCTCCTGCCCAAGAATGGGGCGCTTGCCCTGAGCTATTTCAGCCCGAGGGGGTCTCTCTATTCAATTAAAGTAAAGAAGCCCACCAGGCCAAGAGGCCAGGGCCCTCCGAGACCGTCACTCATCTTGAGTTGCACAGTACCAAGTCTAATCGCAGGTGGTCCTTGACTCACAAGAGTTTGTGTAGTGAAATCACAACAGCACCGTAAAAAAGGGACCGGTGGCCATTTTTCACGTTTCCAACCCCTGTAGCATCCCCACAGCCGTGTAACCAAAATTTGAACGCTTGGCAGCTGACTCGTATTTATGACGGTCGCAGTCTCCCAGAGGGGGGTCACGTGATCCCCCCCTTTGCAACTCTGACAAGCAGGAAGATCCAGTGTCGGGAATCTGTCTGGTTTAAGACATTATTCCGCTCGCGGCCGATAGCTGTGTTGTTATTATTATATATTACACAGCACCAACGTAATCTATTCAACACCCACCAGAAAATAAAATTATTTACATCTGTCTGCAAGGAGGGGCAATAGCTCTGCTTTCATGATATTTACTTTCAATGCGACTTTTATGTTTTTTTTTTATATCTCTGGTTTTACCCGTTTGTCGTGCGCTAAACAGAGCTGCCTTCGGCGAGATGGGCAGAGAGTTGATAAAATAAGGCCAAAAAAAATGGAAGCAACGTAGAAGTCACAACATAAAAGATTTAAAAATGAAAACAAGATAAAGGAGGCGAGTGAAAAGCCAGGCATTTTGTCAAGAAGCACGCTTGTCACCAAGGAGGGAAGGTTTCCAGTAGGAACTGGTTGGCCTTTCCTAAAAGCTGAAAGCCTTCCGCGCTCAATTTTCAGAAGGGGCCAACCAGTTTATATTAATATAAGGGGACAGACCGGATGAAGCGAAGGAGCTGCTGAAAACCTGGGTTGGGTAAAACGTAGCGTCCACGTAAGACACGGTGCCGAAGCAAATATTCCATTATCATGGTTTAACAACGAATTGGCGTTATCAACTTGCCGCGATTCACACAGCGAATCAAAGACGTGAACCCCTTCTGAGTCTGGATTAGCACGTTTTGTGAACCCAGCCAGAGGGAAAATGCCAGGAACACAACCCCTTTTTAACAGCCCAGGGATACCTGGACGCTTAGCTCTCTCCAAAAGGGCTCTGAGTCACCGTGCCCAAAGCTATCCGCTAAACGGAGAGGGGGGGTCTGCCCCCCCCCACCAGGTCTTTTCCATCTTTCTGTAACAAGAGGCAATGTTGGAAGGGGGGGGGTGTCAAGGCACTCACTTGTTCTCGAAGGATATTGTGACCGAATCTTCATGTACATCTTTAACAAAACCCTGCAAGTGGAAGAGAGAGAGAGAAAAAAAGACAAGAAGTGTTACTGCCCTTTGAAGCGCTCGGTCGGTCTTAAGCGCAAGCGCGGACACCGCCAAGCTGGACCAAGGGGGGAAGTCAGGGCATCCCGGAATCAACACTAGGGAAATCAAGGCTTGGTGTAAATCAAGTTCTAGAGTCACTGGTGTGTGTGTGAGAGAGAGAGAGGGGAGAGAGAGGGAGAGAGAGAGGGAGAGAGAGGGAGACAGAGAGATGGGGAGAGAAAGAGAGAACTAGAGAGAGATGGAGAGAGAGAGAGAAATGGGGAGATAAAGAGAGAGATGGAGAGAGAAAGAGAGATGGAGAGAGAGAGAAATGGGGAAAGAGAGAGGAGAAAGAGAGAGATGGAGAAAGAGATGGAGAGAGAAAGAGAGGGATGGAGAAAGAAAGAGATGGAGAAAGAGAGAGATGGAGAGAGAGAGAAATGGGGAGAGAAAGAGAGAGATGGAGAGAGAGAGAGATGGAGAAAGAAAGAGATGGAGAGAGAAAGAGATGAAGAAAGAGAGAGATGGAGAGAAACACAGATGGAGAGAGAGAGAAATGGGGAGATAAAGAGAGAGATGGAGAGAGAAAGAGAGATGGAGAGACACAGATGGAGAGAGAGAGAAATGGGGAAAGAGAGAGAAGGAGAAAGAGAGAGATGGAGAAAGAGATGGAGAGAGAAAGAGAGGGATGGAGAAAGAAAGAGATGGAGAGAGAAAGAGATGGAGAAAGAGAGAGATGGAGAGAGACACAGATGGAGAGAGAGAGAAATGGGGAGAGAAAGAGAGAGATGGAGAGAGAGAGAGATGGAGAAAGAAAGAGATGGAGAGAGAAAAAGATGAAGAAAGAGAGAGATGGAGAGAGAGAGAAATGGGGAGAGAAAGAGAGAGATGGAGAGAGAAAGAGAGATGGAGAGAAACAGATGGAGAGAAATGGGGAAAGAGAGAGGAGAGAGAAAGAGAGAGATGGAGAGAGAGAGATGGAGAAAGACAGAGATGGAGAGAAAGACAGAGATGGAGAAAGAAAGAGAGATGGAGAAAGAAAGAGATGGAGAGAGAAAGAGATGGAGAGAGAGAAATGGGGAGAGAAAGAGAGAGATGGAGAGAGAAAGAGAGAGATGGAGAAATAAAGAGATGGAGAGACACAGATGGAGAGGGAGAGAAATGGGGAAAGAGAGAGGAGAAAGAGAGAGATGGAGAGAGAGATGGAGAAAGAGAGAGAGATGGAGAAAGAAAGAGATGGAGAAAGAGGTGGAGAAAAAGAGAGATGGAGAGAGACACAAATGGAGAGAGAGAAATGGGGAGAGAAAGAGAGAGATGGAGAGAGAAAGAGAGAGATGGAGAAAGAGAGAGATGGAAAGAGAAAGAGAGAGATGGAGAAAGAGAGATGGAGAAAGAGATGGAGAAAGAGAGAGATGGAGAGAGACACAGATGGAGAGAAATGGGGAGAGAAAGAGAGAGATGGAGAAAGAAAGAGATGGAGAGACACAGATGGAGAGAGAAAGATTCATAAGCAACATTGCAGGCAACCCCAATTTGCAAAACATTATTCTCTGGAGCAGTGAGAGGTAAACAGTAGACAACTTTTACAAATGTGATGAAATTAGGAGTGTAAACCACATTGCGTGATGTGCTCGATTCTTAACAAAACCGCCACCTAACCAGAGCTCACCTGGGGTGGGGTTCCAGCCCCAGACCCCAGCCACTTTAGGGCCTGGAGAGGGTCTCCCACCACGCAAACTCTCTGTGCTCAGGACCCTTCTGTTTCGGAGGCTCCCAAAGGTGGGGGCTTCGAAACATTCAGCTGGAATTGCCAACCGGCTCCTTCCCTAAGCCGCTGGATGATCCAGCTCTGCCAGGCAGTCAAAGGTTCCTGGGGGCTGTTTGGGTACCCCTGCCCACCCCCAGGTTCCGGGCTAAGTGGGGACAAGCGACTCTTGGAGGTTTTGACGTCAGCCTGAGCCCGGCTGATCTTCCCAGCCGCCCGTATCTGATTACAGGTGTCAATTCCGAGACGTCCATTCTGGCCAGAGCGTCCGAGAGAGGGAACGTGGCTTAGGGGAACCCCTCCCCACCCTCAAATCCTAGCCAGGTCCTGACTCCTTTCCATCTGTTTATCGGGGATTGTTTTTCTTCCACCCTCCCAAAGGTGTGAGGCAGTTTCAGACAAGGATCCAACCCCTCAACTGCCCAGCTTGGACCATCCAAACCGCAAGGTGGGGTTCACCCCTCAAAACCTGAGAACTGTTGGGGGGGGGGAGAGAGAAATACAGGCTCAGCAAAGAAATCCTGATTAAATCAGTTCATTGCCCATCTTTGACAGGCTGGGACGGGCCCACGTGCCGGGCAGAAATCTAATCTGATGCTGTACTCTGACGAAGGGGAAAATAATCTGGATTCCTCTGAATTCTTTGCAGTCGTAACAGGAGTGTTTATAACCAGCTAGCCCTGATGACGTTCCCTAGTTGGGTCATAAAATGCCTGCAAGGAAACCATTAAGCTCAGAGAGCACCAGGGATCCTAGTCGTTCTCCTCCTCCTCTCTCTCTCTCTCTCTCTCTCTCTCTCTCTCCAACCCCTCCCCCTTTCTAGCATTGATGATGTTCCTTAGTTGGGTCATGAAACGTCTGCAAGAAAACCACCCAGCTCAGAGAGCACCAGGGATCCCACAGTCCTCCTCCTCTTCCTTCTCCCCCACTTCCTTCTAGCACTGATGATGTTCACTAGTTGGGTCATACAACGTCTGCAAGGAAACCACCAAGCTCAGAGAGCACCAAGGACCCTACAGTCTTCCTTCCTTCCTATGTTCCTTTCTTCCTACATTCCTTCCTTCCAGCACTGATGATGTTCCCTAGTTGGGTCATGAAACGTCTGCAAGAAAACCACCCAGCTCAGAGAGCACCAAGGACCCCACAGTCTTCCTCCTCCTCCTCCTCTGCTCCTTCTTCCTCGCCTTCTTCCTCCTCCCCTCTGCTCCTTCCTCCTCCTCCTCTCCATAACCCACCCAGCCCCCCACTTCCAGCACTGATAATGTTACTAGTTTGGGTAATGAAACCTCTGCAAGAAAACCACTCAACTCAGAGACCACCAAGGACACCCCCCCCATTCTCCACTCCACAACCCCCCCTCCCTTCTAGCACAAAGATGTTACCACCTAGCTCAGGGGTAGGCCACCTTGGCTCTTTTATGACTCATGGACTTCAACTCCCAGAATTCTGGGAGTTGAAGTCCACCAGTCATCGAGGGAGCCATGCTGGCTGAGGAATTCTGGGAGTTGAAGTCCAGGAGTCATAAAAGAGCCAAGGTGGCCTACCCCTGGCCTAGCTGCAACATCTGCAAGGAAACCACCAGGCTCAGAGACCACCAAGGACAACCCCCCCCCCCAAAGTTCAACCCTGAGCTACAAAGATTCTCATTTAATGGATTCCTGGGAGTTGAAGTCCACTCCTCTTAGGGTGGAACACACGGAGCGAGAGGAAGGAGGAAGACAGATCTGGTCACCTCGGAAGCCAGTTCCTAGGGGGCAATGTTGGTTAGAAGAGGGTTTATCCCCAGCGTTCGGTTTCCCTACCTCAGGGGTAGGCCACCTTAGCTCTTTTATGACTTGTGGACTTCAACTCCCAGAATTCCTGAGCCAGCCATGCCTGTTGTTTTTTTTCACCTATCCCTTAAAGCGGAGAGATTGGAGAGGAAGGGATTGTAAGAGAGTAAGTAGGGCCACAATGAGTATGCTGGCTCAGGCATTCTGGGAGTTGAAGTCCACGAGTCATAAAAGAGCCAAGGTGGCCTCCCCCTGACCTAGCTGCAACATCTGGAAGGAAGCCACCAGGCTCAGAGACCACCAAGGACAACCCCCCCCCCAAAGTTCAACCCTGAGCTACAAAGATTCTCATTTACTGGATTCTCGTTTTCCCCGATGCCAAAGGATTGCCAGCTTTCGCAAACCGTTCCCCCCGGAAGCGCAGCACGCCAGATTCCCCTCCTTTGCCCACAGCCCCTGTCAGGGGGGGCACCTGTTTTATTAACAAAGATGGGTGACAAGAAAGGCAATCGTGGATTGATCCTCGAGAGACGGGATGACGTGTCCTGGGCTGAGAGCAAAACAGGCTGCATGCCCAACGGGTGACAGAAGAAAAACAGGTGCTTGGGAGGGGGGGGGGCTGAGGGGGGGGACTGCTCTGCCAGCTGCCCAGGGGCAGCTATGCCACCTTCCTTTCTCCAGAAGCTGGCTTAAAACTGCCTGGGCTTTGTCGACAGGAAATGTCACCATATCAGCCAACGAAAGCTCAAGCAATGTTTCCCACGTGAGACGAGTGGACTTCGATTCCTTGAATCCCCCAGCCAGCAAGGAACTCTGGGAGTTGAAGTCCACTCCTCTTAGGGTGGAACACACGGAGCGAGAGGAAGGAGGAAGGCAGATCTGGTCACCTCGGAAGCCAGCTCCTAGGGGGCAATGTTGGTTAGAAGAGGGTTTATCCCCAGCGTTCGGTTTCCCTAGCTCAAGGGTAGGCCACCTTGGCTCTTTTATGACTCGTGGACTTCAACTCCCAGAATTCCTGAGCCAGCCATGCCTGTTTTGTTTTTTTTTTCACCTATCCCTTAAAGCGGAGAGATTGGAGAGGAAGGGATTGTAGGAGAGTAAGTAGGGCCACAATGAGTATGCTGGCTCAGGCATTCTGGGAGTTGAAGTCCACGAGTCATAAAAGAGCCAAGGTTGCCAACCCCTGTGCCTAGCTACTTGAATACGGAGGTTCTGGAGGCTGAAACATATAAAGGACAGTTGCTGGAATTGGCCATGTCTAGTTTAATGAAAAGAAGGACCGGGGGGGCGACAGGGTAGCAGTCTTCCTATGTCTGAGGGGCTGCCCCAAAGAAAATGTGGGCTCCACCTGAAGGCAGGACAAGAAGCAATGGACGGAGACTAACCAAGGAGAGAAGCAACATGGAACTAAGGAGAAACTTCCTGACAGTTAGAACAATTAACCAGTGGAACAACCTGCCTCTAGAAGTGGCGAATGCAACACTGGAAGTTTTTAAGAAGAGACTGGACAGCCACTTGTCAGAAACGGTATAGGGTTTCCTGCCTGAGCTGGGGGTTGGACTAGATGACCTCCAAGGTCCCTTCTGAGTCTGTTATTCTGTAAGTCTCACCAAACCAGGCCTGAGCTGCCTCTTGTGCGCTCGCTTCCCTGATGGCCTTGAAGAAAGCGACTCGGGACCCTTTTTCACACTTACGACCGCCCCAGGGGTCACGAGGTCCAAATTCACACACTTAGCAACTGGCTCGTATTTACGACGGCCCCGGGATCACGTGATCCCCTTTTGCAACCTTCTGGAGAAGGAAAGTCAAGAGGGGGGAGGGAGACAAATCCAGTTAACGACCGTGTCATTAACTCAACCACTTTGGCAAGAAAAGCCGTAGCATGGGGGCAAAACTGACTTAACCCCTGTCCTGCTTAGCAATGGAAACCTTGGGCTCAATTGTAGCCGTAAGCCGAGGACTGCCTGTCCTCTGCCCGAGACGACCGGCTCTTCTCCCACGTCAAAGACCGCTCCGTCCATTTAGCGTGGACGGGTTAACCAGCTCCCGTCGTCGCTCACCCTCCGAGGAGTATTTATATCTCCTGCGCCCCTTTACCTGCCAACTGGAACACGCGGCCGGCCTAAAATAAAACTGCTGCGTGCTCTTCTTCTCCTCCCACCCCTGTGACCCCCTCATTAAGAGTTCCAGGAAGACTCTTCCTTCGGTTTCAACTTCACTTGCAACACGAAACTACAACCGGCCGTTCCTCAGGGCTGCCTGCCCGAGTATTAAAAAGTATTTTTGCCCCTGTTTTCATGGCAAGCCACACCTGCAGCAACCTCCGGGTAAAACGTTGCACGGAGGGGGAAGAACGTTCCCCCAGGATTGGTTCCCACACAACAAGCCAGACGGGGAAAGTGTTTCAAACTGAGTAGCTTCGTCACAACGGGCCCAGTTAAGCAGCGGGACGTAGCTTCTGATGTCAAGGCAGCCAAGTTACAAGTCTTTCTGGTGGCTGGGCTGTCCCTTCCACAGCCCCTCAGCCTGGGGGGGGGGGTCAGCTGCTTTTCCTAGCCGAGATAAAAGTCTTAGTTCCACTCTCAGAAGATGGACATTATGCCACCGAAGGCGAGAGGAGTCTCCCAAGATTTGGTGGCTTCCTACCAAGACTCTACAAGGGTGCCAAGTCATCTCTGCCCTGGGCGTCCTCTTCTGGGCGGATGTAAGACACAGTCCAGGGAAGGATCTGCTGCTGGAGCTGGTCCTCGGCCTTCTAGCCAAGGGCTACTTGGATGGCTCCCAACTGCAGCTGACACGGCAGATTTCCGACTAGACAAATTCCCCCTTCTTTTGGGGAAACGAAACACTGACTCCTTATTCACACACACACACACACCCCTCAGCCACGAACCTCAACGGCTGGGTGTTGGCCCTGGCCTAAGGCAGCCTCAGAGGATGAGAAACAAAGCAGGCAACTTCAGGAAAAGCCAGGGAAAGTAGATTGGTGGGTGATAAGTACCCTTTCAGATGGGGGAACCAGCTAGCAAATTCCCCTATGAAATGACAATCTGTGTTGGTGGGGAGAGAAAAGATGTGGTTGTCACAGAACTAGTGCATAAGGCTACCGTTATTCCACAGAACATCGGCTGGATAATGAATTTCCTGTGGATTTCAGCTCATCAACTCTGTGGTAAGCCCTCCGGAGTGCCTATTAGGAATTCTGTGATTCCAAAAGTATCACACCTTTAGTGTGCCGAGACCCAGCTTTCAAATCCCAAAGGCCAATTTTTAGTTTGGTCAGCATTCCTGGACAATGGGACACAACCCACCTCATTTCTTAGTGCAATGTGTGAACCAGACAGGTAGAGAAGATCACCTGCAAGGCACCCGATGCTGCAAAAGCTTATTTAAAAAATCATGCTAGGATCAACACCGCTGCCAACGGTGTAGATTTTAAGTTGCTGTGTTGTCCGAATACGGCAGAATGGCTTCTTCTAGCCAGAATAAGCTACAAATAGATGATATAGGATTGAAGCCGAGGGTCTTCTAAATGCAGTAAAAGTGGCTTCTTAAAAACATTTTTTCCCAGTGCCGGTTGCTCAAACGGGAGTCTTTTGAGGACATGTGAGAGCTGCCTGATTGCTGGTAAAAAAAAAAAAAATTCTGCGATATAGCAAACTTATGGCTTTAAAAATAACTTTACTTGATAAAGATGCCATAGCACAGCGCATACAAACGGGCTGAAAATAACCTGCTCTGCTCAGAGTGCCAAGGATTAGGCCTCAAAGGCTTCTGCCTTTGATTTGTGGCCATCTCCATGTCAAACACCGGCTAGCGTGACTCCATCTTGAGGTGGGGTGTCTAAAATTAGCAAAACACACAATCCCACCGCCACCACCCTTACAAAAAAAAAAAAAAGCTAGGTTATGTTACTCCAGCGTGGAACCAGGAACTGCACTAAACGTATCTCTCTTCCATACAGACCAACGAAAGGCCCACGTTGCACACTCTGGGTACCTGCTTCCTCGTTTGAATATACACACGTGTAGACTCCCCAATGTGATTCCTGCATGTCGGACTGCAGCGCTGCAGAGCTATTACAGGAGAGTGTTAAACCCAGGGATTTATCATTCTCTTGTGTCTTCCGCTGAAGAGGGGAAACTGTCTGCAACTGGCAGCCACAAATGTGGAGCTGTCCAACACACCGGACTTTCCTAAGAAGTGTCACAGAGCTGATTCTCAAGCCGGAAGTGGAAACATTAAAAACTGCTGTTTGTCCACGGCTATAGTTAAGCTCTAGTTGGCTGACTGAAGGCCAGGCTGCAAAATCTCCCATTTTCAGGAAAGGGAAAATCCTCCAGCAGAGAGAGGCCTTTCCGAGGGGCTGGCATTTGCTTTGGCAGGGAGGGAAATGCCACTCGCTCTCTTCCCTAGCATGGGATCCCTTACTGGCCATCCATCACGTCGCTCAGGTAGGGTGGGGGGGGCTGCAAAAGGGGCTCGGTTTCCAGTTTCAAAACTGGGGGCTCCCCTCCCCCGCTGCCCCCTTTTTTTAAAAAAAGGGAAACCGAGGCAGCTTCCCTAGGAATGGGAGGGAGGAGGTTTTTCCGGGTCAAGCCAGCAGGCCTCCCTTGCTCCTCAATTGCACCCCCAGCCACCCTCTTCTCCTTCCAAGGCAGGAGGGGTCTTTGGAGGGGCGAAGGGGAGGGCTGTGCCCCAAGGAGCCCCAGGGCGGGCCTCCCTCCAGAAACCCCCCCCCGCCCACCTGGAGGGGCATCTGCCCCTGCCAATCAAAGCCCAAAGGGATACAATTTCCCGGGTGGGCGACCCTCTTCCCTGGGACGGCGGAGGGAGGGAGGGCAGGGGGCGCTCCAGGCCACGGGGGGAGGGAGGGAGGGGGCCACGGGGGGGGCGGCTCCCCTTCTTTTCAAGGGGAGGGGGTGGAGGAGGGGGGGCGCTGGGTCAAGACCCCCTCCCCACCTTAGGGGAGCCGCCCCCCCCCGGCGACCCGTTGAGGGTCCCACCCGGCGCGTCTGCGGGGCTGCTTCTCTTCCTCGCCCCCCCCGGCCCCGCCCCCCGCCCGGCTCTCCCTGGGGACGGGGCCCCGCCCTCCGGTCGCCATGGCGACCCTTCCTTCTCCCCCCCCGCCTCACCTTGTAGAAGGCCCCGTTGGAGCCCCGCACCTCCACGGCCAGGCCCTCCATGGGCCCCGCGGCCGCCAAGGGCGAGGAGCCCCGCGAGGGTTGGCCCGCCGCCCCCGCCGCCGCCGGGGGGATGGGGGCGGGGCGGGGCCCGGCCTCCTCCGGCTCGGCCACCGTGACCGGCCCCAGCCGCGGCCTGGCTCGGCCCGCTGTCCTCTTCTCCCTCCGCCGCCGCCGCCAGCCGCCTCGGGCCTCTCGCGCTGGGCTCCCCGCAGCCGGCGCCGAGCGCTAAGCGAGGCAGGAGCGAGCGAGCGAGCGAGCGCGGGACAGGCCTCCCCTCACGGAGCGCGCGCGCCCTCCCACCCCGGCCGTGCGTGCCGTGCGTGTGCGCGCTGCGCCTGCGCCAGCCCGACGCTCCTCCTCCGCCGCGCGGGACCGGCCACGCCCACCCGGCCGGACGCGCCAATGCGCGCCCAATCTGCCGCGGCTGGGCCAATCGCGAGGAGGTGCGGGGCGGCGCCGGCCACGCCCCTCCGCCTCTCCGTCCTCGCTTGCCTTTCGCCGCGCGCTCCTCCTCCGCCGCGGCCAATGGGAAGGGAAAGGCGGGGTGTTTTTTTTTTCCCTCCCCACCCCACCCCCGAGGAGGCTCTGCCCCGGGCGCAGGCGCGGTAGCCGTTCCGAGCGTTGCTCAACGCCCCCGACGGGGTTCCCTTGAAGTTCCACCGCCGTTGGCCAATGACGACTCGGTCCTCGCCCCTGGCACCCAATCGTAGGACGGATCGGCCGCCCCGCCTCCTTCGCACGCCTCTTGCGACGCCCTCGCCGCGCCATTCGCCGGTCGGTTTTTTTTAAATTCCTCATCCCTTGGCGAAGGGAGCGGATTGTCAGCCAATGGGGAGGCAGGGGCGGATTCACCCCGCGCGCCCATTGGGTGGAACTCGGAGGGGGGCGGGATGCGGGAGAGCCCGGGCGCCGGCACGTGGCCGCCCTCCGGTCGCAGCTCCGGGGCGGCGTCGGAGTTCCCGCCGTGCCCCTCCCGAGAGAGCCGAGGCTGGGCGGCCCCGGGCGGAGCAGGAGGAGGAGCAACACAGCCCCCCTCCGCCCCTTGTGAAGATACTCGGCCGGCCCAACCTGTTTAGCCCTGGGATAGGAGACCACCAAGCGATCCCAGGGCTGCAAACTCCTGGGCAGAGCTAGTGGGGTGGCGCTGCTTCCTCGCTGGAAGCAAACGTCCCTTCCTTAGTCACCCGCCCTGCAAATTAGGCTGCCTTCAGTGTGAATCTCATCAGACGGAGGGCGCTGTGAAGGAACTTGCTTTTGCCTGGCTCTGCACCAGCGCCAACGGGGGGGGGGGGCATTCCCCGGAAAGGAGGGACCTACCGCCCTGGGACACCATTTTTATTAGCTTTATAAATAACTCAAGGGTGCACACTATTCCTTTCCTCTGACTTTTGCCTCAACGACAATCCTGCGAGGTGGGTTGGGCTAAGAGAGAATGTCTGGCACAAAGTCAGCTTTCATGCCTAAGGCGGGATTAGAAATCACCATCTCCTGGTGATTGGCCCAAAGTCACCTGGCTAGCTTTCATCCCTAAGGCAGGACTAGAACTCGCCATCTCCTGGTGATTGGCCCAAAGTCACCCGGCCAGCTTTCATGCCTAAGGCGGGACTAGAACTCACCGTCTCCTGGTGATTGGCCCAAAGTCACTCAGCCAGCTTTAGTGCCTAAGGCGGGACTAGAACTCACCATCTCCTAGTAACTAGCACAAAGTCACCTGGCCAGCTTTCATGCTTACGGCATAACTAGAACTCCTGTCTCTTGGTGATTGTCCCGCCCAGCTGGCTTTCGTGGCTCAGCTGGAACTAGAACTCACCGTCTCCTGGTTTCCAACTGACGCCTTGACCATTAGACCAAGCTGGCTCATTTTGCCCCTTGCAGGGACAGTCCTGTGAATCCCTCATGATGGCAGCCATGTGGTCAAGCTGAGCCGTCTGGGACCTGCTCACCTTCTCGAGCGGAAAACCGGAACTTGTGTAAGCCTGGACAATGTCACAGAAGCACCCAACGCAAAGAAGGCAGAAGGATTGTGCCTCTTGGGCCAGGGTTGGCAGGGGTTGCCCAGAGTGGCTGGTGACCTCCTTCCAGCCTCAGTGCCCTGAGCAAATGGAAGTGGATAGAGCTGGTGCCAGCTGGGTGACCGCTGCTTCTGCTCCACCCACTGCTGGACACTGCTAGCTTTCTTCAGAAAAGTTGCCCCCCCCCTTTGGAGAGCCACAGGAGGTCTGCAAGGCCGCCCACCCTCCATGAAAGCACAGGTGGGCAACTTTACACCCTGTGGACTTCAACTCCCAGAATTCCTGAGCCAGCACAGAATTCTGGGAGGTGAAGTCCACAAGCCATAAAGTTGCCTTACGTCGCCCAGCCCTGCATTAAAGGCAGTGTAAATACAGGCAGTGCTCGACTTAACAGTTCATTTAAGTGGCCGTTCAATTTACAACGTCACTGAAAAAAAGGGACTTAGGACCATTTTTCACACTTACAACTGTGGCAGGTCACGTGATCAAAGCTCAGACACTTGGCAATCGACTCGTAGTTACGATGGTTGCAGTTTCCCGGGGTCACGTGATCCCCTTTCGTGACGTCCTTTGAAGCCAATAGGAAAGCCGGAATCACTTAACCACCGTGTTGGTAACTTAAAACAACTGCAGCAATTGGGGCAAGGAAAGTCGTAAAAATGGCAAAATTCACTTAGCAACGGAAACCTCGGGCTCTCTTGAGGTCTTAAGGACTAAACCTGTTGCCGTTCCCAGATCTTTCGCCCCGGGAACTCCGCCTTCAGTAATGCAAAGTCTTTTATTGTGCTTTTTTTTTTGGTTTGTTTAAAGACAGTGTGACAAATGCAAAAACTGTGTCGGCTTACCCGACTCGGTTGCCATGCGGTGGCGTTTTCCCGCGGTTGAAGGCCGCCGCTATTTAAGCCTGGCTTTGTTGAGGTTTCTAAGCTGGCTGCCCAACCTCAGAAGTTCACATTACCAAAACAAAAAAGAAAGAAGAAAGAAAGGAAAAGCCTTCGGGAGGGGTTGTGGGGGTAAGTTGTTGTGTTTATTGTTGCTTATTCATGCGCTGTGTCGAAGGGAGGCGTTGCTGGGCTGCCTTTCTTCAGCTCAGCTCTGCGCTTCTTTCTCCGGGTTACGGACGAAGAGGAACGTCGTAAAGGTGGATGGCATCGCTGGCCATTTTGAAAAGCTTTTTGAGTGCTTTTTTAAAAAATAATAATAATAATAATCCACCTGGACAATATTTGCTGAGGGGGACGGGGAGGGGGTGTAGGGAACAGAGCAGGAATTGATCTTCTACTTCAGGAGCCTTCCAACTTGGCCCTTTTATGACTTGTGGACTTCAACTCCCAGAATTCCTCAGGCAGCATGCCTGGCTGAGGAATTCTGGGAGTTGAAGTCCACATGTCATCAAAGGGCCATAGTTCCCTCATGCTGGCTGAGGAATTCTGGGAGTTAAAGTCCACAAGTCATCAAAGGGTCCTAGTTCCCTCACGCTGGCTGAGGAATTCTGGGAGTTGAAGTCCAGCCATCTTTAAATGGTTAGGACAGGGGGGTCTTCAAACTTGGCCCTTTTATGACTGGAATTCTGGGAGTTGAAGTCCACAAGTTAACAAAGGGCCAAGTTCGAAGACCCCTGACCTTGACATACGACCACAGCTGAACCTCAAATGTCTGTTGTAAAGCGAGACATTTCTGAGATGAATCTTGCCCCCATTTTATGACCTTCCTTGTCACGGTTGGTAAGTCAGTCACTGCGGTTAGTAAGTCGATCACCGGTTGCTAAGTGAATCTTCCCACTGACTTGGATTGTCAGACGGTCGCAAAAAGGGATCACGTGACCTCCCCCAAGATGCCACGACTGTCATAAATACGAGTCACTTGCCCAGTGCCCGAGTTTTGATCACGTGACCATGGGGAGGCTGCAGCAGTCATTAAGTGTGAAAAACAGCCCTCAGTCACTTTCTTCAGGGCCGTTGTAAATTTGAACGGTCACTAAATGAACCGTTGTAAGCCAAGGACTTCCTGTACATAGAGTATAAATTCTTTTCAGGGGTCCAATTTGATCTGGTTTAATTGGAGCACAATGTTCTCTGAATGTACTGGAGCACTTCTATTTTTGTGACAACATTTATTCCTCCTTGCTCCTAAAAGCCAGTTTGGGGTTGGGACCGAGGCAAACTGGGCAGCTGTGAGTTCTAGTTCCTCAGCCAGCGTGAGAGAACTACGACCCTTTGATGACTGGTGGACTTCAACTCCCAGAATTCCTCAGCCAACATGAGGGAAATATGGCTCTTTTGTGACTTGTGGACTTCATCTCCCAGAATTATTATTATTATTGATCATCGCACAGTCAGCCAGATGTTCAGACTGGATTTGGCATTTTGTCTCCCTATCGAGTCCTTACCCAGGACCTGGGATAGGCAGATGTGGATGTTTGATGGTATTACAGGTATCGTCGCAGGATGGAAGCAGTTCCTAGTAAGGCTGCCTTTTGCAATTGACTAATAGCGAATTTGTCAATGCCGATGGTGTTCAAGTGGTGCTCCAGTTGTTTTGGGATTGCACCCAAGGAGCCTATTACTATATTATTATTGTTGTTGTTGTTGTTGTTGTTATTATTATTATTATTATTAATGAAGAGAAGGACAAGGGGGGACATGATAGCAGTATTCCAATATCTCAGGGGCTGCCCCAAAGAAGAGGGAATTAAGCTATCCTCCAAAGCACCTGAAGGCAGGACAAGAAGCAACAGGTGGAAACTAATCAAGGAGAGAAGCAACCTAGAACTAAGGAGAAACTTCCTGACAGTGAGAACAATTAATCAGTGGAACAGCTTGCCTCCAGAAGCAGTGAATGCTCCAACACTGGAAGTTTTTAAGAAGAGACTGGACAGCCATTTGTCCGAAATGGTGTAGGGTTTCCTGCCTGTGCAGGGGGTTGGACTAGATGACCTCCAAGGTCCCTTCCAACTTTACTATTATTATTATTATTATTATGGATCATCGCACAGTCAGCCAGATGTTCAGACTGGATTTGGCATTTTGTCTACCTATCGAGTCCTTACCCAGGGCCTGGAATAGGCAGATGTGGATGTTTGATGGTATTACAGATATCGTCGCAGGTTACTACAAATACTTGGGTATCCTTCAAGCTGACAACATCAAGCACACTGAAATCAAGAAAAAGATTAGAGGTGAATACATCAAGAGAGTGAAGAAGATCTTAAAATCCAAACTCAATGGAGGAAATACCATAAAGGCAATCAACACCTGGGCAATCCCAGTCATTAGGTACACAGCTGGAATAGTGGACTGGACTCAAGCAGAACTAAAAGCAATGGATAGGCAGACCAGAAAAATAATGACAATGAATCATGCCCTTCATCCACGCAGTGACATTGATAGACTTTATCTACCAAGGCAAATAGGTGGGCGTGGAATGCTACAAGTACATCAGATGGTTGAAGAAGAAAAAATGGCTTTGGAAGAATATCTGAAGAACACTGATGAAGATGCACTGAAATTAGTATATCAGGAAGGCTTACTGACTACTGGAGAGACCAAACTGGCCTACAAGAAAGACCAAATGAAGAACAGAAGAGAGGCGTGGGAAGACAAAGCACTACATGGCCAATACATGAAAAAAATAGCTGGGAAAGCAGATAATAATAAAACCTGGCAATGGCTAAGAGCAGGAAAATTGAAGAAAGAGACCGAGGGACTAATTCTGGCTGCACAAGACCAAGCCTTAAGGACAAATGCATACAAAGTCAAAATTGAGAAGACAGCAACAGACAGTAAGTGCCGCCTATGCAAAGAAGCTGAAGAAACAGTGGACCACTTGGTAAGCTGTTGCAAGAAGATTGCACAAACTGATTACAAGCAGCGGCATGACAAAGTAGCAGCAATGGTGCATTGGAAGATCTGCAAAAAATATCATTTTCCTGTAAGCAAAAACTGGTGGGATCATAAAATAGAGAAAGTCATAGAAAATGATAAAATTAAACTGCTCTGGGACTTCAGAATTCAAACAGACAAGCACCTGCAACATAACACCCCAGACTTAACAATTGTCGATAAGAAAGACAAAAAAGTCTGGATAGTGGACGTGGCAGTGCCTGGAGACAGCAGAATAGAAGAGAAAGAACTGGAGAAGATAACAAAATACAAAGACCTACAAATAGAAATAGAAAGACTGTGGCAAAAGCAAGCAAGGGTAGTACCAATAGTCATAGGCTCCTTGGGCGCAATCCCAAAACAACTGGAGCACCACTTGAACACCAATGGCATTGACAAATTCGCTATTAGTCAATTGCAAAAGGCGGCCTTATTATTATTATTATTATTATTATTATTATTATTATTATTGTTATTATGTTTCAGTCTTCAATCTTTAATCATCTTAGCTGCTCTTCTTTGCACTTTTTCCAAAATCTCAACCTCTTCTTTGTAATCTGTGGGTGACCCAAACTGGGTGCAGGATTCCAGATGTGGCCTTTATAAGTATCGGTGGAATAAACCGACCCCCCCCCCGTCTGCCTCTCTGCCAGCAATGAGTCTCCTCTCTAATGCCTTGAAGGGCTTTCAAATTCTCCCCCCCCTTCAAAGCCCCCCACTTTCTGAATTGCTCCGCTTCTTGGGATGTTGAGGTGGGTGGGGGGTTCCTGGCTGTTTTGTTCCCCTGGCAAGGCTGCCCTCTCTGACGCGGATGCCCCCTCGACCCACAGAAGGGGCTTGTCGTCCCACAGACTCCCGGCTTTGGAGTCAAGGCCGGGGGGCGAAAGGGCCCCCCAGTTCCCATTGAAGAAAGGCTGGGGATGACGTCAAGGCCGGGGGGCTGAATGGCTCGTTGGCCGAGGAATCCTTCCTCCCGTGCCAGGAATGTGCCCTGTGACCCCCCCTTTCTCTTGAGAGCCCCCCCCCAGCTCTTGCCCCCCCCCCGGGACCCTGCAAAGATCCAGGGCTGGGGGGCTTCAGTTGAGGGGGACAGGGAGACAGGGAGGGGAGGGGCTGGGCAGCCCCCGGCACAGACAGGCCGGTCTCTTGTCTGGAAGGGGGGCTTTCCCCCCCACACTGCCAGCCCCCTTTCTACCCCCCCGCTAGGCTTGCAGTGGTGCTGAAAAAGAGACTTATGACCATTTTTCACACTTATATGACTGTTTCTGCAGCCTCCCCCCCCCCCCCGCGTGGTCAAAATTCAGGTGCTTGGCAACTGACTCCTGTTTATGGCAGTTGCAATGTCCCTTTTTTGTGTGTGTGTTTGTGTGTGTGTGTGTGTGAGAGAGAGAGAGAGAGAGAGAGCTAACGATCCCCTCTGGCGACCTTCCGACAAGCGAAATCAATGGGGGAACCGGGTTCGCTTAAGAAGCGGGTCACTTTCTTAAGAACCGCTTAACGAGCGTGGCAAGGAAAGTCGCGAAACAGGGCAGGGTTCACTTAGTGGCCGACTCGCTTAGCGACGGGAAATGTTGGGCTCAGTTGTGGTCGCGAGTCGAGGACGACCTGTACGTTCATTTTATCTCCAAAGCCAAGCTGAGAGGGATGGTTTCTTTCCTCCCCGTTCCTTCCTTCCTTCCCCTTCCCTTCTCTTCCTTCCTCCCTTCCTTCCTTCCGTCTTCTTCCTCCCTCTCTTCCTCCTTTCCCTTCCTTTCTCTTCCTTCCTTCCTGCCCTCCTTCCTTCTTCTTCCTTCCTTCCCCTTCCTTTCCCTTCCTTCCTTCCTTCCTTCCTTCCATCTTCTTCCTTCCCCTTCCTCCCTCCCTTCCTTTTTTCCCCTTCCTTCCTTCCTTCCTTCCTTCCTTCCTTCCTTCCTTCCTTCCTTCCTTCTTCTTCCTCCCTCCCTTCCTTCTTTCCCCTTCCTTCCCTTCTCTTCTTTCCTTCCTTGTCTTCCTTCTTTCTCCCTCCCTCCCTCCCTCCCTCCCTCCCTCCCTCCCTCCCTTTCTTTCTTTCTTTCTTTCTTTCTTTCTTTCTTTCTTTCTTTCTTTCTTTCTTCCTTTCTCTTTCCACCCTCCCTTCCTGTTGCTTTGTCCCCTTTTGCCCATAACTCACTCCCTGGCTGATTCACGGGGGGGGGGGGGCGAACCCCCTCCCCAGACCCGGCCCTCCCCAGCACACCGTTGCCAGGGGACATGGGGGGGGTGTCGAGCACCCCTATAAAGCTCCAGCGAGAGGCCTGGGGAAGCCAGAGGCAAATCCCCTTCGCCCCTTCGCCCTTCCTCCCTGGACCAAGGCAGTCTACCTGCTGGATACCCCCAGGCACCATGGACCCCCAGCCTCTCCTCCTCTTCCTCTGCCTCCTCCTGCCAGCTTCCCAGAGCCCTGTCCGCTCTCCCCAGGTAAGGGCACCCTTGCAGGGCACGGGGGTCCTTCGGGGGGGCTGTGGCTGATGGTCACCCCTGTCACTGCCCCGACATCTTCCTTTCTTCAACAGCTGATGCTAGAAATCCTCGGCTCGGACCTCGCCATTCTGCTGTCGGGACGTGAAGCGGGGGACCCTTCGCCCCCCCTCGGCCCCTCGGCCCCACCCTTAGGTGGGCAGCCTCCCCCCAGGCCCCCGACTCTGCCCCCCGAGCACCCCTGGCTTCCCCTCCTCCAGGAGCTGGCCAGGACCCAGCCACGGAGGCTCCGAGGACGGGCCCAGAAGGCGGCCCAGCTGGGCTGCTTCGGCATCAAGCTGGACCGGATCGGCACCTTCAGCGGCCTCGGATGCTGAGAGTAAGCGGGCAGGGTGGGGACCACTGGGACCCCCAAAGCCGGTCTTTCGGGATGGGGGAGGGGGCTGGGGCTTTGCCGGGCAGCCCTGGACCCACAGGAGCTGGGCCAGCCTGCCGTGGTGCCCCTCCGGTCTCCTCTGCCAGCTCCGAGGGGCCTGGCCGTGGTTCGGCCCGTCCTCAGAGCCCGTCCTCCCTCTCCTGGGGGTCCTTCGGGCTCCAGCTGTGCAGAAGGCAGGGGCTCCTGGGTGGGGAGAACCCCCCAAATGAACACTGACCCAGGTGTGTGTGTTTTGTGCAATCCCCCTTCTGGCTTCTTGTGTGGTGAGGACGTCTAACTCTGCCCTTCTCCAAAGGTTTGCAGGGAGGAAGGAGGGAGGGAGGAAGGATGGAAGGAAGGAAGGAAAAGGAAAAAGATGGGATGGATGGATGGATGGGAAGGGAAGGGAAGGAAGGAAGGAGGGAGGAAGGAAAGAAAGAAAGAAGGGAAAAGATGGGATGAATGGATGGGAAGGAAGGAAGGAGGGAGGAAGAGGGAGGAAAGAAAGAAAGAAAAAAAGAAAGAAAGAAAGAAAGAGAAAGAAGGAAAAAGATGGGATGGATGGATGGATGGATGGATGGGAAGGAAGGAAGGAGGGAGGGAGGGAGGAAGGAAGGAAAGAAGGAAAAAGATGGGATGGATGGGTGGGTGGATGGGAAGGAAGAAAGGAAGGAGGGAGGGAGGGAAGAAAGGAGGAAAAAGATGGGATGGATGGATGGATGAGAAGGAAGAAAGGAAGGAGGGAGGGAAGAAAAAAAGAAGGAAAAAGATGGGATGGATGGATGGGAAGGAAGGAAGGAAGAAAGGAGGAAGGAAGGAAAGAAAAGGAAAAAGGAAAAAGATGGGATGGCTGGATGGATGGAAGGGAAAGAAGGGAGGGAGGGAGGAAAAAAGAAGGGAAAAGGAAAAAGATGGGACGGATGGGAAGGAAGGAAGGAAGGAAGGAGCAGAAGAGGGAAGATGAAGAGGAGGAGGACTGAGGGGTCCTTGGTGCTGTCTCAGCTTGATGGTTTCCTTGCAGACGTTTCATGACCCAACTAGGGAACATCATCAGTGCTAGTCCTGATGTTTGTTCCCTAGTTTGGATCATGAAACATCTGCAAGAAAACAACTAAGCATGCCATAGTCTTCCTCCTCCTCCTCATCCCCCCTGTAAACTCCATTCCCTTCTAGCGCTGATGATGTTCCCTAGTTGGGTCATGAAACGTCTGCAAGAACCCCCCCCCCAAGCTCAGAGAGCACCAAGGACCCCTCTGCAATACTGTGTGTCTTGACCACTTGGATTCCTTGACCCTTCCTTGCAGTCCCCCTTCAGCAGGTTAAATATGGAAACACTTCGCTGCCAACTTTTTCCTATGTCTCCTTCACTCCCTGGTTCTGGATCCCATCCAGAGCTGACCCGATTGGCTTTCTCAGGATCCACCAGGGTGGGACCGGGGGTTTCAGAGGGCGGCCCAAGAGGGGAGCAGCCCTGCCGGATGGAAACTTGGGACAGGCGGATCCCAAACCCTTTGGAAAGTGTCGCCGTCCAGCTTTTTCCCTTTGCAAATTGTTCTCTTTTTTTCCACCAAACCACCCATATTTATTTATCCATCCTGTATTTACCGAACAGGCCGATTCAGCCTGTGGAGGTCCCGAGTGCCGTCTTGCATCCTTCCCCTGGGACCGATAGGAGCCGTGGGGCCGGGACCCAGATTGCCACCTTCCTGTTTGTGACGAGGCCTCTCTGGGGCTGAAGGATTTCTTGGAGACAAAAGCCCACCCAAGGCTTGCAAGGATGTCGCTTGGCTAGTTCCTCTGGGCTGCTGGCCCTGATCCCCTGCCAAGACCCCTCACCCTTTTCATTGTCGCTGTCCGAGATAAAACCCAACACGCCTTTTTAGCTCCTGGAACAAATTCTCATTTCTAACTCAATAAAAGTCTTTTTTTTTTCTGTCCGATTGCCTCCTTTCCAATTGCAAAGGTCACCTGGGGGTATCAAACGGCTGGCACCGTTGCACAAAGTCTGGCGCGCTTGCAGGGGTGTGTGTGTGTGTATGTGTGTTTCCGCCCATGCAACCTATAATGTACGGCTTAGAGGGATAGGCGAGCCCAGCCAGCTGTGGCTGGTTCAACAAGCCACGGTTAAACAAACTAGGATGGAAGGTGAAGCTGCATTGACTTAACGCCTAATCAAAGTTTAGCCTGACGCGCAACTCAAAATCCAGGAATATGGCTGACGGTGGATATGCTGGCATTCTGTTCAATAACCCGGCCCCCTAAGGATTTGAGTGGGTGGGAGGGGCTTCTTGTTAGAGAAACGGGCACGGATGCATTGCCTCTGGCAGCATACAGAGATTTTTTTTTCCTCCACCCATCCTCCCCATCTGGAAGGGCAAACTTGTTCTTAACAGAACAATAACAGAATATATTCTATTATTATTACAATAACAAAATATATTCTATTATTCTGTTAAAACTCAGGATTGCCCCTCTACGACAAAAAATAATACAAAATCTATATGGCATATAGGGTTTCCTGCCTGAGCAGGGGGTTGGACTAGATGACCTCCAAGATCCCTTCCAATTTTATGATTATTTATTTATTATCATTATTATCTCTATCCCTGTTATATCACGGTTGGGCCACAAGGTGTCGCTGTTCCCTGCAAAAGTTCATGTCTTTTCACCTCTGAATTTTAAGAGTATTTTTTCAACCTCCGTAACTTTGAAGGTGGGTGGACTTCAACTCCCAGAATTCCCCCAGCTGGCTAGGGTTAGGGCTGGCTGGGTAAGAAGACGGGGGGGGGGGGGAGAGAAAGTGTCCCCCCTTTCCAGTCAGTCACAACTTCGAATGGATCACTAAGCTAGAGGTTGTAAAGAGAGGACTTCCAGTATGCCAGCATCCCCCCCCCCCCCGGAAAGGTGGGATTTCTCTCTGTTGGGTCAGCCTGGAGGTCGGATCACAACACCCATCCTCCCCAGCTGGAATCCCTGCTCATCTGGGCTTATCTGGACTCAGAGAGAATTTCATGGCTCTTGGAATGTTTTAACTTGCTTCCATTCTCTGAATAGGTTGGATGTTTTCGTAGGTAGATATTAATTAGACGCTGGTGGAATCAGGAGGGTAGAGGGAAAAAAGCATAATTGGTGAGTCTCTACCTTGGTGCAGGGAAGCAGAGCAGGGGTCTTCAAACTTGTGGACTTCAACTCCCAGAATTCCTCAGCCAGCGTGAGGGAACTAGGACCCTTTTGTGACTCATGGACTTCAACTCCCAGAATTCCTCAGCCAACATGAGGGAAATATGGCCCTTTCGTGACTTGTGGACTTCAACTCCCAGAATTCCTCAGCCTGCATGCCTGGCTGAGGAATTCTGGGAGTTGAAGTCCACAAATCATCAAAAGCCAAGTTTGAAAACCCCTGATAGAGACACAATTACATTAATGGCCTTTCCTGGCTCTTGCTTTACCTGGCTGGCCTTGGAAGTATTTTTCAGATCTTTTAAAAGGGGAAGAGGATGGCAGCAACACCACCTGTCTTTTGTCTAGACATCAGTAGCCATGGCAAGTTACACCCCCAAGGGGGCAGCCATTTTGTGAGCGTTCCCACAGCATCCTCCCAATACTTCTCTTCCATTCTCCAGGGCTTGGCCTAATCTCCCTTTGCAAACCAAGTTTAATATCCTTTTTTAAAAAAAGATTCTGTTTATTAAACAAAAAAAAGGATAATTAAAAAAAATTAAATTAGCACTTTTTCCCGGGGGAGCAGCTTCCAATCCCCCCCCCACTCATCTGCCTGTTTATCTCTGCTCTGCCCCCCCCCCCTTTGATATGAAGGCCAGTGACAGACAGGAAAGCCCTTCAATTTTGGGGAGCCCTTGGGGCTCCTCACATTGCATCCAGAGCCTCCCCCCCCCCAAAAAAAAGTTCCATCCAGAGATCGGGAAATTTCAAACTTTTGCAATTCCAAGGGAGGATGTGCCTTAGCAGTGATGTTCGTGTGTTTGGCAAAGGAAGGGGGGCCATCCTGAAACCTAGCCCCCCCCCCAAATCTCCCGCCAGTCATCCCCAGGCCCCCCACCCCTCAGCAGCCCCTTCCCCTCAATTTTGGCTTAGAAGATACACAATTTGTTTTAATGAAAAGCAATATATAGGACCACCTTCAATATGAAGGCTAAAGAACTGTTATAAAGCCAGCCCCTTGGCTCCGATCCTGCGGTGACCCCCGGGGGTCTCCAGGGGCTGAAGGGAGCCCCCAACCCCTCTTCTCCGAGGGCGTCTCCCACAGGACTTCACCACTGGGGGCAGCGTTGCTGATTGTCACCGAGGGCCAGGCCTGCTTTGCCTATCCAGTCCCGGGTTTCCCACAACTTCGGCTGCCCCCCTTGTGTGGGCAGGGTCTGCACATCCCACCTTCCAAAGCTTCCGGTTCTTTGGCTTCCTGGTCCCAGGGGCGGGGAGGGAGGGAGCACCGGCTGCTCACCCAGACCTCCCAGCTGCATCTCCTCCTTGCGCAGAAGAGGTGCTGGGTTCAAGTCTCGCTTCATGTTACTAGGAGTCAGCAGGAGGGACAGGGTGTCTCATCTCCCTTCGAGGCTGGGGGAAGTGGGGAGGGTGAGTTTCCCCATCTGTGTTCCTCCAACAGACCCCCCCCCCAAGAGGAGGTTTTCTACCTTCCCCACTTCTGCAGGCCCCCCATAAACGTGATTCCCCCACAGCTGGGGGAGGGGGCACCGGCTGGGAAGAGCTGGTCCTCTTTGGCATGATATCCCTCGGAGCTCGGTGAGGGAGGGGCCCGGTTCGTGGCCTCGGTCCTGGGGGGTCTCCCCAATTTCCCTGCCACGAAGCTGGCGGGAAAGGCAACTTTCCAAGGGGGTCAGTCTGGGACTTCAGACTTCCCCAAAGTGGGGAAGGGGTGAATATATGGGGAGGGGGCAGCGAGAAGAGCAGAGGAGACGGGCGCTGACGGGCGAGTCGAGAAGAGGCGTCTCCCCTCCCCGGCCAGTTCTTGGCTGCCCCCTCCTCCAAAAAGAAGTCAACAAGTCAAGAGACGGGCAAATCGCTGCTTCTCTGGCCAAGTGCCGGTCAGTACGGTCCCGCTTTGGCCGCTGTGGAGGTGCCAGCCTTGCCCTGGACGCGCATGTTCTGGACACTGGACAAGATCTTCTTCTGATGTCCCGCCAAGGTCACGCCGATTCTGAGCAGGTCCCTGAGGAGGGAAACCGAGGGAGGGGAGGGGGTGAGGGGAGTCCTCGTTCTGCCTTTCCGCCTCCCCTTCCCTCCGGACCCCCCCCCGGCACTCACTCGGACGAGAGTTGGCTGACCAGCTCGAAGGAGGTGAAGCCGGCGTTGGCGAAGCTGTCTTCGTAGCGGCCCATCTTGAGGGCGCGCAGCCAGTCGCTGACCGAGCCGAAGGAGGAGTAATGGGGCAGCCGCTGGTCCAGCAGAGGGTGGGACGGCCTGCAGGGGGGAGTGGCAGGTCATCAGCAGCCGGTCAGGCTCACAAGGGGATGGGAGGGGGGGTCTCACATAGGAGAACCCCCAACACAGGGGTGAATCCTGGGCAGGTGACTTCAGCTCCCAGAATTCCCCCGCCGGCAAGGGTTGACAAGAACAAATGTGGCTAGACTACTTTATCACATTTTTGGATTGGAAAACTTTCTTGATAGATGGAGGGAATGCAGTAGACGTAATATACCTTGAGTTCCGCAAAGTGAAAAAAAAAACGGCTGGCTGGGGAATTCTGGGTGTTGAAGTCCACTAGACCTTGTTTGAAATGGTATATAGGTTCTCTTGCTTGAGCAGGGGGCTGGATTAGAAGACCTCTAAGGTCCCTTCCAGTTTCTATTTTGTTCTGTTCTTTCTATTCTATTCTATTCTATTCTTTCATATTTCTGTTCTATTCTATTCTAATTTCTATTCTATTCTGTATTTTATTATTCTATTCTATTCTATTCTATTCTTTCATATTTCTGTTCTATTCTATTCTATTCTATTTCTATTCTATTCTAATTTCTATTGCATTCTAATTTCTATTCTATTCTTCATATTTCTGTTCTATTCTATTCTATTCTATTCTATTCTATTCTATTCTATTCTATTCTATTCTATTCTATTCTATTCTATTCTTCATTCCTATATTCTATTCCATTCCATTCTATTCTATTCTTCATATTTCTATTCTGTTCTATTCTAATTTCTATTCTATTCTGTATTTTATTATTCTATTCTATTCTATATTTTATTATTCTATTCTATTCTATTTTATTCTTCATATTTCTATTCTGTTCTGTTCTATTCTAATTTCTATTCTATTCTATTCTGTATTTTATTATTCTATTATGTTCTATATTTTATTATTCTATTCTATTCTATTCTATTCTTCATATTTCTATTCTGTTTTGTTCTGTTCTATTCTATTCTATTCTTCATATTTCTATTCTGTTCTGTTCTATTCTATTCTAATTTCTATTCTATTCTGTATTTTATTATTCTAGTCTATTCTATATTTTATTATGCTATGCTATGCTATGCTATGCTATGCTATTCTATTCTATTCTATTCTATTCTATTCTATTCTACTCTACTCTACTCTACTCTACTCTACTCTACTCTACTCTACTCTACTCTACTCTACTCTACTCCACTCCACTCCACTCCACTCCACTCCACTCCACTCCACTTCCTATTCCTACTGTCTTAAAGTGGCCAAGGTCGGACACCCTACTTTTTAAGCCGTCCATTGGTCACCTCAGCTTTTCCCTGTGTTCATATGAAACAACCCCCTTTTTCCAAAGCCACAAAGTTGATGGGCACAGCGAGGGCACACCCCTGGGCCCTACCCACCTCCAGATGTCCCCGAAGAGGCTCCTGCCTGCACAGCTCAAGTGCCAGGCCGTATGTGTGTGTGTGTTTGTGTGTATGTGTGTGTGTGTGTGTCCCACTTACCCTCCGTTTCCCCGCGAGACAATCTTGAGGCTGGCCGGGTTCCGGATCAGCTTATCCAGGGAGCTGACGATCTGGGCGAAGCGAGGCCGGGCGTTGCGGTCCCTCTGCCAGCAGTCCAGCATCAGCTGGTGCAGGGAGGTGGGGCAGTCCGTGGGGGGCGGCAGGCGGTAGTCCTGCTCGATGGCGTTGATCACCTGGGGGAGGGGAGGGAAGCGCTGCGGGTGAAGGAGGGGCGGGGCGAGGGGGGGTCCTCCGCCGAGGGGGGAAATCGGAGTCCGCGGGAAAAATCACAACATCCAGGCAGCAGAGAAGATAAATAAAAGGTGGTCCTTGACTTACGACCACACCACTGAGCCCAAAGTTCCCGTCGCTAAGTGAGACGGCTGTTAAGTGAGTTTTGCCCCATTTTACAACCCTGCCACCGTTAATTGGATCACTGCAGTTGTTAAGTTAGTAACACGGTTGTTAAGCGAATCCGGCTTGTCGTGAGGTCGCAAAAGGGGATCACTGCGACCGTCATAAATATAGGTCAGTTGCCAAGCATTTGAATTTTGGCCACGGGGACACTGCAGTGGCCGTAAGTGTGAAAAGGGGCTGTTAAGTCCTTTTCTTCAGCGTCATTTTAACGTCAAACGGTCGTTAAAGTCAAGGACTATCGGGATGGAGCAGGTGGGAAAGGAATGCGGGGAAAAAATACTCCCCCTTTTTCAGATGCCAGAATAACACAACAAAACACAACAAAAATAAGAGACCCGCAAACTGGGTGCAACGCTGCGTGGCACCGAGCATGCAAATGAGATGCAATCTTAAGTGGGCCTGCGGCTGTGTTTTGCGGTGTGTCTTTTCCCGTCCTGCAACAAGCATCCGGCATCCAGACGACCCCGGCCACTCTCCGCAAAACCCCGAGCAGAGTTATGGGATGGGAGTAATAATTAGGTATCGGATGGGAGACCACCCAGCGATTGGGAAGGGGAAGAAATTGCCCAGAAGATGGCCAGCTTTTCAGGGATTGACCTTGCTGCTCTCCAACACTGACACTGGACACCAGGAATTCTACGGGTCAGAGAAATGGCCTGGTCCTTGTTGTGTGAACCAGGTGTGCAAAAGGCACAGGATTCGGAACTCAGCCCTTAAAAGGTGGGTCAAAAGCCCAGCGAAGGATCTGGCGAGGACCATTAAGGTCAGGGATGCCACCAGCCCCTCCCTCCAAATCAGCCGAAGCAAAGCTTGGAGACAGAACAGAGTAACAGGGGGACCTTGGAGGTCTTCTAGTCCAACCCCCCGCTCAAGCAGGAGACCCTACATAACATTCTGAATCAATGGTTGTCTAATCTCGTCTTAAAAGCCTGCAGCCCTGTGGCACCCACAACTTCTGGTGGCAAGTTGTCTCACTGATGATTCTCCCTGTCAGGAAATTAATTTCTCCCGAGTTCTAGGTTGCTTCTCTCCAACCTACAAATAATGGGGAAGGGGAGAGAGAAGCCAGGTGGGGGCATTTGGGGGGCCCAGACCCCTCCCCTAAAGTCAGGCCACTCACATCCTGATTGGACATGTCCCAGTACGGCCTCTCTCCGAAGGACATCACCTCCCACATCACAATGCCGTAACTCCACACGTCGCTGGCGGAGGTGAACTTGCGGAAGGCGATGGCTTCGGGGGCCGTCCAGCGGATCGGGATCTTCCCCCCCTGAGGAAAGAGGGATGGTAGAATTGGGGAGGGGGGGCAGGGAGCACCAGGATCATCTAGTCCAGCCCCCCCTGCAACGGGCAGGGGAGAGGGACCAAACCCCCCCACCCCCCCACCCCCTTGGGTCCGGGGAGCGGAAGAAAGAACGAAGAGACATACCAAAGAGCTGGTGTAGGTTGGATCCGAGGAATTCTCCTCCAGGAAGCGAGACAGCCCGAAGTCGGAAACTTTGCAAACCAGGTTACTGTTGACCAGGATGTTACGGGCGGCCAAGTCGCGGTGCACGTAGCTCATGTCGGAGAGGTAGCGCATCCCGGAGGCGATGCCCCGCAGCATCCCCACCAGCTGGATGGGCGTGAACTGACCGTCGTTCAACTGCGGGGGGGGGCCACAAAGAGGGTCAGGACCCCGAGGTGGGGACGGGTGGGGTTGAAGACCCACCTCAGTGGGATGGGCAGATAGTGGTGGGCTTTCCACCCGGACCCCAGGCTGCTGCTGGGAGGAATAAGATGCGGGATTGCAAAGACCTTCCTAGATTTAGGAGTCTCCACCCGTGGCCACTTTTAGACTGGTGGACTTCACTCCCAGAATTCCCCAGCCAGTCATGGCGTCAGTGACCTCACCAGGGACAGATGTGGGGTAGCTAGCCCCCCCCCCCGTTCTCCCATGCTGGCTAGGGAATTCTGGGAGTTGAAGTCCACGAGTCTTAAAGTGGCCACGGGTGGAGACCCCTGTATCAACCGGAAAGTACCAGGTGGGCCTTTTTGGGGAACGAATCCCAAAAATCCCTTCAGACGACCACTTTAGTCAATGCACGACAGGCCCCCTCCTTTCCTAAGCAAAAAGGAGGGAAGTAGAATAAAATAAAATAACAGCACAAAACTAAACAATGAAATAAAATAATAAAATAAAATAAATTGAATTAAATTAAAATAACATAGAAATAAAATAAAACAAATTAAATTAAAACAAAACAAAATAACAAAATAAAATAAAAATAAAATAAAATAAATAGTAAAATAAAATAAAACTAAAAATAATAAAATAAAAACAAAATAATAAAATAAAATATGAAATAATAAAATAACAAAATAATAACATAATAAAATAAATATTCTATTCTATTCTAAAATAAAATAAAATAATAAATTAAATTGAATTAAAATAAAATAAAATAACATAGAAATAAAATAAAACAAATTAAATTAAATTAAAACAAAACAAAATAACAAAATAAAATAAAACTAAAATAAATAGTAAAATAAAATAAAACTAAAATAAATAGTAAAATAAAATAAAACTAAAATAAAATAATAAAATAAAATATAACATAAAATAAAAACAATAAAATAAAATAAATATTCTAGTCTACTATTATAAAATAAAATAAAATAATAAAATAAAATATAAAGCAAAACATAAAATAAAATTAAACACGAAATACAGAACCCAAAGGGCTTCCCCTCCCCTCCCTCCCCGGGGCTTTCGGGGTCTTCCCCCCCCCCGCTCACCCGCAGGAAGGAGTCCAGGGCACCGTTCTCCATGAACTCCGTGATGATCATGACGGGGACGCTGTTGGTGATGACCCCATCCAGCCGGATGATGTTGGGGTGCTCGAACTGGCCCATGATGCTGGCCTCACTCAGGAACTCCCTCCGCTGCTTCTCCGTGTAGCCTCCCTTCAGGGTCTTGATGGCTACGTAGACCTCCTTCTTCCCCGGCACCTTCAGGAGGCCACGGCAGACTTCCCCAAATTCCCCTGTGAGGGGAGGGGGACGGGCGGAGAGGGAGGGGGCTGCTTAACAATTAAGGAGGGAGGAGTGGGGGGCGGGAGGGGGGGAGCCAGAGGGACGGGCCCGATCCTCACCTGCCCCGATGACCTCCTCGATCTTCACGTAGGAGACGTCGATCTCCTTGGCGAATTCCCGCACGGCCTCGTTGGGGTCCTCATAGGTGAAGGGGTCGATGTAGACTTTGGTACCTGTCCGGAGGTGGGGCAGGGGGGGCCGTTAAGGGGGGAAACCCCCAACGGACCCGACCGATACGGGGTTGTTGTTTTTTTTAGTAGTACAGCTATTCACCGACTTACAAACAGTTCATTTAATGACTGTTCAAAGTTACAACGGCCCTGAAAAAAGGGACTTAGGACCATTCCTCGCACTTATAACCCCTGCAGCACCCCCATGGTCACAATGACCAAAATTCAGATTCTTCACCTCTGACTCATATTTACGACGGTCGCATCTCAGGGGTCGTGCGATCCCCTTTTGCGACCATCTGACGAGCAACGTCAATGGGGGAAGCCGGGTTCGCTTAACGACCGTGTGACCAACTTAGCAAATGCGGCCACTCTCTTAACGACCGTGGCAAGGGAGGTCGTAAAACGGGGCAAAGCCCACTGAACAAATTTCTGGCTTAAACAACAAAAAATTCTGTTCATAAAGCCGAGGAGCGGCCTGTGTTGTGTTTATATTACTAGGTTTTATTTAGCTCTATCTTTTTATTTTGTAAGCCGCGGGGTTGAGATGGGCAGCTAATAAATTTTACAAATAAATAATCTTGCAAATATACTCCCCCCCAGCCCCCTCTCACAATGCCACAGGCATCCCTCCCCACCGCCCGCGAATCTTTGCTCCCTCTCACCGTGCCCAATCAAGTATTGTCCAGGTTTGTCCGAATATTCTTGCTCCCGCGAGGCCGAGGACCCCTGGCGCCTGTCGGAGAAGGCAGAAAAAGGAATGCTTGCCTGAAGCCCCGCCCACTCCCCTTAGCTTCTCCCACAGCCACATCCCCGCACCTCCGTTCAACCGTTACCCTGCTAGCCAATCCTTCGTCCCACCAGCTCATCCCCATCTTCCTCCGTTGTAGACTGCCTTAGATGCCAGAATTCCCAGGCACCTGGCCCCGTTTTTCCCACGCCTTCCCCAGTGCTGGCTAAGCAATTAGGCTCCTCCCACGTTCTCCTGGCCCCCTCCTCCATTTGGGAAGCAGCGCCTTACCGGAGGCAGACCACGGCCACGATCACCACGGCCAAGACGAGGAGGCTACCCAAGGCCGCCGTGCCCACGATGAGGGCCAGCTTCTCCGTGCTGCTCCCCGGCTCTGCCAGGAGGGGGGGCAAAGGGGTCAAAGCCAGCAAGGGATGATGGGAAGGGAACAAAATAAGGTGTGGACAAGGATCCTTCCCCCCAAAACTTGGTGGGCAAAAAGCGCTAGCCCTTTCCTTTCTGTTCCTCTCCTCCATTCACTCATTCCTTTTTTCCTTCCCTTTCTTTTTCCTTTCTTTTACTTTTCTCGTTCTGTTCTTTTCTGGTCATTTTAAAAGGGCTCCACGGCAAACCTATTAAAAACCTCCCGGCTGTGGTGGTCCTAAGGGAAGACATTCTCCGAAATTGCTGCCTCTTTTGGAGGCAAAAAAAAATAAAATAGAAGACCGGGTCTTAATTTTGGAGAAACACGGCAGTTGGGGGGGGGGCACGATCCGTCTGCAATAAAACCACCAGGGGTCCCTCGCTTGCAACCGAGGGGGTCTTACCGGCTCCGTGGGTCTGGAAGGCCTTTTCTGGCCCAAACCCTCCGTAACCGGCCTCCGATCGGGCGCGGACTTGCACAACGTAGACGGATCCTCGACGCAGCCCCGACAGGGTCACCCGGTTCTCGGACGTCTTCACGAACATGGGTCCACCGGCCCCCTGGAAGAGGGCAGATGGGGAGTCAGAGTCAGAGCCCACCCCAGCTTCCCTCCTCTCAGCGCAGGCATGCACATCTGGGCAACGGTTTCGGAGTCCTCTCCTCTCCAACCGCCGTCTCCAAAAACCCCAGGGAAAATTCGCAAAAGTTAGTGGCAAAACTGGACCCGCACTTCTGTTTACACAGGCCCTTTTATTTGGTTCCCCCTGTTCATACTTTAAGGTTTAATGTTTTTTAACTTAAATTTTTTTTATCTGTGTCACCGATAAAAGAGAAGACAGATAGCTCTCCACAACAATTTATTTAGCGACCGTTCAAAAGGCACTGAAAAAAGGACCGTTTTTCACCCTTACGACCGTTGCAGCAGCCCCATGTCGCGTGATCAAAATTCAGACGCTCGGCCACTGACTCACGCTTACGACCGTCACAGTGTCAGGCGATGCCCTTTGGCGACCTGACGAGCAACGGGGGAGGCCAGATTCACTTAACAACCGTGCGACTAAGACTGCAGTGATTCACTTAACAACGTAAAAGGGGGCAAAAGTCACTTAACGACCATCTCGCTTAACAACAGAGATCTGGGACTTGATTGCAGTCGTTAAGTCGAGGGCTGTCTGTATCTGAAGCTCCCTCCTGAGGTAAAAGGCTGCCAGTGCCTCTTCCAAAGCTGCCTCCCTTAACTTAGGGCAGTGGTTCTCAACCTTTTTAATGCCAAGACCCCCCCCCAATCGGTCGTAAGTCGAGGACTACTCAACCGGTCGTAAGTCGAGGACTACTCAACTGGTGCAGCACCGTTGGCAGAATGGGACTTTTGGCGGGTTCAGCAGGGCAGCCTGGATGATTCCTATTGGCTTTGGAAAGCCAATAGAATTAGACTCTATTCAAGAGAGTCTGTTCTATTGGCTTTCAAAAGCCAATAGAATAAAAGGGAGTAGCCCAGGTAAGGAAAAGGGGGAAAAAATGGCGGACTGCGTTGTTGGGCGACCCGTGAAATGGTCATTTGACCCCAAATGGGGTCCCGACCCGCAGGTTGAGAACCACTGATTAGGGAGTGGATTACAAGGGCCGAGACGCCCAGTCCCCTGGCTGAGGATGATGGGAGTCCGTACCCGTCCTCTCGACACCAGCCTTAACCGGCACCTTTTTCCAAGGCCAGGCGCGGAGGGATTGCTTAAAACAGGCATTTATCCCTCTTTTCAGCCCAAACGAGTTTCTGGAGTGGATTACACCGGATCAATCGTCAGGCAGATCCTCTTCAAAGCCGTCTGACTGACCAATTAATCTGTCAGCGCTTTTCAACTTCGAAAACACAAAGGAATTTTTAAAAAGCCAGGAAGGCGGATTATCCAGCCGCAGGTGGGAAGCGCGTCCTCGAAAGGGCCTCGTTCTTCCCGTGGAAAAAAGTACATTTGGCTTCCAAGAAGCGTGACCGCCGGAGGGGGGCTCCTCTCCCCAGAAATATTGGCCGGGGGATTTACTGCTCAACTTAAAAGGGAGACGATGTTCGGCAAAGCCTGGTGTGTGTGTGTCTGTGTCTATGTGTGTAAAAGAAATAATTCGAGTCTACATTTTATGGGCAAATATTGGCAGTTTTGCTCAAGGGGGTACCAAATTGAGGCGAGGACGTAAGGCTGAAGCAACGGGGCGAACTATATATCTGGGCGCGTCTCGCAAAGACCCCTCCTTTGCCCCAAATCCAGAACAAAAGATATGGGGATCCCTTTGCTGCCCTGTTTTAGTCCGTGGAGGTGCAGAAACACAATCCGGAGCCCGCTGGGTTCAGAAAACTGATCCTCAGTGAATAACAGAGTACCGATGACGGGGCATCCACGACCTCTGGAGGCGAGCCTATCCACTGATTATAATAGAACAGTGGTTCTCAACCTTTTTTAATGCCGCGACCCCCAACTGGTCGTAAGTCGAGAACTACTCAACCGGTCGTAAGTCGGGGACTACTCAACTGGTGCAGCACCGTTTGCAGAATGGGACTTTTGGCGGGCTCAGCAGGGCAGAGACAGCCTGGACAATTCCTATTGGCTTTTGAAAACCAATAGAATTGGACTCTATTCAAGAGAGTCTCTTCTATTGGCTTTCAAAAGCCAAGAGAATAAAAGGGAGGAGCACAGCTAAGGAAAAGGGGAAAAAAAATGACGGACTGCGTTGTTTGGCGACCCCCGTGAAATGGTCGTTCGACCCCAAATGGGGTCCCGACCCACAGGTTGAGAACCACTGTAATAGAATGACAGGACTGGAAGGGACCTTGGAGGTCTTCTAGTCCAGCCCCCTGCTGAAGCAGGAGACCCCATACCATTTCAGACCAGTCCAGTCTCTTCTTAAAAACCTCCAGTGATGGAGCACCCAAAATGTCTGGAAGCAAGTTGTTCCAATAATAGAATAACAGAGTTGGATGGGACCTCGGAAGTCATCTAGTCCAACCCTCTGCTCAGTCAGGAAACCCTACACCATTTCGGACAAATGGCTGTCCAGTCTCTTCTTAAAAACTTCCAGTGTCGGAGCATTCACCGCTTCTGGAGGCAGGTGGTTCCACTGGTTAATTGTTCTCTGTCAGGAAGTTTCTCCTTAGTTCTAGGTTGCTTCTCTCCTTGATGAGTTTCCATCCGTTGCTTCTTATCCTGCTTCAGGTGCTTTGGAGAATAACTTGACTTCCTCTTCTTTGGGGCAGCCCCTGAGATATTGGAACGCTGCTATCATGTCCCCCCTCATCCTTCTCTTCATTAAACTGGACATACCCAATTCCAGCAACCGTTCCTTATATGCTTTAGCCTCCAGTCCCCTAATCATCTTTGTTGCTCTCCTCTGCACTCTTTCTAGAGTCTCAACACATTTTTACATTGTGGTGACCAAAACTGGATGCAGGATTCCAAGTGTGGCCTTACCAAGGCCTTGTAAAATGGTATTAACCCTTCACCTGATCCTGATTCTATCCCTCTGTTAATGCAGCCCAGCACTGTGTTGGCTTTTTTGGCAGCTGCAGCACATGGCTGGCTCCTATTTAAGTGATTGTCCACTAGGACTCTGAGGTCCCTCTCACAGTTACTACTATTGAGCAAGGTTCTAGGTTGATTCTCTCCTTGGTTAGTTTCCACCCATTGCTTCTTGTCCTGCCTTCTGGTGCTTTGGAGAATACGTTGACCCCCCCTTTTTCTTTGGGGCAGCCCCTCAAATAGTGGAAAACTGCTATCATGTCACCCCTGTCATGTCCTTCTTTTCCTTAAGCTAGACACACCCAATTCCTGCAACCGTTCTTCATGTGTTTTGGCCTTCGGTTCCCCCAATCATCTTTGTTGCTCTTCTCTGCACTTCTTCCAGAATCTCGACATCTTTTTTATATTGTGGTGATCAAAAGCAGTACTGCAGTATCTGAGGGGCTGCCACAAGGCAGAGGGGGCCAGGTTGTTCACCGAAGCACCAGAGGGAAGGATGAGAAACGATGGTTGGAAACTGACCAAAGAGAGAAGCAACCTGGAATTAAGGAGAAACTTTCTGGCAGTGAGGACAATCAACCAGTGGAACAGCTTGCCACCAGAAATTGTGGGTGCTCCATCCCTGGAGGCTTTAAAGAAGAGATTAGAAAATCACCTGCCTGAGATGGTGTAGGTTCTCCTGCTTGAGCAAGGGGCTGGACTAGAAGACCTCCAAGGTCCCTTCCAGCTCTATTCTGTTCTAAAACTGGATGCCATATTCCAAGGGCGGTCAAAAAAGGGAAGTCAAATTTAACTTCTCCTATTTTTGATACATTTTTCAGCATTCAACCAGGGTGGGCTTTTTATGTTTAATGTCCCTTTGAATGACAGATTCGTCATTTGTTTTTCATTTTGTACACCCATTGGTTTGGGTTTTTTTTTTTTTATTTTATTATTAACGTCTGGTCGTCGTTCGTTTTGTTTCTTTTTTTTTCTTTCTTTTGTATTTTAAGCCTGGGGAAAAAAATTAATAAAAGTTTGCAAGAAAAAAAAACAACACTTACCTTCTCGTAATACTTGACCTCGTAATCCAAGATGTTGCCCGTTGGTGGCTGGACGAGTGGCCAGGCCAAGGTGACCCCGCTGGGGCTGACCGAGGTTTGCTGGATGTCGGACACCGGCTGGGGGACTGGCCAGAGAAAAAAGGAGTAAGGAGGGAGAGCTTAGACCAGTGTTTCTCAACCTTGACAATTTTAAGGCATGTGGACTTCAACTCCCAGAATTCCACAGCCAGCGTTGCTGGCTGTGGAATTCTGGGAGTTGAAGTCCACATGCCTTAAAATTGTCAAGGTTGAGAAACACTGGCTTAGACAGCCTTATCTGGGCTGCAAAGATCAATGCGACCACTAGATGTAGGTAGAGAAGAGAGGCAGAAACATCCTGACTCTTGGCTGCCCCCTGCTGTTGTCCCCAGGATCTGCAGCCACATGTGGACCCAGTCTTTCCTGCCTGACAATTATCGCTCTTTAGCAGATGGTAGTTTTAGAAGCCACACTTCTGAGCTAGGGGATCCTGGCGGGAGGGGCATGGAGAGGGCTGGGGCCACCTCTGCTCAGGTCCTGCTCGGGCAACCCAGTCCAAACGATGGTGTTCCAGGAGCCGACCTACCATCCTTGTTGGTGGTGATATTGAAGGACTCCGACTGGGGTGGGTTCTGGCTGAGATCGGAGACACCGTTGACTGCTTGGATCTGGAAGGAGTAGGTGATGTAGGGCTGCAGGCCCTCCACGGTGACGGTGCGGTCCACCAGCCCCCGAGACCGGGGGGCGTAGGCCAGGCGGGCACACTCCCGACAGCTCTGCCGTTCGGGGCACTCGTGGCAGCTGAGGTGGTAGGAGACGTCGTCCCGGCCTCCGTTTTCCAAGGGTTCGCTCCACTCCAGCACGGCCACTGAGCCGTTGATTTTGGCCACGATGCTGCGTGGGGCAGACGGCGTGGCTGAGAGGGGGGAAGACAGCAGGGTCAGGCCTGGGACAGCCTTGCCTCACACAGACACACCCCAAAAAGCCCTTCCAGCAGGCCTCAGTCTCTTGCCCCCCAAATAACTCCTCCACCCAATCCTCCAGATCCCAGCCCACACCTCAAAAGAACCCCACCAGCCTTGTTCTCCCACCAAAAAACCTCCACTAGCCCTCGCTCTCCTAACCCCCCAAAAGACCCTCCCCCAGCCCTTTCTACCACTCCCTCCAGAAACCCTCTCCCACCCTCATTTTCCTACTCTCCACAAATCCCTCCACCCCAGCCTTGTCTCCCACCCCCAACCCCCCCCACTTTCTCTCCTAGCCCCCCAAAACCCTCCTCCCAGCCCCCTCTCCCACACCCCCCAGCCTTCTCTCCCTCTCCACTTTCACTTTATCCCCCAAAAACCCTCCTCCCAGCCCCCTCTCCCACACCCCCCAGCCTTCTCTCCCTCTCCACTTTCACTTTATCCCCCAAAAACCCTCCTCCCAGCCCTCTCCCACCCCCCAGCCGCCTCTCCCTCTCCACTTTCTCTATCCCCCCAAAACCCTCCTCCCAGCCCTCTCTCCCACACCCTCCATCTTTCTCTCCCACCCCCAAAACCCCTCCCACTTCCACTCTCCTAGCCCCCAAAAGCCCCCTCCCCAGCTCTCACTGCCCCACCCCCTCTGTCTCCCATCAGCCCTGGCCCTCTCTCGCACTTGGGACACTCACTGGAGCACTGCTTGGTGACCGGTTCCTTGGCTGTCCGGTAGAAGCCGATGCGGCAGGCACACTCGCCGGAGCCCGGGGAGAGGGACATGCTGAAGGCAGGGCAGGGCTGGCAGCCCCCCTCCCCTTGGACGGCCTTGAATAGCCCCGCCGGGCAGGCTGCAGAGAGAGGAGGGCAGAAGAGACGGTCAATTGTCCTGTCGCCTATCTCCCCTATGATTGTGACTCTTGGGGGGGCTCCCTGCACCCCGAGGCTCTTCCCCACAGCCCCAGAACAAATGGGGAGACAACATGTCGGCTTCCTTTTTTTCTTCGGTTCTTTTCTCTGAGATGACCTCCAAGGTCCCTTCCAACTACTACTACTACTACTACTATTACTATTAATCAACGCACAGTCAGCCAGATGTTCAGACTGGATTTGGCATTTTGTCTACCTGTCGAGTCCTTACCCAGGACCTGGGATAGGCAGATGTGGATGTTTGATGGTATTACAGATATCGTCGCAGGATGGAAGCAGTTCCTAGCAAGGCCGCCTTTTGCAATTGACTAATAGCGAATTTGTCAATGCCAATGGTGATCAAGTGGTGCTCCAGTTGGTTTTGGGATTGCACCCAAGGCGCCTATGATATTGGTACTACCCTTGCTTGCCTTTGCCACAGTCTTTCTACTTCTATTTGTAGGTCTTTGTATTTTGTGATCTTCTCCAGTTTCTCGTCTATTCTGCTGTCTCCAGGCACTGCCACGTCCACTATCCAGACTTTTTTGTCTGTCTTATCGACAATTGTTAAATTCGGGGTGTTATGTTGCAGGTGCTTGTCTGTTTGAATTCTGAAGTCCCAGAACAGTTTAATTTTATCATTTTCTATGACTTTCTCTATTTTATGATCCCACCAGTTTTTGCTTACAGACAAATGATATTTCTTGCAGATCTTCCAATGCACCATTGTTGCTACTTTGTCATGCGTCGTCGTTGTCCTCCTCCTCCTATTATTATTATTATTATTATTATTATTATTATTATTATTATTATTATTATTATTATTTTGGATCATCGCACAGTCAGCAAGATGTTCAGACTGGATTTGGCATTTTGTCTACCTATCGAGTCCTTCCCAAGGACTTGGGATCGGCAGATGTGGATGTTTGACGGTATTACAAATATCGCCACAGGATGGAAGCAGTTCCTAGCAAGGCTGCCTTTTGCAATTGACTGATGGTGAATTTGTCAATGCCAATGGTGTTCAAGTGGTGCACCAGTTGTTTTGGGATTGCACCCAAGGCGCCTATGACTATCGATACTACCCTTGCTTGCTTTTGCCACAGTCTTTCTATTTCTATTTGTAGGTTTTTATATTTTGAGATCGCCCAGACTGACTACAAGCAGCGGCAGGACAAAGTAGCAACAATGGTGCACTGGAAGATCTGCAAGAAATATAATTTCCCTGTAAGCAAGAACTGGTGGGATCATAAAATAGAGAAAGTCATAGAAAATGATAAAATTAAACTGCTCCGGGACTTCAGAATTCAAACAGACAAGCACCTGCAACATAACACCCCAGACTTAACAATAATTGTCGATAAGAAAGACAAAAAAGTCTGGATAGTGGACGTGGCAGTGCCTGGAGACAGCAGAATAGACGAAAAAGAATTGGAGAAGATAACAAAATACAAAGACCTACAAATAGAAATAGAAAGACTGTGGCAAAAACAAGCAAGGGTAGTACCAATAGTCATAGGCTCCTTGGGTGCAATCCCAAAACAACTGGAGCGCCACTTGAACACCATTGGCATTGATAAATTCGCTATTAGTCAATTGCAAAAGGCAGCCTTACTAGGAACTGCTTCCATCTTGCGACGATACTATTATTATTATTATTATTATTATTATTATTATTATTATTATTATTATTATGTGCAGAAATTTAGGGTTAAAAAGGGAGTGAAACCGCTGCAGAATTCATCCTTCTCAAAGCTCTCAATACAGAATATCAGAATTTATGACCCAAAACCCGGCCCAATATTTCCATCACTAAGCGAAGCAACTGTTAAGGGAGTTTTGCCCCCATTTGATGACCTACCTCGCCACAGTTGTGAGGAACACGGTCGCTAACTGAATCCGGCTCCCCCCCATTGACTTTGCCTGTCAGAAGGTTGCAAAAGGGGATCGCGTGACCCCCCCCCATGGGACGCTGCGACCATCGTAAATATGAGTCAGTTGCTGAGCGTCCGAATTTTGATCACATGACCGCAGGGGGAATGCTGCGACGGTCGTTCAGTGTGACAAAGGGTCCTAAGTCCCTTTTTTCATTAACATTATAACTTCAAACGGTCACTAAAAGAACAGTTGCGGGTTGAGGACCACCCATGACAGAATAACAGACTCGGAAGGGACCTTGGAGGTCATCTAGTCCAACCCCCTGCTCAAGCAGGAGACCTTATACCATTTCAGACAAGGGGCTGTCCAATAAGGGAAGGGAAGGAAGGAAAGAAGGAAGGAAGGAAGGAAGGAAGGAAGGAAGGAAGGAAGGAAGGAAGGAAGGAAGGAAAGAAGAAAAGGAAGGAAAGAAGGAAGGAAGGAAGGAAAGAAGGAAGGAAGGAAGGAAGGAAGGAAGGAAGGAAGGAAGGAAGGAAGGAAGGAAAGAAGAAAAGGAAGGAAGGAAAGAAGGAAGGAAGGAAGGAAGGAAGGAAAGAAGGAAGGAAGGAAGGAAAGAAGGAAGGAAGGAAGGAAGGAAGGAAGGAAAGAAGAAAAGGAAGGAAGGAAAGAAGGAAGGAAGGAAGGAAGGAAAGAAGGAAGGAAGGAAGGAAGGAAGGAAGGAAGGAAGGAAGGAAAGAAGAAAAGGAAGGAAGAAGGAAGGAAGGAAGGAAAGAAGGAAGGAAGGAAGGAAGGAAGGAAGGAAGGAAGGAAGGAAGGAAGGAAGGAAAGGAGGAAGGAAGAAAAGGAAGAAGGAAGGAAAGGAAGGAAGGAAGGAAGGAAGGAAGGAAGGAAGGAAGGAAGGAAGGAAGGCAGGAAGGAAGGAAGGAACGAAGGAAGGAAAGGAAGGAAGGAAGGAAGGAAGGAAGAAGGAAGGAAAGTAAGGAAGGAAGAAGGAAGGAAGGAAGGAAGGAAGGTAAGGAAGGAAGGAAGGAAGGAAGGAAGGAAGGAAGGAAGGAAGGAAGGAAAGAAGAAAAGGAAGGAAGGAAGAAGGAAGGAAGGAAGGAAGGAAGGAAGGAAGGAAAGAAGGAAGGAAGGAAGGAAGGAAGGAAGGAAGGAAGGAAGGAAGGAAGGAAAGAAGAAAAGGAAGGAAGGAAAGAAGGAAGGAAGGAAGGAAGGAAGGAAGGAAGGAAGGAAGGAAGGAAGGAAGGAAGGAAGGAAGGAAGGAAAAGGAAGGAAGGAAAGAAGGAAGGAAGGAAGGAAGGAAGGAAGGAAGAAGAAGGAAGGAAGGAAGGAAGGAAGGAAGGAAGGAAGGAAGGAGAAGAAAAGGAAGGAAGGAAAGAAGGAAGGAAGGAAGGAAGGAAGGAAGGAAGGAAAGAAGGAAGGAAGGAAGGAAAGAAGAAAAGGAAGGAAGGAAAGAAGGAAGGAAGGAAGGAAGGAAGGAAGGAAAGAAGGAAGGAAGGAAGGAAGGAAGGAAGGAAGGAAGGAAGGAAGGAAAGAAGAAAAGGAAGGAAGGAAGGAAGGAAGGAAGGAAGGAAGGAAGGAAGGAAAACAAAATAGCAGAACAACAGACTCGGAAGGCACCTCGGAGGTCATCTAGTCCAACCCCCTGCTCAAGCAGGAGACCCTCCCCTGAAAAAGTTCCTGGTTGCGTCCCATTAGGTTGCCTTTTGAACCCTGCCCAAAACATGCCCCCTGCTCTACCTAAGCCCCTCCCAGCGGGGGCTGCCAGCCCATCAAGGCCCCCATCACCCACCCACCCCAAAGCTTTCTAAAAGGAGCCCAGAGGGGGGCTGCTTGAGAATGGCACCTTCTGTGAAGAGTTGGACCCCTCCTCTCTTTATGAATGGCCTGAGACTGGCGCTCCCCCTCCCTCTCCAAGGCCTGGCAGGGTAGGGGGTGGGGGGGGGAAGGGATGCCCACCCCAGCCTCAAGAGAGCAGCCGAAGAAGGGCAAACAAAGCAGTTCCCCTCCCCTCCCCTCAGGCTGGGGGGGCTCTCCCCTCCCCTCCCTCAGGCTGGGGGGGGGCTCCGTGGCCTTCTGCCAGCAGCAACCTGCTCCCGGCTCTTTTCCCCTCTTCCCCCCCACCCCGCTGGCTGATTACCCTTGACCTCTGGATAGTTGGCATTCCTGGGGCTTCCAGCTGCCCGCCTGCCTGTGGGTGGGAATCCAAGACCCCCGTCCCCCCCTTCAACAGAGGCGAGGACGCTGGAGAGAGACAGAGAACAGCTGCAGAGTTGGGGGCTGGGGTGGGGGGCAGATGGCTCCCATCAGCCCCCTGTGGTCTACAAAGGGGGACTTGGGGAGCAGGTTATTTGGGGAAGGGTCTCACCCCTCCCCTTCTCTTTTGCTTTCCTCTCCTGCACCCCACCTGCGCCCCTCCCATTGGACAGTCCCCCGTCCCCCCCCCCCCCCGCAGGGCCTGGATTATCTGGGTTTATCTTCTGGATTGCGGAGCAATCGGTCCACAGGTGGGTCCTGCCCTGCCCCCCCAGCCCACTTTCCCTTCTTTCATGGGGGGCCAGGAATGCTCTGTCTCTCCCCCCCCCTCCATGGGCCAACAGCAGATGAGCAGAAAAAGAAAAGCTTGGGTCCAAAAAGGGGCCAAGGAAATGAGCGGGGGGGGGGGGGGGGGAGGAATATCTCCAGAGGACCCTCCCCCCCCCACGCCAACCGGCCAGGGAAGAGTCAAAAGCTGAGGCCTAGAATTCCCCAGTTTTTTTTTTCTTCTCCTTCCTGATTCTTTGGGTCATCGTCGTCGTAGTTCTGTCGAGCCTGCACTCTCAGAGGCAGTCTACCTGTCGACCCCAGCCCATGGAAAAAGAAGCAGAGAACGGACCTCGCCTTCGTTCCCCTGCTTCTGGGCTTCCAGAAAGAAACAACAAAGGCCTGGTCTCGTCCAGAGTACAGGCAGTCCTCGAGTTACGAAAATTCATTTAGGGACCGAAGTGATCAGGGCACTGAAAAAAAAGCGACTGACGGCCGTATTTCACACTTATAACCGCGGCAGCGTCCCCACAGTCACGTGATCCAAATTCGGCCGTTTGGCAACCGACTCAAGTCGTATTCACGACGGTCACGGTGTGTCCCAGGCGGTCCAGTGATCCCCTTTTGCGAACTTCTGCCAAGCAAAGTCAACAGAGACTCTGGGCCCACTTAACAACATTAACAACTGCGGTGATGGACTTAACAACTTTGCCCAGAAACGTCGTAAAATGGGGCAAAACTGCCTCGTTCAGCAATAGAAATTTGGGGTTCCATTGTGGTCATAAGCGGAGGACTCCCCGTAACAGCTCTGAGGCTTCCGATCTCCTGCACCAGCACCAAGACAAGCCCCCCCCAACCCTTCTACCCCGCCCCCAGACCAGATTCCTCACCTCGGCACCTGGAGCTCTCCTCCGAGGGCTCGTAGCCAGCCGCACAGGTGCAGTCTGTGATGGCCTGGTCAGCCCACTGCCCGTCCTCTCGGCAGTACATGCTGAGCGGGCGGGAGCTGGTCTTGACGGCGTTGGGCACACACTGCCCGGTGACCGGCATGACCAGCTCCCTGGGCACTGTCTCCTGGAAGAGCGTAAAGTTGACGGTGACGGCCGGACACTTCTTGTAGAAGAGCCGAACGGAGAGCAAGGCCATGCAGGCACCCTGGTCCTGGAACGCCAAGTAGAAGCCCATCTTGGAGAGGGGTCCCACCCGCAGCGTCTTCACGTTCACCTTCCCGGAGGCCTCCATGCCCGGCCGCTTGCGGGTGAGGTGCTCGGCCGCCACCGTGTCCACTTTGACGTAGGGGTTCTCCATCCAGGGCGGGAAAGTGGCCGAGGCCAGGTCAGCGTCGGCTTCGTAGAAAAAAACATTGAACGTCTCCTTGCACGCCCGGGTGACCCGCGGGATGGAGAAGCACTCCACCACGGTGAAACGCAGCTCGGCGTAGACGTACGTGGCGCCCGATCGGGGGACGAAGGTGGTGCGCAGCCAGTTGTTCTGGTTGGGTTGGTGGACCCCGCACACCTCGAAGGTCCGGACGCTGTTCTGCTCCTCGTCCATCCCGCTTATCTCTTCCCACTGAGAGGAGAAACACAGAGCAGGTTAATGGTGGCACACAGGGTTCGGGAGCGTCTTCTCGTAATATCGCACAATCAAGGGGACAAAGCTTCCCTCCCAAGTAGGACTGGACTAGGAGGGGGAGCTCAATGGGGTATTCTGGGGGAGCAGCTTTGCGGGATCCCCAAAGTCAACCACGCCGAGATGCTTCCGAAATCTGCCCCCAGCACTTGGTGGCCAGGATGTGGTCGCCATAGTTTCAGTGGTCCAGGAACTGGCTGAACTCTTCCTTGGGCTTTCCTTTATCCCTGTCCACCAAGGGAAGGCAGGGGCAAAGTCACCACTCTTCCTCCTCCTCCTCTTCCTCCATTCTGCAACCCCCCTCCCTTTTAGTACTGATGATGCTACCTAGTTAGGTCATGAAACGTCTGCAAGACTACTTTATCAAGCTTGGGAGACTTCCGCACCTTATTGTTAATCAATTTATTTGCCACCCCTCACACAGTTTGGGTGACTCCGAACTTTAAACTATGAAAGCTATGCATTTATTTTTATCTTTCTTTCTTTCTAAGTCTTTAATCGCATAGGAAAGTGGGACGGTTTCGGTCTACATTCGGTTTCCTTCCCTGCCAGGGTGAGAATCAGCTCCTCCGTCGCCTTTTCTCCTTCCTGACGGATCAACCCCGGCTTTGTCTCTGCTTTCAAAACCAGCCGTCCGGATCCGAGCTGACATTTATCCTTAATAAAGGCAGTTAGGAGATGCTGGGTACGGCTGTTTAAGTCCCTAAAACTGGGTGGTGAATATCCGCCGTGTCTTTAAAAGATGCCTGGGGGCCCTCGACACACACACACTCCTGGTGATCTTTTATTAAAAAAACATCATTTAATCTAGTGGCGATCTCTTGCACAACAGCTGGCATGTTTTTCTGACAATGTGGTTCCCAAAATGGTGTTGCCAAATTTGGCAACCTCACGAAAACCGGAGAGGCGAGTGTTGCCCAGTGCACCTGGGTTATTGCGCAAATCGACCCTCCCTCGGCGATTGATTCTTGCCCGCACGCCCATTTTTTTCCCCCGCAACCGTCCCCCCCCAGGTGGCGTGGACTGCAAGCCCCATCGTTCCAAGCCCACAGCTCCAAAGGGGAGGCTGAAGACCCTTCGCCCCCTCACCTGGCCATTGTCAGCAGGGTAAGTGGTCCATCGGAGGTCGGCGGTCTCGAATTTCGTGTTCATGAGGTTTTCTGAAAGGAGGAAAGAGAAAGGGGGGGTGAATCCTTCTCCCGACTGTCCTCACCGATGACCCTTCCTGCCCTACCCAGGTGCCCAGAACGGAGGACAAAACCACTGGAGCGTTTCCTGACAGTGAGAACAATTAACCCGTGGAACTCCTTGCCTCCAGAAGTTGTGAATGCTCCAATATTGGAAATTTTTAAGAAGAGACTGGACGGCCATTTGTCTTAAATGGTATAGGGTTTCCTGCTTAGGCAGGGGGTTGAACTAGATGATCTCCAAGGACCCTTCCAGCTCTGTTATTCTGCTCTGTTCTATTCTATTCTATTCCCTATTCTATTCTATACTAATTTCTATTCTATTCTTTTATTCTACTCTATTCTATTCTAATTTCTATTCTGATCTACACTATTCTATTCTATTATTCTATTCTATATTTTATTATTCCATTCCATTCCCTATTCTATTCTATTCTATACTATACTATACTAATTTCTATTCTATTCTAATTTCTATTCTGATCTACACTACTCTATTCTATTCTATTATTCTATTCTATATTTTATTATTCCATTCCATTCCTATTCTATTCTATTCTATTCTATACTATACTATACTATATTAATTTCTATTCTATTCTAATTTTTATTGTACTCTATTCTATTCTAATTTCTATTCTGTTCTACTCTATTCTATTCTATTATTCTATTCTATATTTTATTATTCTATTCTATTCTATTCCCTATTCTATTCTATACTAATTTCTATTCTATTCTTTTATTCTACTCTATTCTATTCTAATTTCTATTCTGATCTACACTATTCTATTCTATTATTCTATTCTATATTTTATTATTCCATTCCATTCCATTCCCTATTCTATTCTATTCTATACTATACTATACTAATTTCTATTCTATTCTAATTTCTATTCTGATCTACACTACTCTATTCTATTCTATTATTCTATTCTATATTTTATTATTCCATTCCATCCCTATTCTATTCTATTCTATTCTATTCTATTCTATACTATATTAATTTCTATTCTATTCTAATTTTTATTGTACTCTATTCTATTCTAATTTCTATTCTGTTCTACTCTACTCTATTCTATTCTATTATTCTATTCTATATTTTATTATTCTATTCTATTCCCTATTCTATTCTATACTAATTTCTATTCTATTCTTTTATTCTACTCTATTCTATTCTAATTTCTATTCTGATCTACACTATTCTATTCTATTATTCTATTCTATATTTTATTATTCCATTCCATTCCATTCCATTCCCTATTCTATTCTATTCTATACTATACTATACTATACTAATTTCTATTCTATTCTAATTTCTATTCTGATCTACACTACTCTATTCTATTCTATTATTCTATTCTATATTTTATTATTCCATTTCATCCCTATTCTATTCTATTCTATTCTATTCTATTCTATTCTATTCTATTCTATTCTATTCTATTCTATACTATATTAATTTCTATTCTATTCTAATTTTTATTGTACTCTATTCTATTCTAATTTCTATTCTGTTCTACTCTACTCTATTCTATTCTATTATTCTATTCTATATTTTATTATTCTATTCTATATTTTATTATTCTATTCTATTCTATTCTATTCTATTCTATTCTATTCTATTCTATTCTATTCTATTCTATTCTATTCTATTCTATTCTATTCTTCTATTCCAGGGGTTCTCAACCTTGGCAACTTTAAGACTTGTGGACTTCAACTCCCAGAATTCCTCAGCCAGCAAAGCTGGCTGAGGAATTCTGGGAACTGAAGTCCACAAGTCTTAAAAGTTGCCAAGGCTGAGAAGCCCTGTTCTATTCTATTATTCTATTTCTATTCTATTCTATTCTGTATTTTATTATTCTATTCTAGAAAAGGCAGATTTAGGAAAGCAGCAAAACTTTTAAAAACTTTAAAACAATTAGCCAAGCAAAGTCTAATTCTAATGCAATACGTCTCTTAAAAGCATCACCTCATTTAATCAGGAAGTCCTCCACTTACAACAGTTCATTCAGTGACGGTTCAAAGTTACAACAGCACTGAAAAAAGTGACCCATGACTGTTTTTCACACTTATGACCGTTGCAGCCGGTCACAGGATCAAAAACCAGACGTTCAGAAACTGACTCGCACTTATGACGGTCCCAGTGTCCCAGAAGGGGTCGCATGATTCCCTTTTGCGACCTTCTGACCAGGAAAATCAAGAGGGGAATCTGGGTTCAGTTTAAAGCCTTAACAGCAAAAATTTGCTTAGCAAAGAAAGGCCGTAAACTGGGGCAAAACTCACTTAGCAACTGTCTTACTTAGCAACGGAAATTTTGGGCTTCCTTGCGGTCGTAAGCGGAGGACTACATTATAAAGGCAGATGCCAAATATTTACTTTATGCAACTCATTCCTCTTCAGCTTCGGCTTTGTTTTGAAAGCCGCCGTGTCAACCTGCAAGGGACGCGGCTGCGTTCACACAACCCTTCCCCTCCCCTCCCAGGCTTGGCCCACTTTCAGGGTTCTTGCCCCCCCCCCCCGCCCTCAAGGAGAATTCCGGTGGGATTGCAGAACGAAATCATCAAGGCTAGGAAAAAAAAATCTGCTTGTGGGGCATTTTCCGCAGGTAATTAAAAAAACGCCTCCCTGTTCAGGGCGATGCAAATGAGCCCGTTCAAAAGCCTGACTTTGAATCCAGGCAGGTTGTGGGGGTGGGGGTGTTGTGTGGGTGAGGGTGTGCTGCGTTTGATTTGTGCGTTAGTGTGTGATTTTTTTGTCTGTGTACCGGGTTCGATTTCTGCTCGCCTCCTTGCTTGGCAGAAACCCTCCAGAGCAGTGGTTCTCAACCTGTGGGTCGGGACCCCATTTGGGGTCGAACGGCCATTTCACGGGGGTCGCCAAACAACGCAGTCCGCCATTTTTTTCCCCTTTTCCTTAGCTGTGCTCCTCCCTTTTATCCTATTGGCTTTTGAAAGCCAATAGAATAGACTCTCTTGAATAGAATCTAATTGTCCAAGCTGTCTCTGCCCTGCTGAGCCCGCCAAAAGTCCCATTCTGCAAATGGTGCTGCACCAGTTGAGTAGTCCTTGACTTACGACCGGTTGGGGGTCGCAGCATTAAAAAAGTTGAGAAGCACTGCTCCAGAGGCTTTTGTTTGCCACCTGCGGGGGGGGGGGGGGGGGACGGCAAGGCGCGGCTCACCCCACCCAGCCGTCAATTAGAAGACAAGAAGCATCTGGGCGGGGGTGTCCAAAAGAAATTGGGGGGGGGGAAGTTCTACATGCCAGGTCTCCCCCCTCCCCAATTCATCTGAGCAACCTGGACCAGGAAACAAAACTGTTTCCCTGCACACGAAGCCCCCTCCTCACCCACCCTGTCTGTGGACCCTGGGCACACTGATATGGGTGAGACCCCCCATCCCAGACCCCCCCCCAATCTTGGCTGCCCCCCCCCCCCCGTCCAGGATCCTAGGAACGCAGCGGGCTGGCCAAGGGTCAAAGGTGGGGGAATATTTATAAAAAGCCGGAAGGGCGTCACTTCCCCAAACAGCTGCGGCCAACGCCCAGCGGCAGGAAAACGGCCCCCACCCTGCTGGCAGAGCCCCCCCACAGCGGTATGCAGCCTGGGGTCCCCCCCAGCCTTGCTTTGGCTCCTGGGGGGGCAGCGGGATGGAGGGAGAACCTCCTCTTGGCCAAGACCACCAGGAACAGCCCCCTCCCCTAGTCTTCCCCCCCTTTTTCCTGCACATGGAATTTCTGGGGCTCCACCCAATCGGGTTCCAGAAAAGGGGAGCAGGGCCCCCCGAAATTTTCTAATTGGGGGGGCACATTTCCTGGCATAGGCCAGGTTCCTCTGAGCCTTAAGCCCCCCCCCTTTGCCAAGCTGGGGAAGTGGGTGCGAGAGCCTCAGAAACGAAAGGCCTACCTCGCAGGGGGGGGCAGTTGTTGAGAAGAAACACTACGAGGCCGGCAAAGGGTTGGCAAAATTGAACATCGCGGCAATTCCCTTGCTGGCTGGGGAATTCTGGGAGTTGTAGTCCACGGCCCATAAATATTTGTGCCCTAAATATTTCCCCCCCCCCTGCCCATTATCAGTTCCCGGCTACACGGTCTCCCTCCCACCCTGAAAGAGACCCCCCCTCACCATCCCCTCCTCTACCCACCACACTCCTGGGCAGGCAGAAAATTAGACACCCCTGCACCCCCCCCACTGCCTAAATGAATGCTGGGATACCCTGAGGGGGAGGTGTGTGTGTGTGTGTGTGTGTGTTCCCCAGGGAATTCTGGGTAATTCCAGGGCGATGTAAGTCTGGAGAGCCCCCCCCCCGGGGCCAAAGCAGGCAGGAAGGAAGCCAAAAGCAGGGGGGATTTTCAAGAGTGGGGGGGGGATGGAGACCTCCCCCACGCTTGGGTGGGCACCAGGCTGGCAAGGCAGCCTCCCACCTGGGTTTTGCTCCATCCCACCCCCCCCCGTCCCAATTCGGCACCCCCCCAGACCTCCGCCATTCCTGCTCCCCACACCCATCGCCCAATGCTCATTCCCGCCCAAATCCGTCCCAGATGTGCAGCCATCCGGCTCGGCAGAAGCCGCGGGCAGCCGTTGCCAGCCTCTCGCTTCCCGGGCTGCTTGGGAAGAGGGTCCGGGGGCCCCCCATCAATGCTGGGTGAGGGCAAGAGACCCTCTTTCCTGGAATCCCTGGACCCCTTCCCAAAGATTTCCCCCCCCCCCGCCGGAGCCGGCAAAGGGAGGGAAGCAGACACGCCCCGGGATCGGCACAGCCGCTTAATTATATTTTGGGCACGGTGCCCAGCATGCTCGGCTCGTACTTAATAACAACAGCCGAGCTGTCTTACACCAGAGGCCGGGCGAGCAGGCGTCTTTGGGGGGCCCCCACCCCGGAAAAGAAGCCGCAGGGGAAAAAAAACCCCAGGCAGCTCCAGCACCGTCTCCCTTGGATCCTCTCTGGCACACGTAGGTGGGCACTGCTTAATCCC